ATACACACTCCTATCCCGCGCTGCGGGGATACAAAGACGGCCGGGATCTCCCTTTCTCTCCGACCCTGGGTTTAACATCGTTTTTTTTTTTATTATGTATTTATATTCGACCTGGTGGTGATTCATCCCGTTATCCTGGCTTTTCCATAAGTTTTACTTTTGTCTTTCATGCATATACTTATTACTATTAATTTATTTCCGATATCTTAGGTTAAGGGGTAAGTTTCTTGATCCTAGGAATTCGTATTCCTTGGTGCCTGCATGGTTATATAAGCGGAATATAGTTTACGGTGAATAGCGTTAACATTGATGTTATGTGCGATATTATGTATTGTGATGTCTTTAACTTAACTTGTTTGTCAGAGCTTTACTGACACGAAGTTGCATTTCATAGCCCGCAGTCTTTGCCCCACCCTATCTCTGCTCGCCGTTGTTGTTGCCGTCCAGCTGCCGTTAATTCAAGGCCTCATTAATTTCCGTCACTCCTGAGTAGGTGAGGGCGGTTGAACCTTGGAGTCAGTTCTGGTTTTTGTCTGCCTGCTTCTTCTTGTGTCCCCTGACCCCGGGAGTTATTATTCTACTTTATGGCCTGTCGAAGCCCCACTCGCTGTTGCTGGGCTGGTGTTGTTCCCGGCTTTTTGCTTACGTTTGCAGTTCGCCGTGCTCTTGATTTCCTTCCCTCTTCAACCTTATATTGACTATTCGCTCCTGTCTGGGTGCGATTCAATTTTGACTTAGGAAGGTTCTGATTGTCATATGCTTCGGGTCGAGTTGTATAGAAAGTATTAAAGTATGGAAATAACATTTCATATTGACTTAATAATGGTGATGGTTCAGTAGGCGTAACTTGTGGCCTGGTTTAATTGGAGTGGGTGTGAATATCAATAACTTTAGCCTACTCTGTTGTTAAATTCCGACTTTAACGTTACTTTAATAGCAATACAGAATAATTGAGCTTTTTGTCTTAACTAGGCGAATGCGAACTTCTGGTGACCCCCGCAGCCTTGTTACTCAGCTGGGTCTTGCCCGCCTTGAGAGATATACAACACTCTTTTAAATCAGCTCTCCCCCTGTCCAACCTTCTGCTCTGGGAGTGTTATTCTTGATTCCAGGTCCAAGGCCCCCTCACATTCAGACGCGCAGGGTTGTTTACATCAGCTCCCCCCCCCTGTGCACGTGTTCTAACTAGCTCGGAATCCCTGAACACACAATCAGTGATGATTCCTGGCTTTCTGTGGTTGTGATTTAGACAAAGGCGCCTCTGTTTTCTTCCATTGCCTTTGAGTCGACACTGCCCTATTATTTGCCCATGTGCTGAGGTCATAGAATTCGTTTTGACTTCAGTAATATTAACATTCAGTATTGGATTAGCAAATGGCAATGGTTCATTGATGTAGCTCGCAGCCTGGTCTCCAATTTGAGCGAGCGCGAGGATCGATACTTTAGCCTACTCTGTTGTTGAATTTCGAATTTTGACGTTACTTTAAAACCATGCAGGATGGTTGGGCTTTTTGCCTTAACTATGTCTGGCTGACACTCCCACTGTCTCTGCCGCCTGCACGGGTGACATGTGCCCGTTCATCAGGCCTTATCTTTCCTTGAAGCAAGGTTGCAAATTCTGCCATCCTAGCCCTCCTCCAGTTCATTACTTAACAACACCTGGTGTTTTGCAGTTTGCTGCGCTTTTGGTGTGTTTCATTCATTAAAAAAACAAGTAAAAAGATAATATATAAAAATATCATCAAATATTATTAATCTCAATTTTGGAAGAAGGGTTAGTATACAACACAGGTCCTCAAGTGATTTGCTGTATTTTTTTGCGTTTCGCGGTGCCTCTTCCTGCATGGCAAGTGTGGGGAAATGAGCGAAAGATTTGTTCGCAATTTGTCCGGAGAACAAAGTGAGCTGGATTTGAAGGCTTTCACATGTTTGTACTTGTCGTGAACAAACTGATCTTTCCCCTGCAGTTTCACATTCAGCTCAATCATGTGTGAAAATATGTCCACAGCAAACGCAAAGTCACTAAGCCAGTTCTTGTCACTTAGCTCAGGGAATTCGTCAGATTTCCCCATCAACTCCAAAAATGCGATGATATCTTCTTTCAGCTCCAAAACTCGTTGTAACACTTTCCCCAAACTTAACCAGCGGACACGAGAGTGGTACAGCAAGTCCTGATGATCCGCATCAGTTTCCTCCAGGAACGTAATAAACTGACGGTGCTGAAGTCCCCTTGCTCGTATAAAGTTCACAAGTTTTACGACTGGATTCACGGCATGATTAAGCTGCAATACAGACTTACACAGGGATTCCTGATGGATGATGCAGTGAAGGAAAATAAGATCCTGGACAGGGTTTTCCTCTTTCACTTTATCCTGGATTCTTTTCAGCAGCCCAACATTTTTTCCAGTTATATTTGGCGATCCATCCGTTGTGACATTGACAAGTTTACTCCAAGGTAGCGTCATACTTTCGATGACAGCAGATACCTGGTTATACAAGTCCTCTCCCCGCGTTGTTCCTTTCAGGGACGCCATGGTCAAAAACTCCTCTGTTATCGTAAAACTGTCGTCAATGCCTCGGATAAAAATGAGGAGCTGAGCAGTGTCTTTTACGTCCGTACTTTCATCCAGTGCTAGTGAATATAATTCAAAGGAATCAGACTTTTTGTTTAATTGACTGGCTATATGTTTATCAATCAGTTCCACACCGCGAGTCACAGTCCTGCGTGATAAACTGACTTTTTCAAATTTGCTTTTGATCTCCGGACACAAGATGTCTGCTGTCTGTACCATGTATTCTTTAGCAAACTTGCCTTCGGAGAAAGTGGTAATGAGTGGTAATGTTGGTGAGAAGAAGTTTTTAAAGAAAATTTTAATCGAAGTGAAGAAGGAAATTATTGAAAAGTTTGTATAATTAATGATTTTTCAAACTTTAATTATGTTTTCTGTGCTTAAAACTCTTTAAAAAACTGTGGGGTCTAGAACGGACTCGTGAAATTCGGAGAGAACTCGGAGTTAAGTTTTGTTTGTTTTGTTGAATTACACAAAGCGTAACAGTTATGTATATAACTTTTGTTATATAAAATTCCTAATAAGATATTCATTTTGTGATGTAGTCATACCCCTCCCCCTCATTCAAGCCGTAATTTAGAGAGCGAAAGCACCGAGTACGTAAATCGCTAACACAAGAACCCGTTAATCTCTTCTCGCATCATTCATACGATGATGCGGTGAAGTAAACGTTCATACGATATTACAGTGAATGCTTCCAAAAACAATACTGTACCCAAATATTACTGTTTACTTACTTTCAATAGAAACATGAATTGCTCATACGAATATTCTCTCTCTCTCCCGGTCAAAGTGCGCTAACTATTGGGGAAATGTTGGCATTACAGGAAGAAGGTAAAATTTAATTTAATAATATTTGGACAAGTTCGGCGGGCCGGATTAAAAAGCCCAACGGGCCGTATACGGCCCGCGGGCCGTGCTTTGCCCATGTCTGCTTTAGCAGGTAAGGTAAAAGGTTAAATGTAAAAAGCAACGAGCCTACCTTTACCCTACCTTTTACCCTGACCCCATACAAATGACCCGATTACAGGGTAATTACTGGGGTACTACTACACATGGACAAGGTTTATCACGGTGAATGCTAGGTAGAGCGCTTTATTCATATAGAATACTCTCGATTATTCCAATTTTACAAGCTTTCTTTTAACTCACTCTGTTGTTGTATCCTCAAATCTTGTAACTCAATTTTAACCCACTTCCCAATGTGGTATTGACTGCAAACTTGGTATACTTATGTCATACTGATGACAATACTATATTCTATCATTAAACATTTATATAATTTTAAACATTCTTTTTTATGTTATGTTTCGGCTTGGCTCTAATTGTCCACGCTCAACTCACGTTGGCTGTAAATCACCACGGCCCCTTACGCTGTGACAAGCTTCGGGGCCACTTCCTGGAGTCGTCGAGTTCTGCCACTACTCGTACACTTAATAAAAGCGTGTTTTTAATAAAGTTTAAAACAAAAATATTACTTATTAAATGTAGGCCACGGACTGCGCCACGGATTGTTGAGCAGTAAACAAGGTACCGTATTTACCGGGTAACACTTCGTGCTACCTTTACCCTACCGGGTAACTCTTCCGAGCTACCTTTACCCTACCCTTTACCTTACCCCTTGGCATGTCCACACCTTTACCCTTTAACTTTACCCTTTTACCCGGTAACCTGACCTCGCCGAGGCCTACTTGTGGGTTTAAAGAAACAACGGACCGAATCAAACCCCCCGCGGTTAACGAGTCTCCCAGCCGCCTGTTGTTACTCTCTCTCTCAGCAACGGGGAGGGGAGGGCCGAGGTTTGTTTTGTGTTACGAATTTTCCAAACATTACACACAAAAAACAATAATGCTGTTGTTGTGCTTGAAGATGTGCACGCATGCTTAAGTAAGAGTCGTGGATAAAATTTGTGTCACTTTGCCTTAAGGAGCTAACTTTTTCCGGAGTAATTTGTAAAACTATGCAAACTGGGCCGATGTTTTGGTCTGCAATTATTGCAGGTCTCTAAAATAAGTTGTTTTCTTATTCCTACGCAGGTTTATACTCGTGTTGCTAAAAACTACCTCGAGTGACATTCACTCGCGCGAGTTACAGAAGACTCGAGCCCTGCTCAGCCCTGAGTCGGGAGCTGTTGATTATCGAGGCGCCGCATGTCACAGCAACACGGACTTGACATCTTTATTATTTAGTCTAGATTTGAAGCTGTCGTGACTGCAGGAATCCATACTCTGTGGTTATTTCGGTAAAGTCACGTCGGTATAAAATAAAACAAATCACGACGTTTCGGGCGCAACACAAGCGTCCATCATCAGGTTGCGCCAGAAACGTCGTGATTTGTTTTATGTTATACCTACGTGACTCGCCATGCGCGGTTCTGCCTTGGTCTCATCGCAACGACAGCTCGCCCCGCGCCAGTGTCTTCTCGTTCACCCCGGGACATCAACGCTCAACTCTGTCTCGAGAACGTTTGAAACACGCGCTCGCGTGTTTAATGACGAGGCCACGATCTTCTGGGGAGTTAATCGTCGCAGGCAACGGCTGCCAACCGACATCATTCGCTAACCCACGCAGCGGGTGTGGCAACTCGGCGGGAATGGAGAGGCGGGGTTCTCTCGCAGTGCGTCGCTGAGGTCAATGCCGGGTGCCGGAACAGCCAGCGAAGGAGCATAATTCCGCACGTGAGTCACAGCCTTCACGCTACTCCATCGGACCACACGATCACGCCACCGCAACATCTCTCCACAGCGCCACTATTGCCCCACCATTGCTCGCCACTCGTGAGGGAATGAGGCCGCTATGTTCTCAAACGTGGAGCCGGACGTCAGGCACAGAGCTCTGGCTGATGATGAGTCCGATGGTGCATTAGAGGTGGGGAGAAGGCCAGTGGAGTGAGGGATTCATGCAGCAGTGGAGAGGCCTTGGCTGATGATGCCGATGGTACATTAGAGGTGGGGAGAAGGCTAGGGCAGTTAGGGATTCATCCAGCGGTGGATTTAAATTGACGGTTAAACACGTTGAAATAATATGAAACGTAATTATAATAGGTTTTACATACTCTCTGGTTCTTTCGGTAAAGTCAGGTAGATAGAAAACAATAACAAAAGAAAACACGACGTTTCGGTGGCTACACAAGCGCCCGTCTTCAGGTGTTGAAATGTTCAAACACCAACTAGCTTTTGCAAAAAAGCAAGTCTGTGTTAACCACACGTACTTGTGGTGAACATGCAAACAGACATGATCTAGTAATTATATATGGCATTGTCTTTGAAACTGATTGGCCTACACCAGAGGCAGACTTCTCTATGGCCTAGTAACACCAGCGTCGGACCAGAGGACGCCAAAAGGCGGACAGTACAAAGACAATGCCACACGTAGCAGAGCATTGATAGCTCGGGTTGAGTCGCTATTTCATGAAGACTCGATTCCTTGCAAAATGTATCTATTTTGTGTGTGAATATCTTAACAACTGTTTTACTGCCAGAAAGGGTAAAACCTATTTTTAGTTTTCATACTTTGATGCTGGCAAAAAAGCTCCCACGTTAAAATAATGTGAACACTCATCAGTTTAAATATCATGGCATAGTTCTGCAGCCAGGGCTTAATTCAGAAGGGTCTGAGAATATGTCCACGCCTGGTGCACGGACATCCATGATTACCTCCCGCGGCTACGAGTCGCATCCCTAACGCGACTCGGGAAGACCCTTGCCCACCGCACGCAGCCCAGAACACATTCAGTGAGAGGAGAATGAGCCCTGGCTGCACCCAGTCGAGATAAAGAACAACGACTCATGTGTGTGTATGCCTGCGTTGTGTGGCTGTGCCAGTAGGAATTTTAAAAAAAGAGAGCCAAAGATGTCCGAAGGCCAGCAGGAGACAGCGACATCGAGCACGAGTGAGGGAGAGACGCGCCTTGCACTCACGCAGGTATGGGGTCGACAGTCAGTGGCGACAAATTGTTTTCCTTCCAAAAGTCCAGTCTCTCTCCGATAACACGTGTTGTTTTCATAACGCGAATTGGATAGAACGCGATGAATGTATAAGGGGACACGTTTTTTTTTTATGTAACGCGGATGCGAATTGGATATAACGCGATTAAGCGAACAAAACTACGTCGTGCGAGTCGGAGCAAGAATCACACATGTTGATGTTGCTGGATGCTTCCAGACGCTACCCACGCACCTCCGTCTGCGTACGCATCCCGCGTGTTATCGCGGACTGTGCTTTACACTACATTACATATTATTTATTATAACGCGATTTGTCCATAACGCGGTGTTCTTCTGGAACGCAACTACTTCCACCACGTTGTAGGAGGACAGACTGTACATGTGCATGAAAATGGAATGCGTGCACATCTACACTTGTGTAGTAGTAGCATACGTGCAGGCAAACATGATTGCGCTCATACATACAGTCACAAAGGTAATAACATAAATTACACACACACGACATACACAGCACACGTGTTGTTACACTGTTTAGAGTTGTGTATGGTTTATCAGGCAACGGACTAACCACGCAACGAGACATTGATTCAGATTATTATGCTCGGGATGCAAGCATGGAATCACGCTTGTAATATGTAATGACTTTCAATCTACGTGCACTGTATTCCATTGGATTATGTGACTCGTGCATGGGTTCACCACATTGTAATTTTTTTCAAATTAAATTTAATCGTGATCCTCAAATTATGAGAATTCATGGAATGTTTATTAATAATTTAGTGGCTGCGACTGCACATATGGTAACTGCAGTCAAGTGTTGAGCGTCACGCTCTCATATTAGCATTTGTGGGAACTCAAAGTTGATGCTCCATGTCCAAAGTCATCCAGAGTAGTTCCTTTACCATGCACATCTGCAGAGGTTGATTTCTGCACTGATTGTGGCTTTGCGTGAGCCGAACTCGCTTAAAATCAGAATCAGAAGTTTTGTTTCCAGAGCAAAGCCCATTGAGCCAAGAAGCTATTTTTGAAAGGGCAACTCATCGGGCAGACAACATCAAAGAAGCATTCCATAATATGGGTCGCCGTGGCTATATGTCAACACGATCGCTGATGCGGTGTGCTCCGTAGTTCTTTAATGTGTGCTCGTTTAACAGAATCTGTCGGAGCAAACTTGCCAACCTTTTTTTATCCCTTCGCCGCAGAGCTCGCAGGCGGTGCCCGAGGATAGGATGCACAACCGGGAGGTCAGGCGCATGAAAAACAGGTCCACGTCTTACCGCTGCACAACGAACGATTCATTTTGGCGAATTGTATTTTGCACTTCACTCGTGATTTTGCTCTCCCGCCCCGCCACCCCTCTGAATGCTCCCCTGCGACTTGCAGATTGGATAAACGTTGCGGTCATGTTTTTGCAGTCAGTAGTTGTGCGCTTTTTTTAAAGGTTCATCTTAAATTGTGTGGGCACACACAGAACAAAAAAAACCGTGCTTGCCATTCTTGGCGCAATTTAGAGTTTTACACTTTGTTAGGTCACGTGTGTGTTTATTGTGGAGAGCGGTAATGCAGGGGTTAGCGTGCTGCGCTACGAACCTGGCAACCCGAGTTCGATTTCCGCTCATGGCCACCACCAGTGACGATTATCTGAACCAATCCTGGGCCTCCCCTAGGTCGACTCAGCCTTCATAGGTGCTCGCTAACAGCACTTGCCCCAACAGTCTGTTCAGGCTATACGGGGGATCTTCGTATTTTCTTTCATCATGCACGAGTTGTATGTTTACCCGTTGTGTCTGTGTACGTGCACGTGCCGCCTGGCTACCCAGGGAAGCGGTCAAGGAATGCCGCCGGCGACAGAAGGAGTATGTGAGGTGCTTGGAGAACCGCGTGGAAGTGCTGGCGGTGCAGAACAGACAGCTGCTGGATGAGCTGTCGGGGCTCAAAAAACAGTTCGGTTTGAATCCTGGCAGCGCTGGGCAGTGAAGTTGTCCGTAGTTGCGCGGCCTCGCATCGAGCCCACCCGGAGTCCAAAACAACGCTTCCAGTTGTCAAGTGTGAACTTTATTTATTGAGTTAATTGGAAATATGCTATAAATAAACAACTGACTCTAAATATTCCAATAATTTTTGGATGCCTGGGATCAATATACGCGTGAATTATGGGTTCTATGATTGTGGTTTGGCCCTGGTAATTGACTGGAATTCTTGTGCAGATGTCAGAATGTTGGACAAGAAACATTCCCGGCCTGGATGCAGGGGTGCCGGCTGCACCGATGGTTTCGTGGCTTTATTCTGAGGAATTAGTTACGTGTGAGGCTTACCCGTAGCGCACTTTGTTTCGTGCACATTTTTAGAGCCAGTCATACAAAAAAATGTGCATTTACCGTAAGACCCGCGGAGCGATCTTCCACGAGATGTTTTTGAGTCAAGCCTCGCGCTGGGAGTGCGTGTTCTATTCCCGCTCATGGCCAGCACCGGTGGTGATTATCTGAATGGGTCCTGGGCCTCCACCTAGGTCGACTCAGCCTCAAATGAGTACCTGTTTGGCTGTGGTAAAACATTGCCACTGGAAAGACAAAGGCGATCGGGCGTGGTGTTGGCCACCCATCCCTTCTTGTGCCCTGCCGGCCTTCATAGGTGCTCGCTACCAACACTTGCCCCAACAGTCTGTTAAGGCTATAAGGGGGGGTCTTTGTCTTGTCTGTGCGTGCGCGCGTGCCCCGTGTGTGTGAAATTGTGGTGACTCATTGCGCCGCTTCCGATAAGCAAGCCAGCACCAGGATGCAAGGCAAGTGAAAACGAAACTGGAGTCTTCTCCATTTATGTAACTTTATACTTACGTGTTTCTCTGGACAGTGTATTTGTTTACAGTTTTACATGCAAATGTAAACCATTTCTTCTTATGAGTTTAATGATGCTTCCCTTTTTTGTTGAACCGTAACACATTTCATAACACTGACCTTTAGGGGGGCATTGAAATACGGTGCATTGTTGTGCTCCGTCTTACGAACAGCTCGACTTACGAACGGTTCTAATTGCGTTCGTATGTCGAGGACTTGTGCAAAGCTCAGGCGAAAGGTGATTGACAGCATGGGTGTTTAGTTGATTAGGTTTGTCCACTACTGTTTAATTGTCAATAACGATAATCATACAGCACATTGAGAATTACAATGTCTAAAACACGCAGCTGCAAGGCAGGGTATCATTCATTAGGAACGTTACAAACATACCTATGTTATGCATCGGCAAATGTGGTCTGTATTCGAAATTACATCATTCTGTGCGTGAAATGTCTAACACTTGTTCACTTGTGTAGTGTAAATGTAGGCATTACTTGGGGGCTAATGACAATATGACAAATATTAGTTTTAAAATCAAGCAAAATACTAAGAACGTTGTAAACATTGATGCTCAAGTACTATATCGAGATTTGTGAAGTTGACCGAATAAGTTACATGTTAATAGTTAACAAAGTAAACGCAAAACATGAATAGACTTTTTAACACTCGTAATTATACAGCATACAACAAATGACAGTCTTAATGTTATTGACTGGTCTTGCATGTCTGGATAGAGCATGACTGCAGTGGCACATGGTGTAAAACCACTGGCTCAAGTCCCGCTGAGTCCCTTGTCGCCGGAGTTAGTCCATCATCACGCAGCGCAGAAGCAGTCGTGAGATCAGCGCTACGCACCCAGCAAGTCATTAGAATTTCATTTGCATAAACTATCAGCTGTATCTGTGTCACGGGTACGATGATAAGTAAAACAAAACACTGCTCTCCTCATTATCTGTCTTATATGAGAACATGTGAAAGGTTGATGTTAAGAGCAGTGGCTCATTAGATCGGAGAGAGGAGGGAAATTGATTTGACTTATGGTTATCACACTTTACATTGCAGCGCCTTAGAAACCATAAATTAAGTTGAAATGAATAGTGTCCCATTAGATACTGGGCCCAATTTACACATTTCTGGCAAATGTTACTTGTCGTGGGTTTTGGGGAAAAAAATGTCTCCATCACCAACCATGGCCATTTCATGAAGATTAAAATATGGCTCGGTGAGTAGCGACACATCTTCAAAGAGTAACAACGGTGTTCATCTTCAATGTCTGCGAATGCAAATCTGGTCATTTGTCGACTTTAAAGTGCTTTAGACACTGCAGCGTATCGTCCAAACTTCAACAAAGTTAAACTCTTCCCTCTGCTCAAAAGAAGGATTATCAGCCTGTTATATGTTCCTCGTTATAGATATTATTATTATGTTATAAGGTGCAAATTTTATTTGTGCTAATGTGCAACTGCCAATGTAGCCCCGTATTTAGTTGTAGATGCTCGTATAGTCCAGCTCTATTGCAGTCTTCGCGAGGTATCCGATACATATATCTGAACTGAGCCATCACGTGAAGTAGCCTCAAATGCTTCCATGCAGCACGTGTACATCCCATCCGAATCCCCGTGCCATCCTCTACAAAGCATCATCCTGCAGCTCACTCGCAACTCATCCGACTCAGAACCCTTGGCTCATCCCATACAAAACCCTCAACCCATTCCTACATAGAACCCTATTACTTCATTAGTCATTAGGTGCAGCTGTGGAAATCAACTCTACACAGTTGCACGTAATTATTTTAATCGATATGTGCAATCATAAATTAGTTTATTAAATATTAAAACCCTCACCGAAACTTTGCCGTGTCTGTCAAGTATCGTCTTGGGAGGTGGGGAGGTGAGGTGGGGAGGTGAGGTGGGGGGGTGGGGAGGTGGAGAGGTGGGTTGGGTCGTCCGCTGCCTCGTCTCTCGGGAGGAGTTATTGGGGTTGATGTGGTGTTGGGGGCTCTAGGGATGTGATGGGGTGGGAGGGGGGGTTAATCCCGAAGGTCAGAGGTCGCAGCCTAGGCGTTCGATCTCGTTGAGGCAGAAATCGAGGTCCTCCCGTCGCACGCTCGGGGAGATGAGGATCATGCGGAAGAAGTTGACGCGGTCACCGTGGGGCTGGTAGCCGACCATCATGGACCCTGCGAGCATCATGCGTGTCTTGATGGAAGGGGCGACCTGTGAGAGGGAGGGAAATTGGGGCAAGGGGTAGGTGGGTGGTGTGGTAGGTGAGAATCGGTGAGTCGAAAAGTTATTGAGTAGGTGAGTGAGTGGGTGATTCATTGGATGAGTGAGTGTCTAGATGGATTATAAGTAACACACTCCCACCAATATCACCACCAAAATCACCAATATCCCACCAATATCCTACCAAGCACAACCACGGAACTGGCCAACACCATTAACTACAACCACAATTGCAGCAACTCCTCTCACCAAACACCAGTATTATCCCAAGCATCGTTCTCATCATCTATTACCACAAACAGCATTGCTGCCACCAACATCAACTACCAACCACAACCATTCATCTAAAGCACTTTACTATCTTCGTAAACACCAACTCTATGAACCCAAATTTCATCATAGCCAACCACAGCCATTAACTACAACCATATCACCGCCATCACCATCACATTAACATGGTGTGTGTTAATGTGCGTGTGTGTGTAGGTAGCGGTAGTGTAGTGGCCAGCGTGCTGCGTTACGAACGGGTTAAATTCCCGGTTACAATCAACGCTTGTGATGATTATCTAAACCGGTCCTGGGCCTCCCCTAAATCGACTCAGCCTCAAATGAGTGCCTGGTGTGGTGTGTAAATATCCCCACTAGGGAGACAAAGACGGTCGGGCGTGGTGCTGGACATCAACCCCCTCGTGTGCCGTGCCGGCCTTCATATGTGCTCCCTAACAGCACTTTCCGCAACAGCCTGTTAAGGCTATACGGGTGATCTTTGTCTTGTGTTTGTGTGACCGTTCAGCCGCTCACCTTGTCCAGTTTCTGCCAGAACAGCTGCCCCCTGGGCTGCCCCCTCATGCTGGGCGGGATGAACCAGAAGCAGACGTTGGTTCCCTCGGGCTGCAAAGGGAGCAGCCACGCCAGTCACTCTGACTGCGTTGCCAGACCGGCGTAGGCGCATCACGAGTAGCCATGGCCATAGTCAGATGGATAGCGGATGTTGTGCACTGGGGCGTGCAAATATTTGCCGAGCCAGACAGACCTGCTCGAATTTTGTTACCCAGAAAAGTCTCACTGAGACTCTTACGAAGGCTTTTTTCAAGAGGGTCTCGCCGCATTGGGATGTTTGGCCGATTTCATGAATGGGTGGCTTCATGTTGGGAAGGATACGGACGACCCAAAGGAAATTCATATTTGAGAGGGTAACGCTCAAAGGTCAACACAATCAGATTCATGGACCGACTTGCTCTACTGCCATCTGGCTAGCCCAGTGTGGTCTGGTGTTTTGGAATCCCAGACTTTTAGTATGATATCTGTCCATATTCGAGGTTATTTGGGTTAGATCACGTAAGGTTTGTCACTTAAACAAAGCAGGACAATGAGTTACTAGTTCAGCACACCGGTGTGATGGAGAGTAAACCCACAACATTTACCACTCGAGTACCATGTTGTTTCACTGGTAATTACAACAATCAGCCTCATCAGGTGATAGCCAAAATAATGATATATATAACGATTAAAGCTCTACCTGTACCGATATATTTAGGCAGATGATGGAAATAACTATCACCTAAGAGTACTGTTTATAAAAAAAACTCAACTAAACTTTTTATTTGACCAGGTAAGGCCCACTGAGTTGTATAGATCTTTTTCAAAAGTGACCTGGCCACAAATGACAGTTCAACAAAGTGGCTTATCGCGTGGAAATCTATAGCAGCCAAAATAATCTAAACGCGTGTTTCTAAATGTGGAAGGAAAAATCGGAAGGAGGACTCGGAGAAAAATCCACGCGACTACGGGGAGAACATACAAACTCCAAATATACAGGCATCAGGGTCTGGATCGAACCGACAACCCCTTACGCTTAGTTTGTGTCAACAACGGCAGTGTCACCATCGCGAATGTGAATGCGTGCGCAAGGCCCGGCATGCTCGCTGCCACACACCTCCATCAGCAGCTCAAATCCTTCCTTGTCCTTGATCTCATCAGCCAGGTACCTGCACACGCGACCACGCATGCAGGCGAGTTCACGCCGCTACCCCCACATCGCTCCCGCGAGCTCACACAAGTGTAGCGCACAGAGAATCGCATCAGCAGCCATCAGCCATGATCATTCCACTGCTGGGCAACTTTCTACAAATGGCAGTGCAGCCTGAAACACAGTCGCCAGTCACTTGCAACTACGATTTCCATCAAAAACCGAATGATGTAACCAGAGTCGAGCTGCTGTGGTGCTCAACCAAGGCAATGGGACGGCACTCACATCCGCGGGCAGCCCTGAGCCAGTGGTATAAACGTGCTCTTTGAGCACGTGCTCTAAAAAGCACTCCTATTTACAAGTGTCATGTCCAGAAAAAGTGTTACAGTTGGTTACATTATGTAAAAGCCATCTGCTTGGGTGCACTCTACACACGCACACACAATGGCGGAGCCAGGATTTTCAGGTAGGGGGGGGGGCAACCCCTCCAGCAATGAAACATGATAGAGGAGTTGTTAGTAAGTGAGGAGTTGTCCCTTGATTTTTATTCGACGCGTGTGCGGCGATGGCGCAGCCATCGATCGAGGGTCGAATTCGAACCGCGTTGTGTGATCGGCATCGCTCGCTGAAGGTGTTTGCCTTCAGGGAAGTCGTGGACTGTATACGCAACTACGCACAATTCTGAGTCACGTATAACTACTTTGCCGTTATTTCCAAGAATGGACTCAGACTATTGTCCTATCATCTCACAGAGTCACGTAATAATATGCTACATAGTGGCAGTGGGGGTCGCAAAATGTCGATTTATTACTAATAAACCCCAATGATCCGATCGAAATTAGGGATTTCGATCGGATCATTGGGGGGGGGGGGGCACGTGCCACCCCACCCCCCACTGGCTCCGTCAGTGCACACACACACTCTCTACAATTTACTTTAATGGCTATCTTGATGAGGTCAACCTTGTACAAGAGTCATTATAAGCTCAAAATCTTCCCTCAAAATAAACTCTCCGACTCTCATACGGCTAATAAAGCCAGGCCAGTCCCCGTCTCAGTTTCAGAACGGCTGTCCCAGTTTCCCAAAAACATTTTGCGAAAATTGCGATTTCTGTCCGGGGTTAAACACTTTCCGATTTTATGCTCCACTTATGGACTGATCTGTGGGTGGAGCTTCTCGAGCAGTGGGCGGGGCTACAGCCAATAGAAGATGAGCTCGAGGAGGGCTCCCTGAGCGGTGGGCGGGGCTACCCGAGCTGTGGGGGGGGGGGGGCTACCTGAGCGGTGGGCGGGGCTACCCGAGCTGTGGGGGGGGGGGGGCTCCCTGAGCGGTGGGCGGGGCTACCCGAGCTGTGGGGGAGGGGGGCTACCTGAGCGGTGGGCGGGGCTACCCGAGCTGTGGGGGGGCTACCTGAGCGGTGGGCGGGGCTACCCGAGCTGTGGGGGGGGGGCTACCTGAGCGGTGGGCGGGGCTACCCGAGCTGTGGGGGGGGGGGGGCTACCTGAGCGGTGGGCGGGGCTACCCGAGCTGTGGGGGGGGGGGCTACCTGAGCGGTGGGCGGGGCTACCCGAGCTGTGGGGGGGGGGCTACCTGAGCGGTGGGCGGGGCTACCCGAGCTGTGGGGGGGGGGCTACCTGAGCGGTGGGCGGGGCTACCCGAGGCTACCTGAGGGGTGGGTGGGGCTACTTGCGTAGTGGGTGGGGCTTATGAGGGTAGGTGCGGGGTCCAATGTTAAGGGGTCACTCACTCTGAGGGGCAGGGGTCCTGTTTTGTAGACGTGGGGTGGAACTGAGGAACAGCAGGGACCGGCCGCTGGCTCACCAGCTCTCACCTGGTTGAGCCTCCCAGAAATTAGGTACACCACACGTACGTACGTTGTTCTTTCGCACCGTACATAGCCAACCGTGCTAATCGGAGGTGCGACGTGGAAGGACAACAAACTAAACACACACACAAAAATTACCGATAGATGGCAGGGGAAGGCCCCAAATCTAGCAGTTGATTCACAAGCAGTTGTGAAATAGTTCAGTTAGAACGTAATACACCTTTGCTTCATCAGAAATAAAATCCCGGGCCCCATTGTCTTAGTTATTATCTACCGAGGGACAGACTAAGCTGGGGGCGTGTTCTGTAATAATAATAATAGTTCAATTTGTAGCGCGCGCAAATTTGCAGACGTAGTGGCTGCAACTCAGAGGCGCGGAGCCAAGCTCAGAGTCGCTCAAAAGCATCATTGTAGAGATGAGTTTTTAAGTGTCTCTTGAAGGAGGCGATTGAGGTGATGCTGCGAATGTGCAGAGGGATATCGTTCCAGACTGTTGGGGCTGCCACCGAGAAGCGGCGCATAGACGTGACATTCATCATAATCAATGGCACGCTCCGTCACCTGGCGCACGCGAAGGCGCGGTCGACGCGCGCCTCCAGGCCGCGCCGCCCGCACGCCTTCCACGCGAGCCACAGCTTGAGGGCGTCGTCCCTCCTGCCGCACTGCACCGACTTGTCGCCGGGGTCGTGCGCAGAGTCGTAGCACTTGTCCGTCTGGAAGAGGTACGAGGCACTGGCCGAGTGGCATGACCGCAGCAGCCCCTGGAAAAGGCGGTGGGGGGGGGGATAACCGTGGACCCCAGGGGATCCCTGGATTAGCAGATTGACGGAGGAAGAAAATTCCCGAGTGCTTAGACCGACGATACAACGGTGAACCTTTGCGCGTAGGCTTTCGCCACCAATGTTATGATCCGTTACTGATTTGTGTCGTACACCCGCCACCATCCGGCACATCCAAACGAATACAAGTTGTCGCGTGAAAAAAGCATTCTTATTTAAATTTAACAGGTACGCTGCTCCAGCACACGGCTGGGGGATGTTGCAGAGCAATCCACGCACATTTTACAATTTGGTACGGACGTTTCACTGGTGGCTAGAACCAGCATCATCAGGCGATTTCCATAACTGTGAAAATGTCCTCCAGTTTTGAGCCTTAAATAGGGAGTGTGATGTATCAGGAAGTGATTTAGAGAGGTTAATGTATCCACGAATTACAATGTTCCGTTAGGTTATAATACTGTAAATTTTAACATATGTTAATATAAAGGCATCGATACGTATGTGGGGAGTAAGGTTAGTCATAAGTTATTATACATACTAATTGGTCAGTATTGTTAAAATACTGATGTTTGAGTTTCGATTAATGTAAATGTACTTGTTTAAGGTTGTCATGTGATTATTTAACGATGCATTTCTCAGCCACGCTCAGCATAGAAGCTCAGCTTAGTTGATATTATTGTTGTCAATTTAAATCGATTCATCATAATCAATGGAATGCCCTTGTTGGCAGGCAACTGTCTTGGTGAGTATTCGATGTTCCTTTGGTGTTTTTTTAATCTTGTGCTGACATTTCATCCCATCCCATTGGCCCAGTGTAGTAATTTGCCACGCGTGCTAAGCCAAAGTCACACACACACACACACCCTGATTCATGGTCATTATATGACTGGGATGTAGCGCAGTGGTGAGGGCACTGTGCTACAAACCCGGTGGCCCGAATTTGATTCCTAGCCATGGCAACATCAGTGGCGAATTAAATCCGAATCGGTCCTGCACCTCTCCTAGATTGCCTCAGCCTCAAATGAGTACCTGGTGCGGTGTGTAAACTTCGCCACTGGGGAGGCAAAGGCGGCCGGGTGTGGTGCTGGCCACCGACCCCCTCGTGTACCGTGCCAACCGTTATAGGTGCTCGCTAACAGCACTTGCCCCAACTCTGTAAAGGATATACGGTGCAACTTTGACTTTGTTGTATTTAACGACGTCATGTGTGCCGTGTGTCGTCGCAATCTCCGTGCTCCGGTTCTGTGCGTGTGGCTCGCTTCTCGCACACAGCGGGAGACAAGGGATGGAGCTGCGGACGGAGCTCACGGTGTCATCGCGGAGCAGCAGCGCGCAGCACTGCAGTCCGGACATGAGCATCTTGTGCGGGTTCCACGCCACCGAGTCCACCCTGCGTGCACAGCGGCGCAGATTCAATCAGGTGCTAACCAAAGCCCTAAAACCATGGTCATAACCCTAGCTCTAACCCTAAACCGTAGCCCAAGTCTAGCTTTGAAGGTAGCTATAAAATTACGGTGGCGAGATGTTAACTACCTCGCCTGGTACACAGGAGGTCGTGGTTTCGATCCTGACCCTGACGCCTGTATATTTGGAGATTGCATGTTGCCCCCGTGGTCGCGTAGATTTTTGTCAGGGTCCCCGGGGTTTTCCCTCCATATTTAGAAACGTGCGTTTAGAGTATTTGGCTGCTAAAAATGCCCACATGCTAAGCCACTTTGTTGAGCCATCATTTGCATTAGCGAGGTCACTTCTGAAAACGAGCTATAAAGCTCAGTGGTCCTTGCCTGGTAAAATAAAATAGTTTAAATAGTTTTAGTTTATATCCCACGCCTACCCCCTAACCCATAGCCCAAGTCTAACACTAACTCTAGATATAGTCCAAGCCATCACCCTACTCTTAGCTCTCAGGCTCGTACACCAAGAGCTCTGCTATCCGCCACTTCGCCGTACGGAACGCTGGTTCTGCTGGCATATGTCATAGACGGCACGTATCCAGATAAAAAAAAAATATCCGATAATTCAACTGGCATCTCATAAGAGATGCGAGTTACTAACGGAGGCTTCGGGGACACTGCGGCCGAGTTGAGTACACACACACACAATGCTGCCGAGTTGGTGGCAGCAGCGTTCTTGCTGGCGCTAGTATCGTGACTTTGTGCACGCGTGCCCCATGTGTGTGCAATTGTGGTTAACTCATTGCCCCTTCCGACAAGTAAGCTAGCATCAGGAGTCAATGTAAGTGAATATAAAACAGTTTTTTTTTATTTCCTTTATTTTATGTTTTATTTACGATACAGCATTTTTTACAGTGTTACATGCAAATGTTTCTTCTTAATTATGCGTTTAACAACGCTTCCCTTTTTGTGGATCCGTAACACGTTTCTTACCACTGACCGTACGGGCATTTAAATACGGTGCGTTATTGTGTTCCGACTTACGGACCGTTCAGCTTACGAACGGGCTCTCAGGAACCAATTGTCTTCGTTAGCCGAGGACTGCCCGTAACTGTACTTAAAAACTGTTCTACTGCTTCTCTACAATCGACTTGGAATGCTCTACTACAACTGACTGGTGTGTTCGTCTGCAAAATAGTTTATTATTATTCATTAAATATCATATTTGAAATGTAGGCTTCGTTCCTTTCTTGGAATAGTACTTGGAAAATTCGGTGAACCCATTACAGTACAACCCCTCTTAACTAGCACTCCTGTTAACGACGGGCCTCCATAGAGGCCAATGTGTAGTGAAAAGTGTAGTATATAGTGTAGTGTATAGTAGTGTAGTGTATAGTGGAGTATATAGTAGTGTAGTGTATAGTCGTGTAGTGCAGTGTATTCTGCACACTCAAGAGTACACACACACACTGAGAGTACACTCACACTCACTGAGAGTACACACACACTGAGAGTACACACACACACACTGAGAGTACACACACACTCACACTGAGAGCACACACATTCACACTCACCTGTGTATACCGTCGAGCAGGTGGCGGTGTCGATGGGAGAGCAGCGCACTCCCTCCCCACGACGCCTGCACGGGGCATTGGGCAGGGCGAGACACAAGGGGAGGGAGGGGGACACGGGGAGGGAGACACGGGGAGGGAGGGAGACACGGGGAGGGAGGGGGACACGGGGAGGGAGACACGGGGAGGAAGGGAGACACACGGGGAGGGAGGGGGACACACGGGGAGAGAGACACGGGGAGTGAGACACGGGGAGAGAGACACGGGGAGACACGGGAGGGAGACACACGGGGAGGGAGACACGGGGAGGGAGACACGGGGAGGGAGACACACGGGGAGGGAGACACGGAGAGGGAGGGAGACACATGGGGAGGGAGACACGGGGAGGGGGACACGGGGAGGGAGGGAGACACGGGGAGGGAGGGAGACAGACGTGGAGGGAGACACGGGGAGGGAGGGAGACACACGAGGAGGGAGACACGGGGAGGGAGGGAGACACACGGGGAGGGAGACACGGGGAGGGGGACACGGGGAGGGAGGGAGACACGGGGAGGGAGGGAGACAGACGTGGAGGGAGACACGGGGAGGGAGGGAGACACACGGGGAGGGAGACACGGGGAGGGAGGGAGACACACGGGGAGGGAGACACGGGGAGAGGGACACGGGGAGGGAGAGGGACACGGGGAGGGAGGGAGACACGGGGAGGGAGGGAGACAGACGTGGAGGGAGACACGGGGAGGGAGGGAGACACACGGGGAGGGAGACACGGGGAGGGAGGGAGGGAGACAGACGGGGAGGGAGACACCGGGAGGGAGGGAGACACAGAGAGCGAGAGATATGGGGAGAGAGACACGAGGAGGGGGACACGAGGAGGGAGGGAGACACAGAGAGCGAGAGACATGGGGAGAGAGACACGGGAAGGGAGGGACATCCACGGGGAGGGTGACACGGGAAGGTTTCTGAGCACAGTCCGATAACCAATGCACCACCGCTCACCTCAAACATATCTGGAGGGTTTATTTGAACCGGGTCTGGCTCAGCCATCCAGACTATAACAATAAAGCAATTTATAACGAGCGCATATTGACAAAACGACAGGCGAACAACTAAATAGCAACTCTGAGGTATGGAGCCAGGCTCAGGATCCCTCGTACGCCCGATCGAACAGATGTACAGAAGAGCCTTCAACAGTCTCCCGAGAATGGGGTGGATTGAATGCTGCTAAGAATGTGCCGACTCCTACCCCTACATACACTTAACCAGAAATAACGGACTCTCCTTCGGCAGAATCCGATGTCTGTGTCACATTCATGACGATTCCTTTTAAGCAACTACTGCCAACTCGCACATCCTTTGGACGCGACCATCCATGCGTCCGTCCCTTCCCTCCAGCCAGCAAAACTTTTTTTAATAATGCGGCCTGACTTAATTTGCCACATTCCATACAATTTTCAGAAGGGAGGGTTCATGTCCGAGTGTGGTTGGCGGGGTCCGGCAATGGAAGAGGATAGAGGGGGCCGGTAGTGGTCAAGCATGGGGGGGAGGGGAGGGGGAGTGGACATGCCCCCCCCCCCCACAATGAGGCGTTTGTTCTCACGTCCACGTGCAGCCACAGGCCCCGGCGCTCGCACGTGTCGGCCACGGCGCCGATCGGGTCGAACGCGCCCAGCACCGTCGTGCCGGCGGTGAGCACCACCATGAAGGGTACAGCACCCTGCACGATTGGGGTGGGCGGGGGGGGGGGGCAGGCATGGGGAGGGGGGGGGGCCCGAGTCACCTTCACGCAGTCGTGCGTCTGCGTGTCTCTGGCTGCCGTGCCCGGTGGTGACGGGCCCTGCTCAGTCTCTAGAGACCGCGTGGCTTAAATTTAGGTCACTGGTCTATTTGTAATGTTCGTGAGCGTTTGCTTTTGTCTCCTGTTTCTCTCTGTGAAAAGTAAAATCAAAGCTGTTATTACATTATTTGTACTGGAAGGTTGTCGGGGAAGCAAGTAAGAAATGTTTTTTTTTCCCACAATTATATTCTAATTGTGCGAATGATTGATGTTCGGTAGATGATCGGTAGATGATCGGTAGATGATCGGAAGATGGTCGATCGATGATCAGTAGATGATAAAATTCCCATTTGAAATTCTTACATTGGACACAGAGCACCACTTTGTGTCAGAGAATGGCTCCATAAGATAACGTCATAGAACTACTTCTGAAGTCGATTCAGTCGGCCTCTTCATTCGTTCGGGGCACATGCTTTGTGTGGCCTGAAAAGAGTTATTATTCGCCCTGTCAATCAGACGGATTCTTTGTGTTTGTTAATTCTCAGCGCTGCAATCGGCCAAATGAAATGAAGCCAAGGACTCTCTGCACGGTTTAATCGGCAGCAACAGTTTCGAAGCCAGGATGCTCCGCCGCGACCACTATGAGCCAGCCAAAGCACCCGGTCAGCTCCGACTCGTTGTGAAAGTGCGACGTCGTCTGAAGGGGTCTCCCACCTCAGCCTTCGCCTCCTCGATTCTCCTCTCCAGCTCGGATGGGATCATCTTTCCGCTGGGAAGGAAAGGGACGCGCGGTGTCAAACAGAAACCACTTGAGCCGTTGTGCTTGGAAAAGCTTGAGCGATGCTTACAGCTATCGTATATGGGGCGTCAGGGTAGCGAGATGTTAACTGTTTCGCCCGGTATACAGAAGGTCGTAGGTTCGATCGTGACCCTGATGACTGCATATTTGGAGTTTGTTTGTTCTCCCTGTGGCCGTGTGGATATTTTTCCGGGTCTTCCGGTTTTCCCCTCCACATTTAGTTTTCCCCTCCACGTTTAGAGTATTTGGCTGCAAGAAATGTCCACATGATAAGCCACTTCGTTGAGCTATCATTTGTGGCCAGGTCGCTTCCGATTAGCACGGTTGGCTACGTAAGATTGGAAAGACGTTCAACATACATAAATCCTGAAAAAGAGCTATATAGGTCAGTGGACCTCACCTGATGAAATAAAACAAATGTTTATAGTTTAGTGTAGATGTGAAATATACCATAATCCACTCACTGGAGAATACACTCTCACGATTGGCTATTGTGGGCCATATCAAGAGACTGATACTACTTGAATTGTGCCACATCAGGTGGCAGCCCTGCCCCCCAACACTTTCCCCGCTTGACACCCGCGCAAGTAACGAGAGGTGCTCAACCCCTGGGGGAGTTACCCGGGTGTTTATATTTGAGAAGGGAATCTTGCTCACCGGTCGTCCACCGCCACCGACCTCACGTTGTCGGTGCCGATGCCAAGGAAGGCGGCCGCTTTCTGGATGGAGTAGTGAGCCTGGAGGTACAGAGAGTAAAGATGACGCCTGGCTGTTGGGGCGAGTGCTGTTAGTGAGTAGCACCGATGAAGGCCGGCACGGCACACGATGGGGTGGGTGGCCCAGCACCACGCCCGACAGCCTTCGTCTCCCCAATGGCGATGTTTACACACCACATCAGGTCCTTATTTGAGGCTGAGTTGACCTAGGGGAGGCTCAGGACCAGTTCAGACAATCGTCACTGCTGTTGACTCTGAGTGGGTATTGAACCCGGGTCGCCGGGCTCGTAGTGCAGCGCGCTCACCGCTCCACTATCGCTCCCCACTTCACAAAGACAAAGATCCCCCGTATAACCTTAACAGACTGTAGGGGCAAGCGCTGTTAGCGAGCACCTATGAATGCCGGCACGGCACACGAGGGGGTGGGTGGCCAGCACCACGCCCGACCGCCTTTGTCTCCCTAGTAGCGATGTTTACACACCGCACCAGGCACTCATTTGAGGCTGAGTTGACTGAGTGGAGGTCCAGGACCGGTTCAAATAAACCGTCACTGGTGGTGGCCGTGAGCGGGAATCAAACCCGGGTCACCGGCTTGGTAGCACAGCGTGCTAACCGCTGCACTACCGCTCCCCACAGACACACGCACGCAGACACTCGCACGCAGGCGTCCACACGTATCGGACTCCCCCTAGGCGTGTAGAGGTCACTCGATCAGGATCGATCGTTATGCCAGGAGCAAGGGTTTTTAATCACGCGTGAGGACCACGGCTATTATGAGTGGTACGGTGGTGCGGCGGCTGTTCTTGCACTGCGCTCTGACCCCGATGACCCGAGTTCGATTCCAGGACGCGGCTAACAATCGTGGCGGGTGACATCTGAACCTGTCGCCGTGAGCCTCTACCATCACCGGTCTGCACTGACCCGCGTGGTGAAGTATGGCCAAATCACCCCCTGACTGACACGGAGGGGGGAGGCCTCCATCCACGAGTGGATTAAGGACTGTAAATCATAAATATATGAATTTATATTACTCGCAAATTTCACCTTAATGGTACCAATGACGAAACAAAATTGTCGAGGACAATCAGCAACAAGTGCGGTGTCATTTATTTATGGATAAAACCCTCACCGAGTCTCACGACGCTGTATTCAGGACATTAGTACACACATTGGTACACAGAAACAAAACCCAGCACACGAACAAAGCGTCTCACACTCACAGTTCCACACACCAAGCAGCCCAGCTGCTTTGGCCGGTCTACATCGTGCACGCGTTTGCTTGTTTTTGCCAGAAACGCCTAGAGCTGAGTTCCTGAACGAGCTCCCGGCACGTGGGGGGAAACGTCGGACGTCGTTCCGAACGACACGCGGCGTGACCCAAAAACGCATCGGAGCGCCACACTCCCCCTTGCACGATCCAACAACCCTCTCACCTCGAGAGAGCTGGACCACTGTGGGCGTGCACCACCACCACCACCACCGCCACCACCCAACTCAAGTAGTGGGGTCTGCGTGTCATCCCAGGGATGCTGGAAGATGGGGCTGGGTCCCCTTTGTGACCGGGGGAGGGGTGGGGTGGGGGGTGTGGTCCGGGCCGGGCTGGGCACCCTCACCTCGCCCGAGGTGAAGAGCACGAGGCGAGGGAGTGCGCTCAGCCCCGCCGTCTTCACGCGCGGACACAGCCGGAAGCGGGCCACGTTCATCGCGCACATGTTCGACACGGAGCCTCCTGCGCAAGCACAGGCGACGACGACGATGACGACGGCGACAAGGGCGATGGCGGTGGTGGAAGTAATAACGGTGATTTCAACTTGCTACGCGGTGCCGCGCGGCCATCGCTCGCCCTCTTAGAGAGAGAGAGAGAACGACTCGGAGACGCGAGGAGGAACCACAGACGAGCGGAAATAGCAGCAGCAGCCTACGCAGTGATCTGGCACTAAATACGCACTAGAGGTCTGCCGTCCTCTATGTGTCGAGATGCTATTGGCACATTAATGAGTGTTTAACACGTGGGAGGGATTCGGAGCGCCCGGAGAAAATCCACGCGTGCGAGGGGGCAACGCTCTATCCCAGGGGGACGGAGCAGGTGGAAGTGCACTTCTGCTGTACCGCCTTCTTCTGGCGAGACGGGGTACGCTTCTTCGACGCCCAAAGGAAATGAAGGGAGTTTCTCAGCATCTGTGCGTGACCCACCAACCCCCTCTCCTCCACAGTGCTGGATCACAGGCCACGTGCACCACCACCACCTCCTAGCGAGATGTTGTTGTTGTCGATGATGATGATGGGGAGAGAGTCTGAGCTGGCCTGATCTGTTTCCCCCAATTCTAGAGTCTGAAGAATAACTCCGTTTGGCGATAAGAAAGTGACCTTTCCATGACTTGCTGAATTACTCGACGCGCAAACTCCGAGGAGCCGCCCGACAATGATTATAATCCACTCTCACAAAGATGTCTGGCGCGCAGCTTCAGCCCATTCCTCCCCACTCCTCGGCTCCTCTCGACTGAAGAAGAAGACCCGAATCCGCTGAAGTGTCAGCCGACGACCGCATTCGCCGGAATTACACGAAGCACGATTTTCTTATTTTGATCGCTTGCGCCGGCATCACAGCAACCGTTGGCGGTGCGTCTTGTAGCCCGGTGGCTGAGGCGTGCGTGCGGCCGCAGCCGTGGAACTTTACTGACGCCCATCGTAAGTTTTGGGGCATTTATTGCCATAGGCGGAGTTTCACTTCTATATTTGTGGGGGGGGGGGGGGGTGGCAGGGGTCCGCTTTGTCCCTCACATTAGGAATCGCGGGTGCTTATAAGTACGATTTTTTACAATCTTAATTGTAAACTACTGAAGATAAATTAATAAAGGTGACAAGTTTGGGAGGGGGCCTTGCCCCCCATGACCCCCCCTCAAACTCCGCCAATGATTTTTACACATACAGTAAATATACGACAAATGACCACCGTACTGGCTTTCTTTATTCTGTGCTTCGACTCGACTGAGGATGTCATGGATAAGTAATCAAACATAGAGAGATACATATCTGTGTTTGTAAACGTAAATACCTACACGTGCCCTGTGGTGTCGGTGTTGGAGAGAGTGGAGGCCGCGTCTTACCCGGGCAGAAGATTCCGTCTCCCGAGGTCCACCCCACCATCTTCCGCAACGTCCTCAGCACCTCCTCCTCCAGCAGCACCCCCACGGGGGCCACCTCGTACGTGTAGCTGCTCGCCGCACAACAGACAAAGATCCCCCGTGTAGCCTTACAGACCTTTGCGGGAGAGAGGGGACAAGTGCCGTTTAGGCCAGTATCGCACACACGTGGTGGCGAGATGTTGACTAGCTCGCCTTCTGTACAGGAGGTTGGGGGCTTGACCCCGACACTGACGTCTGCTCTATGGGTGGAGTGTGCATGTTCTCCACGCGGTTGCGTGGACTCTTCTCCGGGTCCTCCCTCCGGTGTTCCCCTCCACATTTAGAAACGTGCGTTTATGAGCATTTGGCTGCTATAAATTTCCACGTGATATGCCATTTCGTTGAGCTATCATTTGCGATAGCCAGGCCACTTCTGAAAAATAGATTCATAGCTCAGTGGGTCTTACTTGGCAAAATAAAAATAGTTAAAAATAGGTTTATATACTCGGCACCACGCCGGGCTGCCTTTGCCTCCCCAGCGCTGATGCTCGCACGCAATTAAGGCGGATTCGAGTCGGGGTGGCCCTGACGTGGTTCAAATATCGCTCGCCGCTGATGTCAGCCGTGGTCGGGAATCAAACTCCTCGGGTCGACGAGTTTGCGGCGCGGTGTCGCTAACCGCAGTACCCCACCGCGGGGCGCACGGCACACGGCACACGGCACGGCACACGGCACACGGCACGACGCCGGACTCACACGCTGGCGTTGAGGGCCTCGGTAATCCAGCGAGCAGCCAGGGCGTGGTAGTCCAGGCCGGCGAACAGCTGGTTGTAGAAGCGTGGGTGAACTGCGAGAGAGAGAGGGAGACAAAGGCGGGGGCTCTCGGTTATGTCGGACAAGTGGGATAGTAAGGTCACTCAAGGTCAGTTGGGTCATACTGATGACTGATCTGCTCTGACAAGTCTCCCACAATCTGGCCTTAGGTCTTCCTCTTGGTCGCCCGATTCGTCAAGACCCCAATACGGTATATAATAATGATGATAATAATACAATACAACCCCCTCCCCCTCAATCACCCCCCATCATCCCCAGCATTCCCATCAACCCCCTCCACCCCCATCACCCCCTCCCCCTCCATCATTCCCATGAACCCCTTTCACCTCCATCACCCCCCCCCTCCATCATCTCCATTATTCCCATCCACCAAGTGTTTTGTTATTCATCAGAACTGCGTCCAGTGAATGCTAATGTTGACACCGGCTGCTGGGACGGGCGATCGAGGCCCGCGAGCGACTGGCGGCTTCATCGCCATTCAGCGGCAGTTCAGCTTCTCATTAATTTGATAATTTACTTGACAATTTTTTTTTTACTTTCTAACAGCGCCCTTCTGTGTAATACGAAAACACAACGCGACAAACAAAACAACAACAACAAAAGACTCTACACCCCCCTCCCCGGCCCCCACCCCACACCGCTTTGTGTGAATTTTTATTTTTTTAAACCATGACGTTGCGCGAAGCGTAAAGCGATGCCATTGTGAGTCGGCGAGGTGATTATGAACTAAGAATGGGGAGTTTGTTCTTCGTTAATTAAGCCAATGCACAAGGGGGGGGCGAGGCGGGGAGGGGGTGGGGGGCTCGATGAGTTCACGCTCCACTGACGCGAACATTCACTCTGTGTTCCACCGCCGCCGTCTACGTGACTGAAGCGGCAATCGGACAAAAAGAAAAAAACGAAAGCACCCCAGGGACCAGCCCCCCCCCCAAAGCCCCCCAAACTCCCACCCCTTCACCCCCCCCCCCTCAATCACCCTGGCCTTCAGCGCACGTGGTGTATAGCCAAATAACCCTCCTAACCAGCACGGCGTTTGCAGGCCCTCGTCCAGGACTGTCAAAAGGGCTGCGCGTGTGTCCACGGTGGGTACACGGGCAGTGTGTGGCCTCTGTGTCTACACCTCGCATACGTACGTACTGTACGGTGTGCTGACATGTGTGTGAGTCTAAAGGTGATCTGCAGAGAGTGGCATCCATGGCACCTCGAGACAGTGTGAGTTCCGATATAGAGACGTGGAGAGACCCATGTTGTCTCTGTCGGGAGAGGTGGCCAGAAGAGACGCAGACGCGCGTACGCGTCCACGTGTGAACACACCTCCGTGTCTGCCTCGAGGTGTGTGTCAATCACTTCTGCTCATCGTTGACGTTGCGTGTCTGTGTGTTAGTGCACTGCGTTACAAACTTCCGCCCAGGTTCACCAGTCTGCTGGTCAACCCCCCCTCCCCTTACTTCATCCGGCAGTGGATTAACAAAGGTGTGTGCATGGTAATCATTATGATTGTGTCTACAGAGATATCGGTGCGAGCACAGACTTGTCATCGTCCCCACGTGGGCTTTCTCATCTCCACTCTTTATGAACCCATCACCGCCATCATCTCCATCAACCCGCTGCACCTCACATCATCACCATCATTCCCATCAACCTCCTCCACCTACATCACCCCCATCATTTCCATCATTCCATGAACTACCTCCACCTCCATCACCCCGCTCATCATCTCCATCATTTCCAACAACCCCCTCCATCACCCCACCATCATCACCATCCTCACCATCAACCCCTCCACCTCCATCACCCCCCCCCCCCCACCTTCATCTCCATCATCCTGCCTCGTGGAGGACCCTACCCACCGTCTCGAGAATCGCGTTGCGACTCCTATAAAATCCGACTCGGGACTCCGAGCGCCAAGGACACGAGGCTCTAAAGGTCACGTGTCGCCTGATTTGGTCACGGGCATGGCAGTGCCAGGCTCCGTGTCAAGCGCCACGAGGCACGGCGCCGGCTTGGTGCAGGGCTGCCACCCGTTCCCGGCTGCTGGCGGGCGCTGCGATGTGCTATTGACGCTGAGCGCCCCAGTGACAGCTCCAACTAGCGAGGTTCCCGTGTGCTCGGACTTGACGGTGAGCCCAGAGGGAAACTCGCCGAGGCCTCAAGCTCCAAAGCTCTCGGCCACTGCGCTCCGCGGACGGGGTGGTGAGTGTGCGCGTGATTCTCACGCAGGTGACGACGACGATAATTCAGTAATCGATGTCTTCACGACAGCCTCGCTGAGTCTCCAGACTGTTCTTCTGTACACTTTTTTTAAAAATCTATATTTCTCTACGTGTTTCCTTTTGAGGGCAGTGTTGTGGTTGCTGTTTGTGCTAAAGCTGCACTGCCAACAGATCCCTTACCTGGCTCGGGAGAATTGAGGGATTTTTTACGCAAAAACTCCCATTGGCGGTTGCGTAGCTAACGAGTGTGCAGGCGGTGCAACTGCTCTCCCACGAGCCGAGGGGGGCACAGACACCGGGCCAATAGGAGAGAGGAGATTGTACAGGGGGGCCCAGTTGATTTTGTGGACCAGGCACATGCCAACCATGCTATGCCACTGCACGCTAGAATAGAATTTTGCCAAACAATTTCTCATGCAGAAAGGGAGGCTCGGGTCTCATGGATGCTTTTCCTGTCTCGGATACATAAATCCACGCGTCTAATTTCATCCACGTACACACCCACACGGGCAATCAAATACCGTGGCTCATGAAAACGAATGAATCGTTATTATATAACGGGATTAAAATAAAGCTCGTGGACGCTTTAGTTGTTGTACAACTTTGTATGCGTGACACCACCACGGGGAGGGTGAGTGGAGTCAAGGATGTAATGAGCGCGCAAAGAGAAGTGATGCCAGGAACGGAAGGGCCCTAGACGGACAAAGAGGAAGGCGCCGCGCTCAGCTGAGCAGCAGGAAAACAAAGGAGGAGCGCGGAACGGGAAGACGAGGAGAAGGAATGACGGGGCAAAGATGTCGGGAGTGATCAGAGGCTGATGATGACGACGAGAGAGGAGGGAAGAGAGGGAGCGAGCAGAAATGAGATGCACAGCGTCTGTTTTCCCAGCGGGCGGTGAGCGATGAGAGGGATTCCGAGTGGGGTGGCCACGCACGAGTCACGTGCTTCACGGGAGTCACGTGCTGGTGAAGAGATGGAGGAGGACGCCCGGTTCCTCCGCTTCCGACACCAAACTGCCCGCCACCGAATTACTGAAGAGACCTAAGTTCGCTCACTCCTCCACATTAAAGCGGCATATGCTTAGGTCCATCAGAGCACGTGCCTTCAAACGCCAATATTACCCAGCAGCAGCATATTGCCAAACAAACTCTGGACCGGTTTCAACATGTTGGTCTTATCAGCGGAGTCTGGCTCTCTAAACTGTGTTGTGAGTGAGCACGTGGTAAAGAACGCCGCGTGCGACGTGATGATGTGAACACAGGCCACACCGGACGTCGATGGCGTGATGCCATGGTGGTGTTAGTGGTGGTATTAGTGGTGGTTTGGCAGCGGAGGTCTCACTCCGAATCAGTCGAGCGGCAATATCTTTTCATCGGTTGCGTAATGCTGTGTGGAAGCTGTCTGGTCTGTCGCTCCGCACGAAGCTTCAGGTCTTCTCGGCCACAGGCATTCCATCCCTTCTCTACGCTTGCGAAACGTGGACCCCCTAATGGAGCATCTTCGCCGGTTAGAAACATTTAGGCTGGCCTGCCTACGATCCTTCCTGGGTTTAACCAGGCTGGAATGTGTGAGGAGCTCACAAATCCTTGAAAGATCTGGGCAAAGTCCCATTGGTGAGCTCCTCCGGCAGGCAAGGCTGCGTTGGCTGGGTCATGTAGCCCGCATGCCCAGCCACCGCATGCCCAAGCAGCTTTTGTTCGGCCGGATTTAGGGGGCTAAACGGGCGAAGCACGGGCTAGAGAAGAGATGGAGTGATGTGGTACAGGACTTGGAGCTGAGTGGACTTGCCGATGACTGGTACCAGCGGTGTCAAGATCGGCCTCTGTGCAGGAGGCTTGTGAAGGATGCTACTGGGCAGTGTTGCGCTGATGTTATCATTTTGGTCGCGTTGTCGGTGTTGTTGTCGGTGTTGTTGTCAGTGTTGTTGTTAGCAGTGTTGTCAGTATTGTTGTTAACAATGTTGTTGATGTTGTGAGTGTTGTTGTTGTCAGTGTTCTTGTGAGTGTTGTTGTGAGTGTTGTGAGTGTTGTTGTTATCAGTTTTATTGTTGTCAGTGTTGTTGTTATTGTCAGTGTTGTTATCAGTGTTGTTGTTGTTGTCGTCTCGCACCTGTCTTGACGCTGTACGCGATGACGTCCCGGCAGCGCTGCAGCAGCTGCTGGTGGGGCTCCCCGCGCTCCCCCAGCTCCACGTCCAGCAGCGCGCGCAGCTCCGCGGGGGGTCGCCACTCACACACCTGGGCACGCGCACGCACGCGCACTGGAGCACGAGCACACAAAGACAAAGGTCCCCCGTGTAGCCTGGGACAGGCTGTTCGGGCAAGTGCTTTTTAGCGAGCACGGCACACGAGGGGGTGGGTGGCCAGCACCACACCCGGCCGCCTTTGTCTCCCCAGTGGCGATGTTTATACAACGCACCAGGTACTCGATTGAGGCTGAGTCGACCTAGGGGGGAGGCCCAGGACCGGTTCAGGTAATCGTTACTGGTGGTGGTCGTGAGCCGAAATCGACCTCGGGTCGCCGGGTTCGTGGCGCAACGCGCTAACATTTTCGCTGCCACACCCCAAATACAAAGATCCCCCGTGTAGTCTTAAAAGACTGTTGGGGCAAGTGCTGTTAGCGAGCACCTATGCAGGCCGTCACGGCACACAAGGGGGTGAGTGACCAGCATCACGCCCGACCGCCTTTGTCTCCCCAGTGGCGATGTTTTTTACGCACTGCGCCAGGTACTCATTTAAGGCTGAGTCGACTTAGGGGAGGCCCAGGACTGATTCAGACAATCGTTTTAGCCGTGAGCGGGAATCGAACTCGGATCGCCGGGTTCGTAGCGCAGCGTAGCGCTAACGGCTCCACCACCGCTCCCCACATACACACACTCAACACGACCCACAAAGTAACTGGCATTGGGACAAACATCGTCATGCTTGGAATGCGCCTGTAGTCCTGTACATTACTCGATTGGGATTACGCAACACAGCGCAGCATCGCCCCCCGAGTACAAACACTTGGCAGGACGCTCCTGGAAACACGAACACATACTCATCGTGTACGACACTAACCAACGAAGACAAAGATCCCCCGTTTAACACGTAGTCGGCTTTCGCGACCAATATCATCCATAGGAGGTTTTTTTTGGGTTAGATCGCGTAAATATAAATGTGTCGTTAAACCGGCCACCACCCGACACAGCCAATCAGTAAGGTTTGTCACGTAACCAGAGCGTGCCAATTTGTTACGAGTACAGCACTAACCGGTTGTGTGTTGGACAATAAATCCACAACATGCACAATCTGAGTACGGCATGTCGCCAGTAATTACAACCAGCATCATCAGGCGGCAGCCAGAATTTGTGGAGAAATCCTCCTGTCTCGTTCCTCAAGGAGAGGGATGGGTGTGATAACGTCACTTGCGAGCCCTTCATGTGCGAAGGCCAGAGGGGGCGGGGGGGGGGGGATTAATGAATGCATATACATTACAATGGGTAAAGATCCCCCGTATAGCCTTAACAGACTGCTGGGGCAAGTGCTGTTAGCGAACACCTATGAACGCCAGAACGGCACACGAGGGGGTGGGTGGCAAGCACCACGCCCGGCCGCCTCTGTCTCCCCAGTGGCGATGTTTTTATGCACCGCACCAGGTACTCATTTGAGGCTGAGTCGACCTATGGGAAGCCCAGGACCGGTTCAGATAATCGTCACTGGTGTTGGTGGCCTGAGCGGGAATTTAACTCGGGTCGCCAGGATTGCAGTGCAGCGCGCTAATCGCTATACTACCGCTCCCCACACAAACGCACACGCAGACACACACGCACGCACACACAGACACACACACACACAGACACACACACACGCACACAGACACACACACACGCACACAGACACACACGCACGCACACACAGACACACACACACACAGACACACACACACGCACACAGACACACACACACGCACACACAGACACACACACACGAACACACATGCATCCGCTGGTCGAGATTAACAACGGAGTGACAGCCAAAGGAGTGGACGCGCTATTTGAGGACGCCCACAGCGGAGATGGAGCGACGGAATCGGCGCGTCTAGCAGGGGAGTGGGTGGGGGGGCACCTGGGGGGAGAGGGGGCAGTACCTTCTCATTGACGTCTGTGCCCTTCACCACGGCTTCCTGGAAGATGATGGGGAACACATCCAGGAGGAACTTCTCGCCGGCAGCGCGCGTCCAACAGGGGTCCGTTGATGGGGACCCCTTCCACGAGCACGGGGAACCCCGGCGAAGGGGACCCGGCCAGGAACGGGGCGGCCGGAGCACCGCTCTCCACGACCTCTGAGCTGCTGCTGTTGCTGCTGTCGGTGGGCGCCGTGTCTCCCATCGCTGCGTGGAAGCCTGGTGGTCCAGGCGGCGGATTGAGGAACTCCCCACCCAAATGATTGACCCCCAAACACGCTCCACCCGCTGTATTTGTAGACCTGGAGGTAATGTATTTTGATCACGTGCGCCTCATTGCATAACGAGGGCTACTCTTGTCTGGAAAAATACAAACATCCACGGCCCGACTTATTTTGGGCTCTTTGCTGCGTTGGAAATGTTCTCGATGGAAAGGAGTGGACACGTGCGGCGGGGAGGACAAAAGCAGCGAAGAACAGACCTTGCATCTGGCACACACAGGAGGGTCATAGGCTACGGACTCATATTTCACTCGATATCTACCGAAACGCTGCTGCTCGACTGGCAAGGAGTAGGGATTATCGGCGTGAAGCACCACTGGAACACAACGTACGCATATCGATACCAATCCTATATCATTGGCTCGACGGATTGTGGCTGGTTGCCAAAGAACAAGCGCCGCGGTGGCGAGATGGCAACTGCCTCGCATGGTACGCAGGAGGTCGTGGGTTCGATCCCAAATCTGACGCCTGCTGCTGCTGTATATTTGGAGTTTGCGTGTCTCTCTCCCCGTGGTCGCGTGGATTTTTCTCCGGGTCCTCCGGGGGTTTCTCTCCACATTTAGATTCGATGTGTGTTTAAGAGTATTTGGCTGCTGTACATTTCCACGCGATAAGCCACTTCTCTGAGCTATCGTTTGTGGACAGGTCGTTTCTGAAAAAGAGCTAAATAGCTCAGTGGGCCTTCCCAAGTAAAATAAAAACTAAATACTGGTTTAATTAGTTAAATACTTTCCCAGGACAGCGTTCTGAACTGTTCCCGCTGAAATTAAGCACCGGTCAAAGCCACGGAGATAAAACTTAACGAGGATTAAAAAAACATCCCTGCGGAGATGAGAGCATTTCTCTCCGACGGCATCCGAAAAGCAACGGATCAAAATTTCCAACCTAACGTGGAAACCTTTGCGGTCGCCCGGCCGTGGCGTTCATGAATGGCCTGAGGCTCGGGCAGCTAACTTGAGGCCCACTGACACCTTCAACAAAACAGTGGTGTGGCCGACAGAACCACCACATTTGCCTGGCGCCGGGCTTCAGAGGATATGCCAACCCCGACGGCTGCCCTCCGGCTCAACCCACCTCGTCGTGGTGGCTGTTGGATTGCCCGACCCTGGATCGCCGTAAGCGCTGGGTCATGGCCAACGCGTCAACCCCACCCCCGTCGCAACCTGTGTAAGTCCGTGATATGTGCAGCATCGGGTCAAGAGTCTTAAACCCAGGGACCCTCTGTGCGAGGGATACCACGGACAGATGCGGCTGAGACCTTGCTTGGATAAATGACCCTGGTAGGCGCTCGTCCAACGAATCCCGTTTTCATTGAAGACCCCCCCCGCTCCCTCCCCCCAATCCGCTCGGTGGGGTTGGGGTTTGGGTTCGGGTGGCGAGGGGTGGGCAGGACTCATCCAGAGCCTTCTGGGCTCTGCGCCCAGCTGCCTCGCTTTCAGCTGCTGTGACATTTCGACTGCAATTCCCGCCTCCAACCCTCACCCCGGGCTCATCGGTCCCCGGTGTGCCAAGAGACCACGAAAATAGAGGCACTAAAAACAGAGTCGCAGCGTGGAAGGGGATGGGGGTGAGAGACGGGGTTAAGGGATCCGTCGGGCGGTGCCAGGGAGCGGGGAGTCGGGGGGGGGGGGGTCTGCCGAGTGGGGTCTGTGAGCGTGGTGTGCATTGTGAGAGATTATTTTTAATGAATGTGCGTGTCCGAGAATGGCTGTGCGCGTGTCTACGTGTATTTATCAGTGTGTGTGCGTGTACATGTGTATGCGTGTCTATGACTGTGTCAGTGTGTGTGCGTGTAAATGTGTATGCGTGTCTATGACTGTGTCAGTGTGTGTGCGTGTACATGTGTATGCGTGTCTATGACTGTGTCAGTGTGTGTGCGTGTAAATGTGTATGCGTGTCTATGACTGTGTCAGTGTGTGTGCGTGTACATGTGTATGCGTGTCTATGACTGTGTCAGTGTGTGTGCGTGTACATGTGTATGCGTGTCTATGACTGTGTCAGTGTGTGTGCGTGTACATGTGTATGCGTGTCTATGACTGTGTCAGTGTGTGTGCGTGTACATGTGTATGCGTGTCTATGACTGTGTCAGTGTGTGTGCGTGTACATGTGTATGCGTGTCTATGACTGTGTCAGTGTGTGTGCGTGTACATGTGTATGCGTGTCTATGACTGTGTCAGTGTGTGTGGGGAGCGGTAGTGTGGCGGTCAGTCGCCAGCGCGCTGCGCTACGAACCCAGCCACCCGAGTTCGATTTCCGCTCACGGCCAACACCGGTGGCGATTATCTGAGCCGGTACTGAGCCTCCGCTAGGTCGACTCAGCCTCAAATTAGTACCTGGTGTGGAGTGTAAATATCGCCTCTTGGGAGACAAAGGCGGCCGGGCGTGCTGCTTGCCACCCAACCCCCTGGTACGCTGCGTCGGCCTTCATAGGTGCTCGCTAACAGCGCTTGCCACAACAGTCTGTTACAGGCTGTACGGAGGATCGTTGTCTTGTCTAGATGACTTTGTAAGTCTGTATTTGAGTACAATACTGTACCGTTCCCGCGTCTCAGTGTGTCTCTGTGTGTGGGGAGCGGTAGTGTAGTGGTTAGCGCGCTGCGCTGCGCTACGAACCCTGTCAACCCGAGTTCCATTCCCGCTCACGGCCACCGTCAGTGGGGAATAAAGAACCGATCCTTGGCATTCCCTCGGTCGACTCACCCTTAAATGAGTATCTGGTGCGGTATGTACAAAACATCGTCACTGGGGAGACAAAGGCGGCCGGGCGTGGTGCTGTACACTTCCACCCACATGTGTATGAATGCTCGCTGACAGCGCTGGCCCCAAAAGGCTGTTTTAAAGGCTACACGGGGGATCTTTGCGTAAGAGGACAGAGTAATCTCTCTCAGTGGGTGCAGATCACACAACATATCCTGGCCCACTTCACACGCGCGGCTGGGCGCGCAGGGTCAGGATTAGGGATCAGGCGAGAGGGTGAGAGGTTGGGGTTGCGGAGATAAATTTAGAATTTCCCGACCGGAGGACCTCGAGTTTGACTGGAGCCCGAATCTACGACGGGTGTCCAACAAATGCTGCAGCTCAAGTGGACAGCACAGGATCGCTCGTTACTTGGCACGGGATCATTTTTGGCGGCGATTCAATAAAAAAATCTAATTATTTACATTACCGGGACTTACAGTGCTGGTATATATAGCGCCTCGAGTGGCTGCAGGGGTCTCGCGTGAAATAAATGATAGCCGTCTGCGTTAATGGAGCCGATTCAAATTAACATTTCAGTGCGCGCGCGCGTGTTCCACGTGACGCTTTTAGAGTCAATTGCATCGTGCATCACGTGGGGCGTGTTGAACAACGATCGGGCGCGTGCAGCGTGGAGCGAGGTACAGCGATTTGTATTTGAATGGGGAAGGACTTAGCGTGGTGAGAGTGTCGGTGACTGGAATTTGAGAAACCCTGGATTAATTGGCTCATCTTCGGATGCAAATAACACCGCACCCACAGAAACATTGTCGCGTCACCCGTGCCGCCCCTCGGTCTGGCACTCCCTTACCGCAGCCGTCCGTGCCGTCGGCTCCCTGCCGCTGTTCAAGTCAAGGCTGAAGCTCTTCCTTTCGTCCCTCTCCATACGACCGATTTCCTATTTCTGCCTTCAATTTAAACAACTGCACAGTTGCGATCCAGCGTCATGCGGTGACACATACACACGCTCTTATACATTCAGCTTGTCTTGTGCAGGGAACATCGCTGCCAACTCTCTGGCGCACACGGCTGGAAACACGATCTGAAATTATTTAAAGTGCGCTGCGATCGGTTCAGTAACAATTCCCAGGGCCGGGAATCAAACTCAGGTTGCAAGGGTCGGGTTCAAAGCGCACAAGTGCGCCAACCACTGCACCACCGTTCCACCCCCCCCCGCCCCCAGTGGCATAAATGCTCCGCGGAATTCACATACCGTAGTTACATAGACCCCCCATCACCGCGTAGCCTCAACAGACTGTTGAGGTAAGTGCTTTTAGCACTGGAGCCATGCACTTCTAAATATAGAATGAAAACGAATTTCTTTCGAACTGCTTTGTGTGTTTAGAGTCTGTTGTCCTCCAGCCACTGCGATCAACACGGTCGGCAACGTACGGTGCGAAAGAAGTTCAACATACATAGGCAAGCAACCTTGGAAGGCCGGCACGGCACACGAGAGGGTGGGTGGGTGGCCAGCACCACGCACGACCGCCTTTGTCTCCCGCGTGGCCATGATTAGGCATCGCACCGGGTACCGTACTAATTTGAGGCTAAGTCGACCAAGGGGAGGCTTAGGACTGATTCAGATATGAGCGGGAATCGAACTCGAGTGGGACCTCAGTTTGCAGCGCACAAACCGCCACACGACCATGTATACACAATGAGCACACACACACACACGTTACCTTTGTAATAGGTTAATTGAACAAAGAGCTGACTGTCCCCTAAGGTGATTCCACTCCCGTTCTCCTCACAAGCGTGAGCCAATTAGACCTGATCCGTTAGATGCGCTTGCTTGGCAGCGTACAGATCAGCCTCGGGTGGGCGTTCGGGTTTACTGGCGTGTGTGTGTGCGGGTCTTCACGTACGATGTATGTGTGTCATCCTCAAACGAGCACCTGGTGCAGTGTGTAAACATCAGCACTGGGGAGACAAAGGCGACCGGGCGTGGCGCTGGCCACCCCACCCCTGCATGTGCCGTGTCGGCCTTCATAGGTGCTCACTAACTGCACTTGCCCTAACAGTGTGTTAAGGCTACACGGGGGATCTTTGTCTGCGTGTGTGCGCTCACCTGTGTGTGGGTCCCCGGGTTGAGGAGCGTTGTCTCTGGCAGGGTGGAGGTCGCGCTCTGCGCTCGGGATCCGTGCACGCTCCCCCGAGTTAGAGGAGTGTGGTGGGTGGGGGGGGTGAGAGGGAGAAGGGGGTAAGTGCGGTGAGAGGGGTCGACAGGGGGGCGGGGGTTGCGGTGGCGGAGAGCGGGGGGGGGGGGGTCTGGGGGATCATTCGGAATGTTCCATTCTGTCACGGGTAACGTTGCTCTCCACGTTATCAATGGAATGAGCGCGCACACCTTGTTAGGGTATCTTCTTCCTCGGCAGCTCTCCCTTTCAAATGCTTTTCACATCGCAATGGTTGTTCTAATTGTGGTGGTGGTGATGGTGATGACGTGTGATTTGATGAGTGCATTTCCATTTCGCAGTTTCTTTTTTTTTTCGGAATGATCCATGCAGCTCGGAGCGCAGATCGTGTCTGCCCGTGTGAGGTTCGGGTCGTCCCGAGGTGTGGTTCGGCATGATGTCCGACGTTTCGCCCCGCACGCCGGGAGATTATTTAGGAGATTCAGTCGCCGCAGAAGAGGTTCCCAGTTCTGCGCGTTTCCATGAGGAACTGAAGAAGCGCCTGGCATGTGAAGCGAATCGTCGGACATCATGCGAAACAACACGCGGCGTACAGCAAAGCACAACACGGCACAACCGTGAACACGTACGCAGTTGCGAATACCATTCATCTCATGCCAATCAAGTAAACTGCATATATACAATTAATTATCAGAGTTGTAATGTATAAAGTCATGGAGCACATTCATTGTGATTGTTTTTTTTGTGTGTGCAGTCAATTGCGATCGGACTGAGACCATCGAACTCGCCACGCCTGAGACCCTCAGCTTTATCATCGGAGGCTGAAGCTTCGATTCGAACTCAGGACCTCGCCGACACAGCCATTGCGAACCCTACGGTGCCGCGTGGTCACCTGAGCCAGCCCTTTGCCGACAGATGATTTTCACTCAAATCGCCGCCCGCCGCGTCCTGTACTTTGAACGTCGCGTTTCCGTATTGTGAAGCTGCTCGCAGGGTATCATCAGCGCTGCTGATGAGGCCCAGAAAATCGAAACTGGATCAGAGTTCGCTGGCTTAAATGAATGTTGTTCGATACTATTGGTCAGGAAATCCAATCGGCTGATGGACTAACCTAAATCCTGTATATGTATCCGTACATGGAGATATTTAACGGGCTCTTCCTATGTATGACAAGAAGAACAGCTCTACATCTTCATAAAATGTTCTGGGTAACGTGGGGGTATCCATGCCACCGCCAAGGAGCAGGAAAGTAGAGGAGGAAGCAGGAGGAGAGGAGAAGGGGGAGAGGGGGGGACGTGGTTGTGAAGGAAGGTAGAAGTGGGTTAACAAGGAGTGCAGTAAGGACTGCATTTTTAGAAGAATGAATTTATTAATTAAACTGTCTCTCTGAAATCTATTCCACGTGTTCCATCGGCATCGTCATGAAACAAAACACTCACCAGTGAGCAGTGCACCACCAGCAGCAATATACTACGGTATAGAATCGGGTGGGGGGGGGGGGACAAAAATAGAACACCTTAGCATAGACAGCAAGACGTTAGTACTCTAGAAGACAGATGAGCACGCAGTGGAAGCTACAATGCCGTGAGTAATAAAACCCAAAAGAAAATGGAAAACTGAGAACAACCTTGGAACTAGCACAATCAAAGAGAAAAACAAAGTTAGAGATAAATGCATCGGATGAGATGGCGGCTACGCGATGTGGTAAGGACATCCGCAAGAAAAGTTTAGCGGCAGTGGCTGGATAGGGAATGTAGTGACACTGAATACTACTCTGGAGAATACAAGAGCAGGGAGGCACACAAACGAGTCAGGAGCACACAGAGGAAGTGGCTACCAAGACAAACGGCGACACAAGGCAAGGGCGGTAAGATCTCGATGGAAAAATAGACAATAAAAAGAGATGGACTGAGTATTACAGCGATTTGTATCGGGATTTACGGATAAAGAGAATAAAGTGCTGCTGGATGAACTCGAAAAGATATCCTCACCACCAAGGGATAATGAAAATTATAGCATCTTCTACGAAGCAATATAAAGGGAAATTAACATCTGAAGAAAGACAAAAGTCCGGGAGTGGACGACATAAGTTGAGACATTATAAAAGCTGGAGGCAAGGAACTTATGAACGAAATGCACGAGCTATGCAAGCAAGTCATGTATGGAGAGAAGGGAAAATACCGCAGGAGTGGACAAAATCCAAACTTGTGACGATACCCTAGAAAGATCTCACCGATTGTAAACATTACAGAACAATCGCACGAATAAGCCACATGGGGAAGAGAAGAATGATATTTATATAAAATCGATTAAAAGCACAGATTGCTGATTATGTGGCAGATGAACAGGCAGACTTTAGAAAAGATAGTAGCACAGTCGAGCAAATATTGATGTTAAGGCTTATAGCAGATAAAGCAACGAGAAGTAGTATGGTTTACAAGTGTTTAATAGATTTCCAGAAAGCATTCGATTCGACTAAGCAAGATATAGCATGGGGAACATTAAGATCACATGGAGTAGTGAAGAGACTGACAGATTCTGCAGGATATAGGTGAAAGGTCAAAGGCAGCAGGAAGGTTTGGACAGGAAATAGAATGGTTCCCAACAACAATAGGTTTGAGACAGCGGGATCCACTGTTACCAACCAACTTTGTCACACACTTGGAGAAAGCGACGATGCCATTCAGGACAATGGCAAGGAGAAAGAATAAATAACCGGCAATTCGCGGACGACATAGATCCGATAGAAGAAAGCTGCGTAGTAGTGCAGGAAAGTGTTCATACACTGCCTACATCAGGAAAGGATGCAGGACTGAGGATTAACGTGGAAAAGACACAGGCGATGGTGTCTGGAAGGGAGGATATGGCGAAAGAAGTAATGTAAAGCAGTAAGATTGTGAATGCAAAGGCATTTGTATACTTGGGATGTCTACTGACATGGGCCGACTTCACAAAAGACAAAAGAGCGAGGATCGTAAAGGCAAAATGAGGAACGTCAGGATTCAATAACATCTGGAGAAGCAAGCAAATCAGCCACACGACCAAAGCGAGCATCTTAAGAATATGCGTGTTCAGTACAGCTTTGTAAGCCTGCGAAACTTGGACGTTGAAAAAGACTGACAGAGATCAGATATTGCCATTCGATATATATATTGCTACAGTAGGATACGACGATGGACGGCTTAAGAGATTGGTGCCGGAAAGATGTGGCCACTACTAGAGCATATTAGAGAGGAAAGTGGGAACAAATGACGAAATGTGCAGTGGACACCTATGGGATATCTGCCCATGCATTGTGACGATGATATATGTTAAAAAAAAGTTTAACTGGCTGGACGGACGGTCACCTCCAAAGGATGTGCGGGTTGCCAGTCATTTTAAAACACAAATAGAGACATTCGGATCAGGGCACCAACGCAACCCGGAGACATTGTATTGACTGGCAAGGAAAGTAAATGGACTTGAGCAGGACACGTGGCTACCAGCTACGACCGCCAGTTGTTTCAGACTAACAACGGAGTGGCAGGAAAAGGAGAATAATACGCTGTCATCCATACACCCATTAATTCACTATCCATTTCACTAATTTGCTCACCAATCAATCACTCCTCCATTCACTCATTAATTCATTAATTAACCCATTCAATCACGCATTAATGTATTAACCCATTGAATCACCCTTCCATCCACTTATCCATTCATTAGCCCATTCAATCACTCTTCCATCCATTTAGTCATTCATTAACCGATTCAATCATCATTCCATCCACTCGTTCATTCATCCATTAACCCATTCAATCACCCTTCCATCCACTAAGTCATTCATTAATCCATTCAATCCAGGGGTGGAAAAAAATAATATCCGAATTTGAGGTTTAAAGTTCAAACCTTAATAAACCTTAATAAACCTAATAAACCTCATGGTTTTATTCTCAATACTCCCAGATCAGTACTAGTCCTCCTCCAACGAGTCAATGTCGTTGCCCTCGGACATATAACTGCATTCGGCGAACGCCGCATAGTTGCTCTCCACCGAACTGGGCGCCAAGCTGTTCCTGAGCTCGCTGTGTATGAAGCCCATAGTTGAGAAGTTGCGCTCAGAGGCTGCAGAGGATGTCGCCATCGTGAACAGCTTGACGCCGATCTTCTGAAGAGCGGGTCAGGCCACGCCGTCAGACTGCTAATTCTGCAAAGGTGTCTTACGTCCCTTGAGCAGCATAATGAATCTAAACCCGCCGGCATCCTTCTCCTGCTTTGCCGATATGATGTACTCGGTGAGCTGCATAAAGAGCGCCTCTCGTCATCAACCGCCGTCTCATCATCGATCGGTGTTTCCAGTAAGATGTTCTCCAGCTCTTTTCGATTAGCCGGGCTCAAGCCCTTTGCAATGAAGCGAGGATCTAACAGATACGCCAGTCCATGGGCCTTTCCGTACATGAACTGAAAGCGACTTGCTGCCAAATTGATCAAGTAGTTGATCTTTTCAGTGTTCGCATGACCGTTTTCGTGCAGCTTGGCAAACTCATCAGGGAGGGCGTGAAAATCCGGCAAGACTTCAGAGACTGGTTCGGAATCGGATTAATAATTGACAATCAATGCGTCTATGGGTGTGAGAATGGCAAGGGACTTCTGCAATAGAGAGACGTAGTCGTCGCTCGTAATGATGGTCTCTCAGATTTCTGAGCTGCCATCCCCTTGATGAAGTCGCGAGCTGTGACAATGGAATGCAGAATCCTCTCTAACGATAACAGCGTCTCGCAGCAGCCTATGATCGTTCTCCAACGTGTAGGAGCCGGCCGGACCAATGCTCGAATGCCAGCGATCTTCTGTTCAGCCTGCAGCTGTGTCTTGAGAACGTGACTGTTGTGAAACAATTTGACCGTGTCCTTGCACCCCACGATGAACTCAAGCAGGTACTCGAACGGATAGTCGATCGGGTATATGTGTTCTGATTGGCCGGCTTTCCTCGTCATCTTGGCAGAGAATATGTCCTTGACAAGCAAATGCCGACCATGCGACGTACAGCCTTGGAAATAGGAAGATGGGTGAGCCTTCGCGAGCTGTTCCCAATCATTCTTGTTGGTGGATGTGTTGTCGGTGACCACGCCAGCGAAAGTCATCTTCGGATGGGACGCCATCACACGTTGAAGATCCGAGGTGATCCAATCAGCGTTGTGGCCCTGCTCTCTAGTGGATACCGACTCGAGAACAACGTTGTGGACGGCGATGTGACCATGTAGTTCACAATCGGATCATTCTTGATGTTTGACCACGCATCAGATGTCAGGCAAACGGTCTTATCGTCCAGGATGGTATCAACCTTCTTTTTCATGTCGATGTACGCCCTGTCGAGCAATGGTCCGGCCAGCCTCTTCCTGTTCGGCAGCACTGCATCTGGGTGAAGGGCCTCCACAGCGATCACCAGGTTCTCCTCCTCGACCCGCTGGAACGACGTGCCCGAGACGAAGTAATGCATTGCTATGACCTACTCAAACTTCTCCTTCGTTCGCTTATCGAGCTGCATGGGTATCAGGTGATATTTGATCGATTCTTGCTTTATCGACAAAGCATTCGATGTAGATGGAGTTGAGCTACCGCTTGCCTTCGATGGCTTCGCCCGCTTCTTGTTCGACGCATACCACTCGGGACAATCATCTATCTCGTGCCATTCATTGTCCTCCGAAAAGCGGCGCATGCATTCAGGTGCCTCATCGCCTGCTCACTCTTCTTGTGATGGTTGAATCTGGTGCGACAATGTTTGCAGACGGAAACTCTTCAACTTGTGCAGTTCCGGATCATTGGTCAAGTAGTGCCAAAACTGGCCCATCGAGCGTCCTCTGGCCTTCCCTGCATTCGCCGATGCCTCGTCAGCCACTCCATCCTTCTCTGCCTTGGCCACTCCATTATTCTCCATCACAATTACGACATAACTATCACATTCTTCGGAAACGAGTAAATCCTCATCCAGGTCCTGGTCCATGATCCTGCTCGAGGTGGAAATTGGGTTCGTTTGATGACATTAGTAACTCAGGTAATGCCAAGATTTCTGATTTCTGGGCTCCGGCCTTCTGCAGTCCGTTACTTCAGTCAGACTTCCTGCAAAAACCAAAATGGCGTCTTTTTATAATAAACCTCAAAACCTCACCCTAACTGGCCCTTCGGGATATGGAAGTTTTTTATTTAAACATTATCAAACCGAATTGTTTCAAACCTCGCCTTGCCACCCATGATTCAATCACCCTTCCATCCACTTGTTCATTCATTCACCCATTCAATCACCCTTCCATCCACTTGTTCATTCATTAACCCATTCAATCACCCTTCCACCCACTCATTACCCCAATCACCCCACTGGAGTTCTTTCATTGATCTTTTAGCCCATCCCACTCCACGCCCCCCACCCCAACTCAACCTTCAGCATGACGTCACTTCCCGAGCCACCCAATGGGAGCTCACCACGCAGAAGCCACTTCCGTTAAGTTAGGCGCTCCGCGATTGGCCTCTTGCAAGTGAAACGCGACGCGATTGGTCGAAAGCAAAGCGGCCCCTCATTGGTCCTCTTGCACCCCGGGGTAAGATGGCGGAGCAGGCAGAGCTGCGCGCCTTGGCGGCGCGGCCCGCGGGTCTGCAATCGCTCCTCACCTTCACAGTGCTCGCGCTCGCCTGCCTCGCCGGGTTTAGCTCCCGGCTCTTCGCCGTCATCCGTTTCGAGAGCATCATCCACGAGTTCGACCCCTGGTGAGCGCGGGGAGCGAAGTCGGCATCGCCGGGGGCACTAGGCCTCCGCGTACCCCCCATCGCTCGCCTGGATGCGAGTCCCCAGGAGGCGCGGCCTCGGCCGGCGGGAGCGAGGAGACGCGAGCGGGGGTCGGGGACATGGTCTGTGGTCATAGTCCAGAGATTAGTCGTGTCGGGGCTAGGCCGGGGTTAGGATCGATCTGCATGATTGAACATTCATTGGAAATGCACGAGGGTTTTTAAAAGTCGAGTTGCCAGCAAGGCGGCTGGCACATGTACAGCGATCTTTGTTAATCCACTGCTAGATGAGATTCTCCTCCAGCCGTGTGGGTTTAATTGAGCATACTTCACCACCCCGGTCAGTCCGAGTTAGGTGAAGTCTGGCAACATAAACGCGGGGGTCCTCGAAACGCGGTACACCAATTGAGTTTGCTGCATTTGACATTTCGCTGTTTGCACATTAAAAAAAAAGTGCTCATGGAGTTTTTTTTGCGTCTTGCCACGAGGATATCGATGCGGAACGAGTAACACGCGAACACAAACCGAAGCCTGTTCGGGTGCCCGCGTCGGTGACCGCACCGCGAGATGCGCGGAGCTGTAACGCGATTCCCGGAAATATTCAGGATTAATCGAAATTGCCCCCCGCGATGCTCGGTGATGCAAACCAACACACCTATGAATAAAATACGACGTGGAATTATATCGCGTGTAAATGCGATCGCTTCTCCTCCAGTAGTTATGCAAAAAGGAGTGGGGCATATTTATTTTTCACAAGTCGGGCATAGGCAGGCCAAGAACGGGGATGTCTGAGGCTGCGCTTGAGCATGGGACAGGGAGTTGACAGCTTGCGTGGATGGGATAAAGGAGCAGTGTAAGATAATTATATAACCCCCCCCACCCCCTCCATTGAGCGATGGTGCGACTGGAGTCTAAGATACGTGACATAAAAACAACGAAGTCTGTGCACACTGCTCAGGCAAAGGCCCTTGCAATCATCGTTTGCACCCACGGCGCGGGAGGAAGAGGAAGCGGAAGGTTTGGCCGTGACCCACGCCTCTTATGGCCGCTGGTATAATGGTTGACGGAGGCAGGAGTGGTAAGGAGAGGGGGGAGTCGGTCACGCGTGTCGCGCCTGCGCAGGTAGAGAGGGTGGGTTGCCTTGGACAGGTGTCCTATTTCCTCAATACACGCATTCTCTAGGGCACAGTGTGTTCTCTCTCGACTAGGCGCTTCTTGGTCCAAGGGCCTTGTGGAAATCAAGACACGTCACACTCAGGACATTGTATCTAAAACACGGTGAGATCCCGTTGAGCTTAGAAGTCACTTTTTTCAAGGAAGGACCTGGATCTCTGAAAGCAATATGGGTACTGTGGCCATGCCGTGCAAGGTCAAAATCGTGTCGCACAGGTCGAAATGTTACGAAACGTATTACAACGGAATGAGCGCAGTGTTCCGTGTGAATGTGCAAGATGCATAAATTAGTCCCATGATGTCACCGTGCCATATCAATGGACTGCCAGTCTAATTATCTGCTGATATAAACGAGGTCACACGAACGTGGGTGTGTCAACGGCCACCGGCTGCATGCCTCAGCCTGCCAGTAATAACAAGTATAATTACGGCAGTGTTAATAGAATGTCTGTGAACGCCTTTGATCTTCGCACATCTGATTTGAGGAATACGCTCTTTGTCCGGAAACTTAGCATCAGCAGCTGGCTATTTAAAATGATAATCGGATGGATTATTCTTGTTTTCTTGTTCTCTTTCCCTCCCTGTTGCCATTATGCAATTACTGGTGGCGTTTTACAAAAACAGATGAACCGTCTCTTAAGCATGATTACCTTGAAATCCACAATTTCACATGCAATTTGCGTAACTGAATGTCTCCGCTCTTGTGTTTTGTCATGCAGGTTTAATTACCGCGCCACGCATCACCTCAGCTCGCACGGCTTCTATGAGTTTCTCAATTGGTTCGACGAGCGGGCATGGTACCCACTCGGGAGGATCGTGGGGGGCACGGTGAGACACTGTCACCCTCTCGTTAACCCACACGTGCCCTTGGCACTATGCAGACACAGCCTGGCTATGACATTCTCTTGGAATTCAATAGATATATAGCAATTGATACCTCCCCTAAAAAATCAATGAATGTTCTGTGTGTGTAGTGTAAGCATACGAATCTGTTTAATATGTGCGTCATTGCATGCATGATTGCTAATAACAAACGCAATTTGTTTTTAAATAGCAAAGGCAATTGCAAGTCAAGACACCGTATAAAGTGCAGGACAGACTAAATGTAAACTATGCTCGATGGAAACCAATTTAAAGAGATACATTTTCGAATGTTGACATGCCTAGCATTCGATATAGATTTTGCTGAACTTGACTTTCTATCTGCAAAGCAAAAAAGTGTCACAGTTCATTGTATACGCCTTCGCATGCTCATGAAGATATAAACCTTCGTGATATCGTTACAGCTATAAGTACTAGAGGCAGTGTAACACGAGCCGTCTCCATCGCTCCCTCCCCCGCGTCCAACCGCGAACATCCAGGTTTACCCAGGGCTCATGGTGACGGCCGGTGCGATCCACTGGCTGCTCAACTCGCTGCATGTGACGGTGCACATCCGCGACGTGTGCGTGTTCCTGGCGCCCGTGTTCAGCGGCTTCACGGCCATCGCCACGTATTTGCTGACGCGCCAGCTCTGGAGCGGTGGCGCCGGGCTCTTTGCCGCGTGCTTTATCGCCATCGTGCCGGGATACATCTCTCGCTCCGTGGCCGGCTCCTATGACAACGAGGGTGTCGCCATCTTCGCTCTCCAGTTCACCTACTACCTCTGGGTTCGTTAGTCACTGCTGTTTGCTAATTGATGTGCTCCTTTTGTGGTGCCGCATTGTGTGGTGGGCGATGCACGCTTTCGTAAAATTTGAGCAACCCAACACTTTTACTGTGGCCGTACGTCTTGTACTTCGACTCGGTGGTTCAAAGTGGCTGTGCTACTCTTCCCGAGTTTGTCATTAATGTTTAACCATAGGAGTCCTATGGTTAAACATTAAGATTCCTAAAGGTGCCTTCACGGCTCTGTGGTGTTGCATTAAAAGACGTGGATATGCATGTGGTGACTGTTCGTGTCTGGAAAACCTTTTCATGTGCAGACTCTAATTATGCAACAAAACAAACAAAATTGTAATAATATCCTTCAGACAGTATGATGTCACATGAGCTGAGATGTCACCTTATCTTCCTTACTGTTGAATTTTTTGTTGAATTTCTAGTGACAGATGCAACCTCGTAATTTAGATTTGTATCACCTGTCACAGTGGATTTTCATAAACTCCTCAATCAGATGTTTTGCTATATTCTTTGGGTCTTTCGGTAAAGTCGCGTAGAACAAAACATGTTTACAAAAAACTACTAGAACTACTATGTTGTACAATTTTCTTTTGTTCTACGTGACTTACCGAAAGACCCAAAGAATATTAATTCCTGCAGTCATGAAAGCTTTAAGTCAAGATTCAGATGTTTTGCTTTTAAACATCACTTCGGTGAACGTTTTTCTCTGACGTTTGCCCATGTGGATTCTAATTGGCGATTGCTTTTGCAGTTTATAAAACCCCCTTTGCTTCGGTGACATAACCTGCAATTCTTCCTGCAGGTGAAGTCTGTGAAGACTGGCTCCGTGTTCTGGTCGACATGCTGCTGCCTCTCCTACTTCTACATGGTGAGCGATGCGATTCCCACTCGTGCGTGTATACGTGGCCACGGGGCGTTGGGCTGGACGCTGATAGCGCCGTGTGGCTGTGCGTGTGCACCGTGCTGCTGCAGGTGTCGGCGTGGGGTGGCTACGTCTTCATCATCAACCTCATCCCCTTGCACGTCTTCGTGCTGCTCCTCATGCAGCGCTTCAGCCGCAGGCTATACATCGGTACGCCTGCCGATGCTGCACCCCACCGGGCGGTTTGTTTGCAACATTTCTTTGGGTGCAGTTGCACGGGGCGATGGAGTGGAGTTGTGGTGTTCACGAGAAGCTTTCTCCAAGCATTACACGTCTACATTGCTCGGTGCTTTCGATCCTCGGGCCATTCTGCATGGAGGGCAGTCCTCTTCCACCACAATGCGTGTCACTGCAGCTTACTGCATTTACACTGCGGGCCGTCCCGGATTGTTGGCCGAACATGGGCCCTGCCCAGTGCGAAAGCAGTTAGGTAGAGGCCTTGCATTGCAAAGCAGGTTGATACCTGGTTGACATCTGGCGGCGCAACCGTTGACTGGTCTATCACTATTGGCACTCGTTACGTTATCACGGCACCACAAATGTTTGACTGACGAGGCGCATTCTGCCTGCCACCGCGGTGTTGTTGAGAAATGATGGGGTGGAAGATCGCACTCATGTTTGCTCCTCCGCCCCTTCCTGTCCTCCCCCAGCTTACAGCACATTCTTCATCCTGGGCCTCATCCTCTCCATGCAAATCCCATTTGTGGGCTTCCAGCCTGTGCGCACCAGCGAACACATGGCCGCAGCCGGTGAGTCTCCACACAGGGCACGGTGGAGGAGGGGGTGGGGTGGTGGTGGTGGCTCTGCTGGCCAAGTGCCCGCTCCCTGCTTTTAGAGATTCAAGTTGAGGGGGGGGGGATATTCTATCCCGGCGCTTGAGATCCGGTTGCAAGATCACATGACTGTAGACTTAGGAATTAGAGTTGACGAATCTAATTTTGTTGACGATACGAGAGAAAGCTTCATAATAGGACGATTAATTGTCGCTATGTCAATTTACCATAGCTTTGTAATTGTATCTTGTATTTTGAATATTGATTTTGTGCTTTCCTGTGCTTCCAATAAAAAAAAGGAATGTGAAAATAAGTAATGTGCACGACTGCAATAAAAATAACGATTACTTAAATGTTATTCAGCTGTGGGTCGCTTAACATCATCCTCCTATAAGTCTTCCTATCATTGCAAGTTTATGATCTATAATGTTTTTAACACATGCGCTGTTAGTGTCGGAAAAAAGTAATGCATTAATTAGACTAATGATGGAAATTATGACATAACCATCATGCTAACAAAATATCTGCATCTCCGATTAGTGTAGTTGGCTACGTACGGCGCGGAAGAAGTTCAACATGCATACCATTTTCACTTGATTTTATTTGAAGGAAATAAAATACCGCTAAGAGCAAAACTGGCCTTATATTGTCATACAGTACTGTACATGATAGTATCGCTGTATCTCTGAAAACCTATTGGGAATACATTCGGGTCTGACTGCCCGTGATGACCACGTTGCTCGTGCAGGGGTGTTCGTGCTGCTGCAGGCGTACGCCTTCCTGCAGTATTTGCGCGAACGACTGACGCGGCAGGAGTTCAAGACGCTGTTCTTCGTGGCGGTGGCGCTAGCCGCCAGCGTGGTGTTCCTCACCGTTGTCTACCTCACTTACGCGGGTGAGCTACGCCGTGCCCGTACACAGCGGTCGTTCCACTCTGGGTGGTGCCACCAGCGGCTGGCTTTGCTGGTGTGGCCCACAGTCTGCGGACGAGATGCACTGAGAGCACCCTCTGCACTGGAGCTTAAACATGCGGCGGAGGGGGGTACGATGTCGAATGGGTTTTCTGTAGGGGGTTGAGTGGCAAGTGACTGTGCTAATAAATAAATACAAATATGGCCAAATTATTGATAATGGGGCACAAGCGCAAGGCAACTTAATTCACTAAATTCGTCATTTGCGCTGTCATACAATGTAAGTGTATAAAACACTGATATTTTGTCCAATGTTCTCTCTTAAAAGCACGGAAAGGGTGGTAGATTGACACACATCGCAAGTGTTCTTTACTCTGGGGCGCTGACAGAACTGGGAACTTTTAAGCAACCTGATATGAACAGTTTTGAATTGAAGTGTGAACTCGTTTAATTCAAATAATACGCATACATTGATTTAAACGAAAAGTGAAATTAACAAATGCATCATAGCAAAGCCGATCATGTGTGTAAGTGCAGTTTTGTGTTATGGTTCCAAAGCCATGTCCTGTGTGAGGCCAGTACTGCTGCGGGGATGGTCTTACCCCACCTTGTCTTGCTTCTCTCATCTTCGTCACATCCCGTCCTCTGCACTCCCAATCTCTACTGTCCCTCTCTGTGCCTCGCTCGCCCTGCGCCCAGTCTTGCTCTCTTGTTCATTTTCTCTTCTGCCTCCCTTTCACTGGAACAAACTCTCACTGCACATAAAACAATCAGCTTCACTAAGCTACTGCCATTCCTCTCTTAAAACCCATCTCTTCTCCCTCAGCGCATCCTACTGATACCAGGCCGACCGCAAGCCGTCACTACCCCTACTCCTCCTTAACCACTCCCATCTGCCCTACACCAGCACTTTATTAAACCCAATTTTTTAAAATCTCGGCCATTATCATCTTACGTACAATTGAATAATTGCTGTAAGGCGCCTTGGAATAAGGAGCTACATAAATCTAGATAAGTTATGATCATCACTCATTATTACTGCTCCTACCCCTGCCGTCTTCAGGATACATCGCTCCTTGGAGCGGAAGATTCTACTCCCTGTGGGACACTGGGTGAGTTGTTCATAATAAAAAAAAATCTAGCAAACCGCTGTCCGTCTCTGGCACGACACGAGTTTCTATGTTCACGTTAAAGCGACAATATGCTCATCGGGTGTAACGGTTGGGCTACTCGGTGAGCCTTTTTCTGGGTTTTTGTTTCGTGATAAACGTATTCTCTGTCCGGCTTTCGCCATGCACCACTGCGGGCTTATTCAAGAGCTCCGTTAGTGTTTGACATAACCATCATGTTTGGCAAAAACTTGCGAGGCGAAACGCTCAACACGCGGCTTAACTTTGAAGAGCCGCGGGTGGAACACGAGAGGCTGAGAAAGCATACGTATGAAGTTGAACTCCTGTTGCAGGTATGCCAAGATCCACATCCCCATCATCGCGTCGGTGTCTGAGCACCAGCCCACCACGTGGGTCTCCTTCTTCTTCGACCTGCACATCCTGGTGTGCGTTTTCCCCGCCGGACTCTGGTTCTGCATCAAGGACATCAACGACGAGCGGGTTTTCAGTGAGAGCTACGCGAGCACACGCCCCTCCCCAGTCCCGGCGGGGGGGGGGGGGGGGGGAGAGTCGCACCTCTCTCCTCCGCTTGTTTGAGCGTCGCAGCCACGGCGTTGTCTTCTGAGATTCTGAGACACACTACGACGCGTGGATTGTTTGACCGATTAGAATCGATTTCTTGGCTCGCTTTCACTTTCATTGAATCGAGAGTGTAAAGATTCAACTGTTTATTTGTGTTTATATGGATGGGAAGTTGGCTCAGCGATTGGTGCTTCGTGCTCTGAACCCGTCGACCTGAGTTTTATTTTCTCTACCACGGCTAACGTCCGTGGCGCCTTCGCCAACTTGCACTGACCAACCTAAAGTATGGTAAAACAACCCCCATGATCGACACGACGTAGGGAAGCCTTCACCGGTGGATTGATGAAGGGCTGAGCATGTGTTGTATGTGTTATTGGTTCACCCGACCCCTGCAGCCACTACATTCATCATAACAAAAAAAATCGTCCAAACGTAAGCGAAATGTTACCGTCCTGTCTGACGGAGCCTGACTTGTTATGTCCTGCTTTGTGTTTTATTCTGCACGCACGCACACATGTGCACAGTCGCTCTGTATGCGATCACGGCGACGTACTTTGCGGGGGTGATGGTGCGGCTCATGCTCACGCTCACGCCTGTGGTGTGCGTGCTGGCCGGCATCGCCTTCTCCGACACGTTCCGGCAGTACCTTGCCGACGAGCGGCAACCCGAGCGACGTACGGGTGGGGACAGCAGCGACGACGAGGACGAGGGCAAGCGCAGCACCCCCAATCTCTACGACAAGGTGTGGATCCTGGGCCTCCCCTAGGTCGACTCGGCCTCAAATGAGTACCCGCTGTACGGTGTGAACATCGCCACTGGGTCGTGGCTTTGACCACCCACCGTCTCGTTTGCCGTGCCATCTTTAATAGGTGCTCGCTAACGGCACTTGCCCCAACAGTTTGTTTAAAGCCTATGTCTTTTGTGCGTGCGTGTGCGCGCATGTCTGTTTGTGCGGAAGGCGGGCAAGGTGCGGAAGTACCCCTCGGAGCAGGAGAAGAGCGAGGAGGGGCTGGGTCCCAACGTCAAGAGCATCGTGGTCATGGTGGTGCTCATGCTGCTCATGATGTTCGCCGTGCACTGCACCTGGGTCACGAGCAACGCGTACTCGAGCCCCAGCGTCGTGTTGGCGTCGTACAACCATGACGGGTCCGATCCCTTGCCACATCGCACTCCCCCCCTTCCCCCCACTCCAACCGCAAGCATACACGTGGTGCACATGTGTCATTGCTCTCACGCAACAACACGCAACAACACGCGAATACATGGGCATGTTTATTTTAGCAGCTTCACATGTGACACTGTTCAACTTGTGTGAGTTTTTGTAACCAGGTGGTAAATAATCACCGAATTTTTTTTAGATCTTTTCATGAGGGTCCATAGGATGTGTGGTGTTTCTTTGTGCGTGTTTTTATGCATGTTTGGATTTTTTCATGTGTTTTGCAAGTTAGCAGGAAACCTGGACAATCGGTACTTTTGTTATATTTGACTGGGAACGATGTCCGGTTCCTGTCTTTTGGAGCCGATAACCAACTGGAAATGGTTACCGGTTCGCCGGTTGTTGTTAAACAACCCTAGTTGAGATCACAAATATGCCACCTTTCGTAATGACGGTTGGTAATGTGTGACGCTGTTATCGGAACCCACGGGTCAATGTGACGCTCCCCTTGCGTGTCCCCCACAGGACGCGAAACATCTTGGATGACTTCCGTGAGGCATACTACTGGCTGCGGCGAAACACGGACGAGCACGCGCGCGTGATGTCGTGGTGGGATTACGGGTACCAGATCGCGGGCATGGCCAACCGCACCACCCTCGTGGACAACAACACGTGGAACAACAGCCACATAGCGCTCGTACGTGGATAGAATCGCACCGATTCACGCGCACAGCGCACGCATCGCACGCTAACGCACACACCAGGTTCGCAAAAAAAAACTGCAGCGATGTGGATGCCCCCACGTTCTGTAACCCAGGTGGGCAAGGCGATGTCGTCCAACGAGAGCGCGGCGTACGAGATCATGCGCAGCCTGGATGTCGACTACGTGCTCATCATCTTCGGGGGTGTCATCGGCTACTCGGGCGACGATATCAATAAGTTCCTGTGGATGGTTCGCATCGCCGAGGGGGAGCACCCCAGGGACATCCGCGTGAGTGCCGCCCTCTCCCCCGCCCCCCGAACCCCCACAACGGTCTAGCACCTCGTCGCTCTCCTGCAACGAGCGCACACAGCGGCGCCTGCCGCACTCGGGCAGCGCAAGCGCTGGCTAATGCCGCAACTCCCTTGGCCTACTCCACCCGTGAGGTTCCTGGTAGAGCAGGGTCAATCAAGGGGAAGAAGCGAGGCGCCACATGCCCAAAGTGCTATAGTTGGAAGTTTCATATCATACAGAGTAGCAAGCAGCTTCATCTTAGTTTCTTGCAGAAGACAGCCAATCCCATCAGTGGCCCAAGGTTCTGTGAAAAGACCTCTAAACGGAGGATGGTGGTAGTTTCACATTTTCCGTCGTCGATTGAAACCCGCAAGTGAGGGATATTATGTTGACCCGTTTGCTTGGCGACTACCACTGGAGGGCACGAGGAGTTTATGATCACTCGTGGGTGCTGGATTGATGCTTCGCAGGACAGTGATAGATGGTGGCAGCAGTGGATTGACGATTATGTTGATGTGGTTTGGTCGTGCTGACGGTGCCACACCCCGTGTTTTGTGTCGCGCGTGTGCAGGAGAGCGATTACTTCACACCGCAGGGCGAGTTCCGTGTGGACCGGGGTGGCTCTCCCGTGCTGCTCAACTGCCTCATGTACAAGATGTCCTACTACCGCTTTGGGGAGATGCAGGTAGGGTGCGAGCAGGACGCCCACCTGCCCAGCCCGTCGCACACCACATGGGAGGCGGTAACGTCGAGACCCAAGCACTCGGCTCGGTGTTGTAACTTTTTAGGTGTGTTAGTTTTGTTCCCCAATATTATCCCAATTTGTGCTAACGGCGTCGATGTCTTGAGATGAAGAATCCATTCGGAACTCTCACAGAGACGGTCCGAGAGAACGGTCCACAGAAGCGGGTATCGCAGAGCTCCCCCTGAGATACCTTAAAGTGACCTCTAGGCTACACGGTAGGGGGGCAGCACTTGTCCATTGCCAGAGAATGGACTCAAAGCTGGAATGTAGCCGTATTAATTGCAGAACCAAATGTTATTATCATTGAACTGGCTGAGACCATCAACTCAATACACGTTAGAACTCGGTTGGTTATAGCACATTTAGCCGGCTGGATTCAAACTAAGGATCTCAGCAGAGCATTCTGACCTCTGAGCAAACCGGGCCATCTTGGGATCATCCAGAACTTGTAGAGTGCGGAAAAATACAATGTTCTACACTCTCCTCGGCCTACTTTGCCAACCCGCGCTGACCAGCGTGATAAAGTATGCTCGTATGACCCTCACGCCATGCACGGTGTGGCGAGGCCCTCGTCCAGTGGAATGATGAACGTCGCTGTACGAGGTTGCGAGGTAAGCACGTAATCACACGCCACGGTGTGTCGGCCCGCGCTTGGCGCAGCTGGACTTCCGCACGCCGCCCGGCTTTGACCGCACGCGTAACGCGGAGATCGGCAACAAGGACATCAGCTTCAAGCACCTGGAGGAGGCGTTCACCTCGGAGCACTGGCTCGTGCGGATCTTCCGCGTCAAGCAGCTGGAGAACCGCGAGCCGCTGGGCCGCAAAGCGCGCTCCACCAACACCGTGCCCAAGCAGAGATACGTCTCCAAGAAGGTCGGATCCACCTCCTCACCCGCACGCACCACGCGTCAACCCTATGTGTTTGGTCATGTGAATATTTGATTGTGAAAATGTCTCGCTGAGTTGTATTCTGCGACGTCTTCGTGTCCATTGGGGGAGGTTACGTCTGTTGCTGTTTTTTCTGCCGCCAGGCGGTTCAGCTCTGTATCCCTTGCCCAGTTTTGTTTCGCTTCCTTCTCTGTTTCTACGCATGTTGAACATCTTTCGCACCATACGTAGGTAACCTTGCTAATCGGAGATGCGGGGGAAGGACAACAAACTAAACACAAGCAGTTCTAAAGAAATTAGTTTTCAATCTGGATTTAAAAGTGCATAGCTCCAGTGACTTGATATCAGGAAAAGCTTTCCAGACGGCTGCAGACGCACATATGAACGCGCGCAATACAGTGGACCGTCTTTGTTTGACTAGCCAAAAGCCGTTTCGAGGATGACCGGAGTTCGTGTGATGACGAGCTTAGCAAGTTATTGTGGTTCATTTGAGCAAGCACTTTGAAATGAGTGCCACCTTATAAGTTAGTTTTTTTGACACTGCTTGGCCTGATAATTGGTTTTTTACCCTTCTATCTGGCAACAAAACTGACACCTTTTCACAAGGAGTCATGTTTGCATAGACCGCAATACCTGCAGTCATAAATACAAACAAAAGACATAACTCTGATAATGTGCACTGTCCTTGAAGTTGATTGGTCCACACCCGAGACAGCTTTCCTTAGATCCAAGTCTCACATGGGTTGGACCAGATGACGCCAAAAGGCGCACTTTTGGCGTCATCTTGTGAAAAGGTGTCAGTTTTGTTGCCAGATAGAAGGGTAAAAAACCAATGATCATATTTTTACTGGCAAATGAGGTTCCCATAGTGTAACTGCTTGGCCTGTTGATGCATCCTCCGTCACGTGCTCTTCAGCCGTCTGCGGATGCCTTCCAGCATGGTGTATGGTAGTCTGCCACTGCTCGTCCTTGTTACAATAATATTTTTCACGAGGTTCCTCTTTGGTAAATTCCATGATCATTTGGTACGAAGGAGAAAACTCCTTACACACGATGGGGGGAAACGCTGATAGCTTCGCACGTATAGATTCAAAGATCCATTGCTGTACTGCCATCTCCCAGCCACCTTGCAGCCCAATTCGGTACCACCTGAATCGAGGTAAACTATTCCAGGGGAGCTAAGCAGGACTGTTGTGTGGGGAGGTTGAGCATATATACCGACACGTGGATGCTTGCGAGATTCCTATGTGTATCTTGGTTAAAGAGCCCTTGCTCTGGGTGCAAGTATCTTGGTGAGTTATGCAGATTTGTGAAACTCTCAAACTCAGCTGGATTAGTCAGGTGACCGGGAGAGATGGCAGTGCAACAGGTGGGTTTGTAAACTTATCTGTTAAGACCTTGGAGTGCTGTCCTCTTGAATTAATTGGTTTTATCAGAGTACTCGTTTCTCCCACATGAACAATGCAAAAGAGGATATCAGCAAACTCTCTAATTGCAAGGACCCTCTTTAAAAGCCTCTTCAGACTCGAGGCTTTTGTGGATTAATACATTATATTACGTGTGCTGAAAGTTGATCAAGTACAATAGGTGGTCGTTTCTCTTGGGGCTTCTGTGACGTCAAAAGGTCGACGATGCCTGGAAGCTTTGCCCCGTCTTGCAGGGAATAATGTGACCTTGACAAGAGATTGAAAGCGCGAGGCAGTATCGCCAAAATGCGTCGCAGTCCTCGACGCATGCTGCCGTTTCGCTCGGTGGCGGCGCTAACCGTGCGTGTCCGCGTCCACCCGTGTGTCACGCAGACGAGCAAGAGGAAGCGCGGCCACATCAAGAACAAGATGGTCATCAAGAGAGGGAAGAAGTCGACCTCGAAATAAAAGGGGTCGCACGTGGAATGAATTCCAATCAATCCGCCCGCCCTCCTGGAGAACTGAGTGCTTGCCCCACCGGGGGGCACGGGCGAGTTGCAGGGTGCCCGTTGTCTCGCGCTGCCGAGGCAATAGTTTTATTTCCGTTGGTTTATTTTCTTTCTCCTGTTGTTTTCTTCTTACAACAAAGATTGTATATATGGCATCACCTCTCTTTAAGTTGTGACAGCGGAGGATGGGGGGGGAATGTTCTTTCGTGAAAGCGAGTTGCCCCGATGGTAATTGTGCGTCAGGACCATTGCACTGATGTCCGGCGTACGTGAAGGCGTGCGCGCTTTGAAGCTTTCGGCCGAATGACGTGAGATTAATGGGGAGTTTTACAACTTCAAAAAATTAGCATCGCATCCACTGGAACCCCTGTCTTAATCAACCAATAGCCGTGTACCATTGTCACTCAATAATTAAACCCACGTAATTGTGTTAACCATGTCCATTCTGCAACTGTCTTGTTAAGTTTACAAGTTTAAACTTACCACCTCCTTTGAGTGCATGCATTCTTCTTGTTTAATGATTGTGGAGCTGTATTTTGCATCTCCTTAGTCCATGGGCCGGATCAGAAATTTGGTACAAGGTGGCAAATGCTCACTGGCCATATAATTAAATTGGCATAAGTGAAGTATTTGATAACCCACATGTTGTAAATGTTTATCATCATAATTCGCTATTTTCCTAAACATCAAAGAAATTGGAACTGCAAAATTCTTTGCCGTCTCGGGCGGCACCAGCAAATGAAACGTCTGGTCTGGGCTCACTGGACGACCCCGCGGCCTGTCCGTGTCCCGACCGCGGTGAAGCACGTGCTGATCTGAGCGGCAATGCAGGGCGGTTTTCTGCAGTGCTCTCACGGTGGCCAGGACCCCTCCCCACTACCCTCTCCACTGAATGCACTGGGGACAACTGGAAAGAGGCTATGGATTGTAGAGCGGCGCGTGTGGCGGGGTCAACAGCTGGGAAAGTCTCTTAGTTTTCACGAGTTGGCGGGTGGCAAGGTCAACTGTTTGGCACAGGTAACTGTGACTTGGTAAGCCGTGCATTACCGGAGTGGGGTGGGTTGTGTTCCTCGTGATGACGGCTCTTTTTCACAAAGACATGCGAATACTTTTTAACTTTATTTACTCGATAGTAAATTATTTGTTTCATACAAGGGCCATGGGAGTGGGAGCTTCCATGCGCTTGCCATGCACTGAGGAATATTAGCAGCTCCAGGCATTATTAAACCATTTCCTGTTTGGACACCCAAGTAAACTACGTTTCAGACGGAAACTCCCCCTTGACTCAATTATAATTTGTAAATGTTTTCTCACTTGCCATGAGGCTGCTGTTGATTTGTAAATGTTTTGCAAAATTGTCTTTCTTTTTGGGTAATTCTGTAAAATTTGACCATTGGATGTTGACAGCTGAATAAATAAAAAAAAACCCCGGCTGCATATTTATCCTCGTAATCAAATTTAGTACAGGGCATCCTAAACTGGGATTGTTGCACACCGCTTTCCACGTTTGCCACCATTTCAGTACAAACGATATTGTTCGTTGCTGGTAGCACATCCCACGCGGAACACACTGGTATCCCCACTGCTGTCTTATGCTCCAGCCATCACCAGCGTGGGATGCAGACTGCAGTTTGGGCAACTAAACCTCGTGGTATTGCTCTGCTCGCCTATATATGGCTTGGCTTGACAACTTTCTACAAAAATAATCAACTTTTTGCAATTAATACTGACTTCAGTTGTGCTTATTTAAATAAAAAGTAATTCATAAGTTCCAAAGAAACTTTTTTCAGCAATGTTCGTTCAAGTGGGTGTAGTAATCCGACTGTTGCTTTTTTCGAACAACACAACTCATTCCCAGAGCAATGCCATCTCCAAAGCCCTTTGTTGTGCAAGTGCTTACACGCATCAATGTATATGGATCCACATTTACGTTTGTAGAACCTTTATTTGCCCATGTGCTGAACAATATAAAATAAAGTATTGCATAGCTTTGTAATCAGATGCAGGTCCAGTTATAATAAAATCCACAACTTTTATATCTGAACAATTTCCAATGTACAATTCGCGGCAATGGACCAACTCAAGCTGCACCCCAGGATGGTTCCACTGAAAAGGGATCTGTGAACTCGGAACTGGGCCTGCTCTTCGGACACAGGTCGTGGATGTAATCATTTGCTCTTGATCTAGTAGGGACCCAATTGTGTCAGTGCAATAACCGAAAAGACTGAAGGGTACAGGTGGTAGCAACACGGCCTGGCGATTAAGTTTTGTCAATCTGCCATCGGCGGACACAGCCTCATTCGTTTACCCATCATTAGCCAAGCCGCTCATGGGGCTTTTGCTAACACTCGCGCAGGGTTCTTCAATGGGTGGTCTCGTTGGCTAGGTGTGACCTGCTAAACTTTGGCCCACCAAGAGATATAGCTTGTCGAGATAGACTAGTGTGACAGTGAGGCAAATGCGACTGAAGACGAGGTACAGGTTGGTGGTCTTATGCACAAATGCTATGATGTCACAACACCATGTGACCTCAACGCCTGGACACCCACTACTGCCAGCACCTGCTAGCGTTTTTTTTTGGCCAGCCGGAAGATACAGTTGAAGAACCCTGTCGTAGGGAAACGCAGACGCTTCGCCAGGCCAGGGGAGCTTGTGATGCCAGGACACCCAGGGCAAGGGGATGTGTGGCTAAAGCTGATGGCACAGCCTTAGCACAAGTCCCACATAACAAACCCACATGTAATAAACAAATCAACGTATCATCATTACATGGCACAAACATAATTATAAAAAAATACGCCAATGACTCCCGCACGCAGAAAGTGACGCATGAAGTTACATTTCCATCGTCAATGAGGAATAAGGTTCGGAGAGAAACGAGAGCCACTGCCTTGGGGTGCAGGAAAGTGCAAGCGGCACAGGCGGGCAGTGGTTGGGGGACGAGAGGGAGGAGAGGAATAAGGCACTGGAGTACAGCGCAGTCTCTGTACTGACAGGAAGGGAAGGCTGCAGCGGATGCAGCAAGGAGGTCCCGTACGCAGAGGGCACATTCAAAAGACGAAACACACGCACACCGAGCTATGAGCGTGGGAACACCGTTAAACATGCAATTATGTTTAGACAAAGTAAATAATTAAGCGAGAAACAATGTCAAATTAAGACAGTTATTCGTTTTTAGAGGTTCTAAACATTTCACTTTTCATTACTGGATATAGACATTTTTGGCTTCCAGTAGTGTATTAAGAACGTTTTTTTTAATATATTGCAATTTTATAATCCTTGTGTTAGATTATTAAAGATTCATCAGCCACAGGTAAAGTCGAGTTAGTGTCGCAGTTAAGTCGCGTTGATTTACGGTTGGGAAGGAAGTGGGAATCCGGACAGCGAAGCCTTCACCTGGGGGTGGTTAAACACCCACCCTTCGCCCTGCAACACCAGACGACACAAAACAAAAACGTGTGATCACCGTTTGAACGTTCAAACTGGCACAGTTTCATGCGAAGTGAGAACGTCCCATCGAATGCTTTCAGATGCGCTTCTGCGGCCGTCTGGAACGCTCTTCCGATATTAGGAAGCCAATGTAGCTTGAAGACTCATTTCTTAAGAGCTGCTTTTTGTGTTTAGTTTGTTGTCCCCCTCCCCCCGTACCTCCGATTCGCACGGTTGGCCAATTACGGTACGAAAGAAGTTCAACATACAGAGTACATATAACTGCCAGCTGCCCTCTTGCATCTCAAGCCCTCCCGCAGCGCTGCGTGTGCGAGACAAGTTACACTGCATGAGCGTCCGCAGTTATTGCACGTCTCTCGGTGCAGCACGGCAGCGGCAGACGGGGACATCCCTGAGAGGGTGTCCACATCTGCACTTGGCGACACAATAATTGGCATCTTGTTGGAGCAAACAGCAGTGCCTCGCCAATCCACGTGGGGGCCAGTGGGATATTGTTCATCAACGGTGAAGACCTCTCTCCACAGCTCGGTGAAAGCCTCCCCAAGCCACTGCCAGCTCTCACCACGCTTGCACCAATCCCATCTAGCTCGTGAACATGAGCACGCTCTCCACGGTCGATGTGCCCTTAGGCGTGTCCCCTCCTTCAGCACGTGAATTGGGCTGATGATACCTTGTGTGCGTCGGCTACCGTGCGGCTGAATGAGTGAGTAGCGCACCTCCTTGCTGAAGTATTGCGTGTTCCAGGGCGTGCCGCTTTCGGCACGCCGCCGCTCCTCCTGCCGCTGGCGCTCCTCCAGCTCGTGCTTGTGCTGCGTGGCGAGCTCCAGGTCACCCGCGCGCAACGCCTCCGTCACGCACTGCCACAGGCGTCTGTGTGGCGGGGGTGGGGGGGTTGGTCAGCGTGTTGGGTCACCATGTGTGCAGTGGTGCTTCCCAAACCCACGGGGGTGGGGGGGTGGCACGTACACAGACGTACAAAAACAAAGATCCCCGTGTAGCCTTCACAGACTCTTGGGGCAAGTGCAGTCAGCGAGCACCTATGAAGGCTGGCATGGCACACAAGGGGGTGGATGGCCAACAAGGTGCCCAGCTGCCTTTGTCTCCCTAGTGGCGATGTTTACATATTGTGCAAGGCACTCGTTTGAGGCTGAGTCGATCTAGGGGAGGCCCAGGACTGGTTCAGCTAATTATCACTTGTTCTTGGCCATGAGCGAGAAGTCGGGTCGCCGGGTTCGTAGCACACTCACCGCTGCGTCATCTCTCCCCACGAACGTACACAAGGACAAGCACAAACACATTCAAGAAAACAAATACATACACGTACGTACATAGGCAAAGACAAAAAGGTCCCCCCCTATAGTGTTAAACTATTGGGGCAAGCACTGTTAGTGAGTACAGAATGAAGGCCGAGATGGCACACAGAGGTGGATGGTTAGAACCATGCCCAGCCACCCCAATAATGATGTTTACACATGGCACAGGTACTCATTTAAGGCTAAGTCGACCCATGGGAGGCCCAGAACCATTTCAGATACTCGTCACCAAGGTTGGCCATGAGCAGGAATCGAATTCGGGTTGCCGTGTTTGTAGCGCAGAGCACAAACTACAAGCTACCACAACACTGAACCTCATATAGGCGCACACATAGGCACACAAACACGTATTTGCACGCATGCAATCCCACTCACAGAGGTTCTGCAGCACCCACTACCAACTCACATGGTTAGTTGCAGGACCACGGACAGACATACGATGTAAAAAAAAACGCAAAGGGTCTAATTCACATTTTTGCAAAAACCCACTTTTCTGCATGTTTTCAGTGCAAGAAAAATTGGCCAAATCTGCAGTAACGGCAACGACAATGTATTCACCATACTACATCAGTCAGGCCCAAATGTCTAAAAGCGAGGTCAAGGGCAGTGGGCGTATGTGCCGGGGGTGGCAGCACCTCGACTCGAAGGCCCACTGCTTCGACACGGGCCGCACTCGCTTCCTGCACACGGGAATGCGTGCGATGTCCACGCTGCGCGTCTCTCCGCTGCTGTGGACGAACTCGACGACGCCGTTCCACTCGCCCTGCGCCTTGCACACCACCGTGCCGCTCGGCACGTGCTTCACCTCCGCCGTCACCCTGTGCACAAGTGCGGCACGGCGAGACTGCGACGTCACACTTCAATTGTCACCGAATATTTTCCAGGTCACTAGAGTAGGCATATTTAACTCTAACTACTTTTTTATTTAACAGGTAAGGCTCACTGAGCGAGAGCCCTTTTTCAGAAGTGACCTGGCCACAAATAATAGCTCAACAAAGTGGCTTACCATGTGGAACGTTATAGCAGCCAAATACTCTAAATGCAGGTTCTAAATGTGGAGGCAAAAACCGAGATAAATCCACGCGATCACGGGGAGAACATGCAAACTCCAAATATACAGGCATTGTCAGGATCGGTATCGAACCCACGACCTCCTGCATGCCACAGCTATAGCGAGAGGTTTCGAGACGCGGGAGTGCCAAGTGTGGAAACATATTCTGGGTCCCGGACAGACCTGGGTGAAATGAAGCCCTGGGTACAACAGTAGCATAGTGTGATTGGCAGGGGAATTGGTGGTGATAAGGAATGTAATGGGAGCTTCCGCTTGTGCAATTACACCCCCTCTGTAATTACACCTTATCTGCCAACTCTGGTTGTCCTAAAAACATGGTCCTGGCATTTGAATGTGGAATTTCCACCGCTGAATTAGGTTCATAGAGATTAAAATGCGCATAACTCCACATTCGTTTTTTAGCAGGAAAACCACTGCGACCCTTCAACCGACGACTTCCAACTATGAAGCTCTCACACGCTGCCAGCAGAGGGCAGTGTGGCAGCAGAGCTTGAGAGCTGTAAACCAGAAAGGTAAGCATGTATGGATTTATCGATTAACCTTCTCATGCATCACATCCACTGTCGTGGATGGCTCCGATTTATACTAGATATGAAATTATCTTTCAACACATTTAGTGGGGACTGGGGAGGGGGTGTGTTTCTTTGACTCTGAAAATCACGAAATAACTAAATATTTGTTTGGACTTGCTCTGAATAATTCATGGACGAGAGGGTTCAATTACCTTTTATACCGGCAATACATGCATTAAACCATGCACATAACAATTGACGATTCACGCAAATTGAATGCTTATATTACATTCAGGTTAATGGGGTGAACACAATTGCACAAGCCATACGGAAATGAACAATGTAAATGAGATGGGTAAAACAACGACAAGAAAGAAGCAATCATTTACTCCAAATGACAAGAGCTAAGGGTGACAATTCATCGTATCGCTGAGGTGGAGGGGTGAATTACTGCATGGCGACGTTAAACCCCACCAATCAAATGCATCCGACAAACTGTAAAGGCCGTCCCGTGGCAGTGGGAAGCAGGGGCAGAGTTTGGATATAAGATCGTTAACCAATCAAGCGTTAGCAACACCCCTTGCCCTAACCAATGAAGAAAACCAGCTGCTAGTACTGCCATTCTCATTGGCCCAAATCGTAACCGATCAGGCGCTAGTACTAGCCTTATCATTGACCCTAACCAACAAACCTACCAGACAAAAGTACTAGCATTCTCACTGAGAATAACCCAAACTTGCCAGATAACAAAGTACTAATAGTAGTCGTCCTTCTCCACCAACCCAAACCCCTTCCATCTAACCTTAAGCCCCCATCCTCAATTCTGGCAATGCACCGTGGCCTCTACTTGGCGCTTGCTTGCGCTTTGCTTGTGGATGGTGGTGGTGGCGTACCGGTGCAGCTTGCCCCCATAGAAGGGCTTCGTGTGGAAGGTGACACTGGCGGAGTATCCGGTTTGCGCGCAGCCGAGGTGGACCTTTCCCCCTAGCTCCAGCCATGGCACCGTGAGGATGGAGCGAGCGTAGGCGCTCGGCAGAGTGAACGTGTACTCCTCCCCACAGTCCAGCAGCTGTAGGACTCCTGCGCACGCGCACAAGCACATGTATAAGCGTCCGCACACGAGTACACGCGAGGGAATGCTCACGATTGTACACATGTGCATACGCACGCGCAGACACTTGCACACAAAGATCCCCTATACATCCTTTAGCAGATTGCTGGGGCAAGTCCTGTTAGTGAGCACCTTATGAAGGCCGGCACGAAACAGGAGGGGGTGGCTGGCCATGTACTCACCACCCAAGACCGGTTCAGAATATTCGTGGATGATGTTGGCCGTGAGTGGGAATTTAACGTGGGTCACCAGATCTTTAGCACAGTGCACTATCCACTGCGCTACTAATCCCCACTCGCACGCAAAGACACGCGTGCGCACACAAGTACACAGTCATGCAAAGATAAAGTGCTGTTTGCGAGCACCTCTGAAAGCCGCCACGGCACACGAAGAGGTGGGTGGCCAGCATCACGCCAAACCACCTTCATCTTCCGAGTGGCAATGTTAACACATTGCACCAGATACTCATTTGAGGCTAAATCGGCCTAGGGGAGGCTCAAAACCGGTTCAGATAATCGTCACCGATGTTGGCCGTGAGCGAGAATCAGACTTGGGTCACCGGGATCATAGCGCAGCGCGCTAATCGCTACACTACCGTGCACTACAACAACCGTGCACTACAACAACAACTGCCATTCGCCACTAAGTGGCGGTGACGTCACCACGACGCTTGTGCCAGGCTATGTGCACGTTAAGGCCACGTGAAGTGTCAAACGCCCACTGGCAGGTCACAGGGCAGACCCAGGTGACACGGGTTGACTGACAGAGATGACTGGCTGATGCACCACCTGTGCCCCCTACTGTGCCAACTTGCTATTCTTTAGCCACCCGGCGCTCCGCTCATTGTTGTGAGCGTCGCTCCTCCCCCCTCCGTTGGTGTTGGAGGGCGACTGCCTCAAACTGCCCAGTAGCATCCTTCACAAGCCTCCTCCACAGAGGCCGATCTTGACACCGCTGGTACCAGTCATCGGCAAGTCCACTAAGCTCAACATCCTCCTGTACCACATCACTCCATCTCTTCTCTAGCCCGTGCTGCGCCCGTTTAGCCCCCTCGATCCGGCCGAACAAAAGCTGTTTAGGCATGCGGTGCCTGGGTATGCGGGCTACATGACCCAGCCAATGCAGCCTTGCCTGCCAGAGGAGCTCACCTATGGGACTTTGTCCAGATCTTTCAAGGATATGTGAGCTCCTCACACAATCCAGCCTGGTTAAGCCCATCGTAGGCGGGCCAGCCTAAATGTTTTTAACCGGCGAAGATGTTCTATTAGGGGGGGTCTACGTTTCGCAAGCGTGGAGAAGGGAGGGAATGACTGTGGCCGAGAAGACCTGAAGTTTCGTGCGGAGCGACAGACCAAGTAGCTTCCACACAGCGTTATGCAACCGATAAAAAGATAATTCCGCTTGACTGATTCGGAGTGAGACCTCTGCTGTGAAACCAGAGCCGGTCATGAGCACACTGCCCAGGTATGAGAAACTCTCCACTCTCTCCACAACTGCCCTATCACCAATTGGGAGTTGTGGGGGTTGAGTGTCTGATAGTACAAAATACCCAGGCAGGTGCTTAGTTTTGGTGGGGCTGATGGTAAGTCCCCACCTCTTAGTGGCAAGCTCCAGGTTCAGCAGCAGCACCTCCGACTCCTCCTCTGAGTGAGCTGCAATTACCAGATCATCGGCATGGTTGAGCAATAGGGAGCCATCCCTTGACCGCACCCAGGCATCGATCAGCCTCCCATTGTATCTGTACCAGATGGAAATTCCTCCGGTACAGCTATTGAAGGCTTCACGAACTACGTGGTCTAAATAGATGTTAAATAATGTGGGAGCCAAAGGACATCCCTGTCACACCCCAAAGTGAACAGAGAATGGCTCTGACTCCTGGCCACGTAGTTTTACTCGGGCCCGCTCACCATCATGAAGGTCCATAATGATCATGAGCAGCGGGTCAGGAGCTCCGAAAGCACGAAGAACCCAGAGCCCAGGCCTACTGATGGTATCATAGGCCTTGATCAGGTAAATAAAGCAGAGATGTACATCTTGTTGGAATTCCCTACACCTCTGCTGTAGCAGACGGACAGAAAATATGGTATCTGTGCAGGACCACCCTTTCCTGAAACCACATTGGGGCTCCGAAAGCCTCTCCTCAGCGTGCCTGGCAAGGCGATGCTGAATAATCCTTACCAGCACTTTTCCCGGCACACTGAGGAGTGAGATGCCCCTTTAGTTGTTACAGTCTGTGCAGTCCCCCTTCTTAAAGAGGGGGATCACCAAGGCATCCTTCCAATCCTGCGGAATCCGTCCAGTGGTCAAGACTGTTGTTATGATGTCATGTAGGGCAGTCTGTGCACAAACACCACCCACCCTCAACATTTCGCTTGGGAGATCATCTCTGCCCGGTGCCTTTCCTGGTCTCAGGCTCTGAATCGCCTTCAGTACTTCCTCAACAGATGGCACACCTCAGCCAGCCACTCACAGGGGGTGACTTCTTCCAATAGATGAGGCACCACAGCCTCAGTAGGGTCATCCACACTTTGTCCCACGATGTTTTCCAGGCTGATGGATTTCCCCTCCCCCAGGACCTCACAGTAATGCTCAGCAAATCTGCAAACCTGTTCCTGGGGGTCGGAGATTGGATCACCGTTCTTTCCCCTAATGATGGTAATAGGTGTGGCACTGCAGGTTACTTTTTATGGAATTAAAGAGCGATTTGTGATCGCGCGCCATTGAGGCAGACTCCATCTCCTCAGCAACCCACGACTACCAACCATCCTTGCAGCACCTCATGGCATTCCGAACCTCCGAGCGAAGGCTGCAGTAAGCCTCCTCATTATCTGACGTGGGATGCTGTAGACAATGAGAGTGGGCCTGTCGCTTTTTCTCAGCCAGCCTGAACACCTCCTCTGTCAGCCAGGGTCTCTGAGGAGGTCTGGACCGTGTACCCAAAGCAGCCATTGCAACTGCATGAGCCACAGTCCCAAACCTCGCCCAATTTCCCCTCGACATCAGGAAGAGTGGGGGACGATGCCAACCCCAGCCACAAGCGATGATGGAATTCTCGCTTTCAACTTTCGTCAGCTAGCTGAGACCATGGCAATATGGGTCTGAATGGGGTCCTGGGTGTACACCCACCACCGGAGTGGAAGAATGGCAGGCTCATCTTACAGATGACAAGTCGATGGTCAATGGGCAGATCAGCTCCACGGTAGGTCCTGGTGTCAAGGACATGGGCCCGCATCCGCTGTTCCGTCACTATGTTGTCAGCAGATGTTCTTGCTTGGGACCGGCATGCATCCATGATGTTGTGTGGATGTGCCGATGCCGGAACAGCGTGTTGGTGGCAGGAGCCAGAGCCAATTCACTGGACCCTCCTGAATACCAGAGATACAGGTGGTACCGGTCCAGTTCCCGACAAAGGAGTGGCAGCCTCTCCTCCGCAGTGAGTGTTCGAACATTCTACGTGGCCATCCGTAGTGGCTTTTTGTTGTTTCTGGAGGAGCCCCGAGGGTAAGGATTCAGTCTCCTGGCTCCGCCAAATGGTGTTTGGCTAGGAGACGTCATTGACGCCTGTCCCCCCGGGGCCTCTGGCACAAGCTTAATAAATGTTTTCCTCGTAGTTTAGTGGTAGTTAATTGAAGGTGGAGGGGTTACCAGCTCATCGCACCCGTCCAGAGCCTCCATTTGGCCACTGTGGTGGTTACAAACGCCATGAAGGGAAAGGCCAATCTAAATTGGCCCTCCCCCCACGGCACTGCCCACCACAGCGTTGCCGTCCGGCACCACGAGGAGGTAGAGCAGGGGTCCTCAAACTACGGCCCGCGGGCCACATGCGGCCCGCCGAGGACATTTATCCGGCCCATGGTCACTAATTGGGCTGCGCTTGTGAGCACTAATTGGGCTGCGATGGTGAGCACTCATTGGGCGGAGTTCCCCCAATCAGACTGCATTGATGGGCAGTGCAGTCTGTATGTCTCTGTGTGGGCAAAGTTTATTGCTGGTATATTGTTTTTGTAGTGCTGTATATATATTGGTATTTTACTAATAGCAATTTTGACTCCCTAGGAAACAATGATGTCAAGAAAGAGAAAAATTGACTCGGAGTGTAGGATATTCAAATAACAGTGGACTTATGATTACTTTTTCATGCAGTACAAGGAAAGAGCTGTGTGTCTGATATGCCAGAATATAGTGTCTGTGTTCAAAGAATACAATTTACGTCGACACTATGAAACTCAACATAAAGATAAATATGATTGTTTGGTCGGAGAAGTGAGAAAAGATAAAATATTAAAACTGAAAAATACATTAACTCAGCAAAATACTTTTGTGAAGCAGAAGCAGCTAAATATTTCATCACTGCGAGAAAGTTTTCAAGTTGCCAAGCTAATAGCGTGCACTGGCAGACCATTCATGGAGGGAGAATTTGTTAAATAATGCCTTCTTTCTGTTGCCAAAGAGATGTGTCCAGAGAAGGCCGATTTATTTAGTACAGTGAGTCTTTCAGGACCTACAATTACACGGAGGATTGAAGAAATGGGAGACAATTTGCATTTGCAAAACTCCACAAAAAAACTTTCCTATTTTTCCTTGGCACTCGACGAAAGCAATGATGTTCGTGATTCTGCACAACTTCTAATTTTTATTCGTGGGACGAATGACTATTTCGAAGTCACAGAAGAGCTTGCTGCACTGCAAAGCACAAAAGGAACAACTACAGGAGAGGATATCTATGAACAAGTTTGCCAAACTGTGAATGGTTTGGAGCTGAACTGGGCAAAACTAGCCAGTGTGACAACTGATGGTGCTCCTAGCATGGTGGGGTCTAAGAAAGGAGTAATTGCTCGCATTAACCAAGAGATGGACAAACATAACCATTCTCATCCAATAGCCATACACTGCCTCATCAACCAACAAGCGCTGTGTAGTAAATCACTAAAGTGGGACTCTGTTATGAAAATTGTGGTATCTTGTGTTAACTTCATTAGAGCTCATGCACTAAACCACAGACAATTTCAGGAATTTCTGTCTGAACTAAATGTTGACTATGAAGATGTTCTGTACCACACAGAAGTCCGTTGGCTGAGTCGAGGGAGAGTTTTGAAACGTTTTTATGACTTACTTCCACAAATTACAGCTTTTCTGCCTTCAAAAAACAAAGAAGTACCAGAGCTCAATGATGCAGAATGGAAATGGCACCTTGCCTTTCTGACAGATGTAACAGAGCTACTCAACAGTTTCAATGTGCAACTTCAAGGAAAGGGGAAGCTCATATGTGATATGCAATCACATGTCAAAGCATTTGAAGTAAAATTAGGCCTCCTCATCAAACAAGTTAAGGAGGAAAACTTCTGCCATCTCCCCACAACTCAAAATCTGTTAGCGGAAAAACCATTGGTTGCAATTCCCAAACAAAACATGTGTGGATTCACTGAAAAAATTGCAAAAGGAGTTCCTATTTAGATATAAAGAGCTTCATCTCCATGAACAGGACATACAGCTTTTCCGTAACCCATTTTCTATTGACATTGAATATGTGGATACAATTTACCAAATGGAACTGGCTGAACTGCAGAATTGTGATTCTCTGAAAGACGCATTCAAATCAAGCAGCCTTCAAAAGTTCTATGCATCTCTCCCCTCTGAGACATATCCTCATCTCAGGAACCATGCACTCAAAATGGCAACCATCTTTGGCAGCACTTATGTCTGTGAACAGACTTTTTCCAGAATGAAACATTTGAAATCTCCAACCAGATCTAGACTAACGGATGCACACTTGCATCACTTGTTACGACTAGCAGTGACAAATATGTAACCGGATATTGACCATCTCATTAGCCAAAATCAGGCCCATAGTTCCCATTGAAATACTGGCAAGTTTGTTGATTTAACTTTACTTGTTCTTCATTTTAAATATTGTATTTGTTCCCGTTTTGTTTCTTCACTTCAAAATAAGATATATGCAGTGTGCATAGGAATTTGTTCATAGTTTTTTTTAACTATAGTCCGGCCCTCCAGCGGTCTGAGGGACAGTGAACTGGCCCCCTGTTTAAAAAGTTTGAGGACCCCTGAGGTAGAGGGTTGTTTTTGCTAGACATCCCTCCACGGACATGCACTACACACACATGCACACGCATACACACGCATGCACACGCATGCACACGCATGCACACGCATGCACACATATGCACATGCATGCACACCGAGAGAGCACGAACTTCACGCAGAGTCAGCGAAGCGGCGGCGAGACATTTGTTTGTGCGTGGCATGGCATACACAATAAACGCTGTTTGCCAAGAGAAATGTCATTTGCTTGAAATCAATCGGGGCCACTTGCTGTGACCCGTGGGGTGTTGAGGGATATGGAGACTCTTTTGACTCTGATTAGATTTTCCTCTGGCAGACAAGACGGTGCATTCGTCAACAAGAGGCAATGAAAAAGAGGCCGCCTGTGCCTTCCGCTGGGATGGGAGGAAAACGCGTCGCACCGTGGTGCAGTGCGGTGCGGTGCGGACGCCGCGCGTCCACAGCTGGAACGTGCGGGACGCCCTTCGCGTCGTTGTGCACCACCCTGTGGTTGCGCACGCGATTACCGCGTATTGATGACATGCGCCCCCCGCGACCAAACGTGGGCCCCAATAACCAGTCTCACTAAATCATGCTCTGAGAATGAGAGAGAAAATAACTAAATCCTAACCAAATTAATTACTAATAAAACAATGACATTTATTTACATGGGACAGTTTCTTGCGAGTCTCAATGTTCAATGCAGGAGGTTCTGCATTGGAATGTTTTGACTATTCAATGTTTGAACTGACGTAACACCGCATGTACTCTATAGATCCCCGTGATACCTATTAGCAGCTGCCGATTATCGGGAGCAGGATTAGCGCCGAGGCACAACAGAGGACATTCACGGCAGTGTGTGATATCATGGACATAAGGGCGGCATCATCATCGACCATTGTGTATCCACTGTTGGATAAAGGCCTCGCCGTGTCATCGCCATTCCTCACGGTCCTGCAACACTACAATCCACGTCACTCCTATCTACCTAGCTCAATACCGACGGTAGTAGGGCTGAATGAACACCTTCCACCGTCTAATACACTGAATCGGTCTCGTCGCTTTGGATAATTCCAGTCTTTCTTCTCATTTCAGATCTCCCTTTTGCTTTAATGCACATGGTTACTCGCTTAATTACAACCGATCCCTGTCCACGAAAGGGCAAGCGGATGTGTAATCGCGTGCAGACACGAGCCCCTGCGGGGAAGTGATGCCGCTGTTTGCTCATGCGGCGCAGAACTCCTCCTCCTTCTCTGTGCCGTGACACTCTTGACGTGACACGCTGCCCCCCCCCCCCCCCCCCCCCAGGTAACAGACCTCTCATGGAGCGTCTGCCCACTGCCTCAAACGCATCCACTTCCACAGCAAATTATTCCACTTAATTAAAAGACACCGGATCAAAAGCAATTGGGGCGTAAAACACACCGCCTCCGCAATGTTAATCAATGCTGTTACAAGCCATCAGCGGTGGTAAGGTTGACACGTACAGGGTGAACGTAGGTCGCATCTCTACGGGCGAGGTAACCACATCGGGTCGTCGATGTGGTAACCTCGCTATGCTTGGAGAAGCCCATTTAATCGGAGTGTGGATGAGGCCCACACTCGAACCGAGCATCTCAACGGTGCTGGGTCAGTGCTGTGACTCCACAGCCAGTACAGTGGCGACCCTGTGGCACCACTCATCATATTTGTGTGCCCGTGTCAACACCGCTTCATGCTGGGCTCCTGCCCCTCTTCTTGTTGAACTGACGTCTGAATCTCTAAAAGCACCGTGACCCCTGAAGTGGCCGAGGGTTTGCAGCACTGAGCCGGTGATGCTTTAGATTCTGGTTAAACGGAGTTCTATCGTGTGGTGGAATTTTGAAATTTAAAAGGTATCAGTTTGACTGGCATGTTACAAAAAAAAATTACTAGACACAACACGTGAGATCGTGCATCCCCTAGTATGTGGATTAACAAGGTCACCTGTTATGCCCTGCTCTGAGAGCGTTTTAAACCTGATAATTTTGTCTTACGCCGCAACAGTGATGGCATAATTGGAATAAGACCCGAGAAGAATGCAATTTGAAAAAAAACGAAATACCGAAAACGTGCATGTGCCACCCCCCCCCCCATTAGGGGGCCACGTGCTCACCGTCCCCGATGAGGCCCACGCCAATGGACATGCCCATGAACTTGCTCTTGGTCCAGACGTGGGCATTCAGGCACAGATTCTTCTCCGGGCACTCGGCATAGAAGGCGGAGATGGGCGGGTGGTGCGACACCTGCTCGGCCGTGAAGCGCAAGCGCAGCGGCGGCGGCTCACGTGGCGGCGGTCGAGCCGGGCGCGGTGGGCACGCGGAGCCCGGCGGCCGCTCCTGCCCCGTGACTCCGGGGTCACTGCCACTGTCGGCACCAAGGAAACGCCGACAAGGTTATCGAAGTCAACGCCACTAACACTACTACGCCTCGACATGGCCTGTGTTTTTCTCGTTCTGTTAAATCCTGTGCCCATTGCAAAGTGGACACACAACCTTATCACCACCATTGTCTGTCACTCAGTCCTGCCCTTACAGTCACCTCTCTCACAGTCTCATCGCCACCACCATCCAGCGTTAGATCTTCCCCATGGTTACCAACCACTGGAAGCCACTCTGATATCTGTTTCAGGAACCTGTCCTCTACGTACACCACCCCCCCAGCCTCTCTCCTCTACACGTTCAACTTCTTTCACAACGTACATAGCCAACCGTGCTAATTGGGGGTTTGGGGGAAGGACAAACTAAACACAAACACAAGTTCTAGAGAAAGACGTTTAGAATTTAGATTTAAAAGTGCACAGCTCCAGTGGCTTCCTAAGATCAGAAGAAAAAGCGTCCCAGGCGGCCGTGGAAGCACATTCGAAAGCGCGCGATGCAGTGACCGTCTTTGTTCGATGGTTAGCCAAAAGACGCTGCTTTCAGGATGACCGGAATTTGCGTGATGATGGTTTATGCTCCTTGACAAGATCAGTAAAAGTATTGTGGTTTATTCGTGGCATTTTGTGTGTGATGAGTGTGGCCCAGGTCTACAGCGCTCTCTTGCCAAGTTCTAGTCCAAATTTCCCAGCTGTTTACAATGTCCTGCCATGAAGTTGCCCGATAAAAATGTAATTGAAACAATTGCTCTTAAATCTAAACACAAACACAAATCTAAAGCATCGACTTTGCAGTCAAACTGTTTTTTTGCTGCTTGTAATAAGGATTTAAAAGTGTTTCTAAGACAATGGCACATGTTCAATGCAGCATTTTTTAAAAGACCGACTCTCTCCAGTTTATGTTTTGTCTGCATTGGAAAATGGACAGCACACTGCTCAAAGTGGACAGAGAATTAAATTCTCCAAATGCCTGTAATTATAGACGCTTACATCGCCATCAATCTATCAAAACATGTGCAATGTCAAATTCCAATGTGTAATTTTTAAGTCCAATTACAGTGTGGATTTTAGTAAATAAAAGCCTCACATATAAACTCGATGTAATTTTTGTCCATGATAGAACACATCCCAATCAGACTTGGGTTCCATGTGCAATTGTGCCATGCGTAATGACATGCAATCACAATACAATTGCCATTCAAGCTAACAATGGTTTTGTAATTATAATTGAACCTTGCTTTAACCACAGCAGCACAACACAGACACGCACGCACTAGATTTCAGAAGAACCAGTTAACAGATATCGTCTGAGATATCTCTTAAATGTCAAACGCACTGGCTTGTGAAAACCGTATTTCATTTTTAATAGAAAACCCGGAGTACCGGCACATCTCAACAAAGCTGGCTTGGTTCTCCGAACAAGGCATCAGCATTATCCCAGAGCCAAACAGGCACATCCAGATGCCTGAAATGTATTCTCCAATTTCTGTGGAGGCTGCATGCACGAATGCCACAGGTCGATAGACAAGAAAAATGGAAAGGCTGGGTCCACTACCACGAGCAGTTTGTGTTGCATTAGCAGTAAAAACAAACGGCACAATTACATGGATTGCAGCCCGGAGGCAAAGCAGCAATTCCCAATGGGTCACACAAAAGGCACGCACGCAAGCAAGACCACCGACACACACCATACCCATATACCCACACACAAAACTCACGAAGACATGGGAACTCCTGACTAAACTTCTGCATAAACATACATACAATAGCACCCAGAGAATCAAACTAACACACAAAGATCCCCCCATATAGACTTAACAGGCTTTTTGGGGAAAGTACTGTTCGCGAGCAGCCTATGAAGGCCAGCTTGGCACACTTGGGGTGGTGGGTAGCCAGCACCATGCTCGACCGCCTTTGTCTCCCAAATGCTGATGTTTACACATTGTGCCAGGTACTCATTTGAGGCCGAGTTGACCTAGGGGAGGCCCAGGACCGGTTCAGATAATCGTCACTAGTGTTGGTCATGAGTGGGAATCAAACTCAGGTCGCCAGGTTCATAGCACAGCACGTTAACCAAGACACTACCATTCCCGACAAACACTCATACTCATATCCACAGTCACACACTCTCACATGCACACACTACCAACCCACACATCCACTCAAGCCCACACGCACAAAATAACAAGCGTGCTGTGTCACTCTAACACAAGACAATGCTACCCTGCTTAGAACATCGTCCCAACGCTATCATGACCACATTAACCACAGCGAACCCTGCCCCAGGGCTCCAGACATCGCGACCCCGTACCGGCTGGGAGATGACGACGCCGCCGCCGCCGCCGCCACCGCCACCGGCGCCTTGCCTGGGCACGGCTGCTCGGCCGGCGGGGCGGGTGCCGGGCCAGCGGCTTGCTGCTGCTGCTGGCGCTGCTGCTGGCTCTCGCCGGCGCCGGCCGTGTCCCCGCCACCCGGCGGCACGCTCCACGAGCACCGGAAGGTCTCGCCCAGCGCGGGGTTGTAGGGCTTGCGCGCGAGGGCGCCGCGTCGGCCCTGGTGCACCGCCGCCAGGTAGTAGCGGAGGAAGGCCAACATGCGCTCCTCCGGGGTGGCGGCGTCCGCCACCGCCAGCAGGAGCTGCGGCAGCGCCAGGAGGTCGGCGTACATCTCCAGCAGGGAGCGCTTCTCCAGGATGAAGGTCGGCAGCACCACCTGCGTGGGGATGATCGCGGGGGAGGGGGGGCAAGGTGGCCATGGCGCCGTCAATGCGTGCCCAGCCGGTGCCCCACGTCATTACACGTCCCCGTGGCGTGGTTTTCAGCTCAATACACATTTGCTGGGCACGTACTGATTCAGTCCTCTCTGCGAGTCGATCAATTTGCCGCACACGTGGCAATCACGATTGCATTCAAGAATTGATTGTTTAGTATAATTTGTTCTGACTCATCTGTTCTATTTGTCTCATAAGTAGCATGTAAATTGCATAACATGTAAACAACCAATCATTGTGTAACATTTGATGCATGAACCGAGATCATAAATGGATTATAATTTTGCCAATATTGGAACAAGTGCAGTAAAGAATACTGATCTACAGAACTGATGAACGTCCTGATTTTTTTCATTTCTTAAACTATTTACAGCACACAATCCCATTGGTTTTCCTGTATCTTGATTTTGATCCACGTATTATGTAACACATCTGCTAATTTATCACTTGTAATAAACATCAGACAACCTTGATAATTGACGATAATCAATATCTACCCTGCATCTCGTTAAACCGGGGCAGGTTTATATTTCAGTTTTACTCTAGCGGTTGGGTCAATACTGGGCGGTCGTTGTTGAGAGTCACATGACTCTCCAAACTGCCCGTGTACAAGATCACTGACCGTGACAGACGGGGGCACAGGGCCACGCACTTGCTAGACGCAGTGCAGGCCAACAGCGCCACTCGGAGTGTGGCGTAGAGACCAACTCCCGTGCGGGACGCAAGGTTACCCGGGTGAGGTCCATGCCCAGCTTGAGCTGGGACAAGAGGTGCAGGATAACTCCGCGCTGCTCCTCAACAGGCCCCAGCTGCTCCTCCTCCTCTTCCTCGTCATCAGTCACCTCGTCTTCGAAGTTCACCTCATCAGGGACGTCCCTCTTCGCCTGCACAAGCAGTCAGGTTTCTCAGGCAGTAAGCAAAACGCTTGAGCCAGTCATGCAATTGGTCATCACGCTCCTATTTAAAGGAAGCCGAAAAATAAAAAAAGCGCTCCTGCCTATTAGACACATAAGTAGGCTGTGCATCTTGGGTTATCCAACACAGCTTTGAAAGTTCATTAGCAAGTAACACAGTGAATAGCACAGACTAATATCTGGTGATATCATGTGGTACCACTTGTACGCATTAAGACATAAATGCAGTATCTTTACTATAGTGCTATGACAGAGTGTATGACAATATTTTTTAGTATTATTATTATCTTTGCTTTCATTAACCAAGCTTCAAACGCGAGTTGGACAGCCTGGCAAACAGCCTGGGTGCGCACCGACAAGATGCACCCAATTTTATTTTTTGCATTGCGCCTTCCACTGAACAAAAGAGCCTTGGAAACAGCTTCCACAATTCCCTTAACAACCGAATCAAGGGGCCGTGTTCCGAGGGTGCGGCGCCGTCCGCTCTTGTACCTCGTCGGGGGCCCCCGATGCGGCTGCTTGCGCCCGCGAGACCGTGGGATCCTCCTCTCCCGGGCAGAACACGCCGTTCTTGAGGCCCTCCTTGGGCGCCGGCTTCGGGTCGAACCAGTGAACTTGCATCCCTGCCCACACAGCACACGGGAACAGTCTCGTAAGGCTGCAGACCCGCCCTGTCGTCTGCCAGCCCCCTCTCTACAGAGATTGTAGTAGTCACGTGGCACGAAGGCGTCACAGAATCCAGCAACGCAGGAAGACGAGACCTATTCTGCTCAAGGTTTGCGTCAGGTTTCTCCTCGTCCTCTTCGCTTCCTTCTCACTCAGCCACTTTGCTTCAATCGCTTTGGCTCCGTCGTGCAGCATGTATCTTGCAGCTCGGCTTGCGGGCGCCCGCTAAGTCGGCACATCGCTTGCGAACGTCAAGATAGAGTGCTCTTTTCGCGAAATCCAAAAGATGTGTGCCAACAGCCATCCTTCGGCACAAACAATTTACCAATAGCGCCAATAATGAGTGGTGGAATCGACCCGTGTACGAAACATTTTAATCCGCTGGGTCCAAAGCACGTGCGCTGGATCGCTCTGCTTTGCTGACTTATCCTTTCTTAAATTAAACGTAGAGAATGTTACCCTCCTTGCTATTCTATGCATTAGCCAAAGGAGGGAATACACCCAAATGGGATCATCTCACGTGCAAAGCTTTATGAATCGCTACGGTGCAAGACCATGAGAGATGGCGACGGCTTTGGGTGGTCTCCATCTGGCAGTGGATAAGTCATGGCTAATGATGATGAAGTGGGGATGTGTGCATGTATGTATGTATATACTGTGATGAATATGAACAAAATATAGAGAGGATCAAGCAAGCCAGTCCTCAGTGGATTGCATCATGATATAATGTAACAAGAAAGTGAGCTAGCCAGAGCTTTTGAGCAAGCTAACGAGCAAACGCTAATACAGCTTGGAGCATTCTAGTTCAGCAAGCTCTGCTCTGGACAAAAAAACTGAACTGTACAGCACCTATTATTCTAAACACAGATGACAAAGCACTCCCAAAGGAGTGGCACTAGTTGGCGTCCCCTGCAGGTGTTGTCTCCTGGTTGTGCTCTGTGCTCTGGGTACCGGCAGGGAGCGGAGGCGCTGGCTGGTGCAGGCTCTGCTGATGGTTCAGCACGGAGAGGCAGTCGGAGAGGCAGCGCAGAGCCGCCGCCGTCGTCGCCTTGAGCATCAGGAGGTCACGATCGAGCGCCGTCACGTTCTCCTCTTGCTGGCGTTGGCCCTTGTCTGGCGCAGACAGTGACTCCAGCGTAGACACCAGCTGCCGCTGCTGGTTCTCCGCACCGCCCAGCATCTAGCGGAGAAAAGGGGCACGAGAACTCACTCGGTCGGTCTGCACCGTCGATAACAGACGGAGCACACCGAATCAAACTTTCCGATCACACGGTGCCAACCACAGAACCCGTCCTACACACCTCACGAACGTCCATCAGCTGATCCGAGCCGGGCAGTCTGGCGAGACGGAGGGGGGGCAGCGGCAGCGGCGCGGGAGCAGGAGGTCTTGGGGGTGGGGGGACCGTTGGGCCCGGTGCTGGTGCCGGAACTGTCGGCAGCATTCGCCTCCGCGTGCCGGGGGATGGAGTGAGGCCTCCGGGTTTCAGCAGGAAACTGCGGCCCTTCAGCGGAGGGTTGTTCTGCGCGAGACCAAGCGGTGCCGTTCAGCGCGAGCGCCGTCCGTGGTGCCGTGGTTGCAGGGTTGGCCGCGCTGGCGCCGTGTGCGGCGTGCGGCGCGTGCGGCGCGTGCGGCGAGGAACCTACCTTGGCCATGGCCTCGGTGTGGTGCTGCACACATGCCTGCAGGCGGCTCACCCAGTGCTGGCGCTCCTTGGCATCCAATCCTGCTCGTCACAAAGCACAGGCACGGGCTTCGCACAACTAACTCCAGGGCGCTGGGCACCACGAGCGGCCATGGCGACGCTCGCGGTGCGCAAGGCATTCCGTTGCTCAACGCGGTTTTACCACAGGGGCGCGGGTGATATTGGAAGCTCAGCAGGTTTAAGCCTGGACAGCGCTTGGAATGGCTGAGGGACTACGTCACGTTGTAGAAAGCAGACGGTAGTGCAGTAAAACCAATTATTGTAATGCACTTCTATGACCAGCGTGGCAAAATATGCTCAACTCAGTTCCACAGCCCATGCAGCGTGGGAAGCCGTCATACGGCAGAGGCATGATACAAGGAAATACATGCACACGTCACTGTTACTGCAGAAATTATTATTACTTTTACCTATGCGTTCTTCCACTCTTGATGCATGCATTGAATCACGTGTGACCAAAATTATTTTTAGATGTTTTTTTACAATGGAGTGAGGAAGATTCAAAACAACAAGAAACAATACAAATGAGATTGTAAAAATGAGATGTAAACTTTATCAAATAGTACGACACCAAATTGTGACAATCCATCAAAAATTGGTGCGAGGGTTAATTGAGACCCGCTTGGTCACGCAGTACCTTAATCTTACGAGTAACTGCGCAAATGTAACATAAAACTAAATAAAAAAATGTATTTTACAAGGTAAGGCCCATTGAGTTTTCGCTCTTTTTCAGAAGTGACCTGGCCACAAATGAATGCTCAATGAAGTGGCTCATCGTGTGGAGATTAATAGCAGCTAAATAATCTAAATGTACGATGTTCATTCTGAATAGTGGGAAATACCGCAGGACCCAAAGAAAAATCTTCGCAACCATCAAGAGAACATGCAAACTCCAAATATTTATGCGTCAGGGTCGAGATCGAACCGACGACCTCCTGCATACCGGGCGAGGGAGAAAACATCTAGCATTTTAGAGAAATAACTTATCATCACCGGTAATTACGATCGGCCTAGCATCCCCACCATCGCCGCTGACAACAACATTACCCACTCCCCCATCAGTGACGCCTCTAAGTGTTTCCCCTTCGGCAGGAAGATCAGAGAGCAGAACCCTACCCACCGCCAACGATCGACCGGCTTATTTGTCATATCCCCCCTCGACCCATTCACCCCCTATTTAATTACTGCTCAATCAAAACCCTGGCTGCAGTGCTACAGCTGTAACTGAGCAAACGACTTAGCAGAGTGCATTCAGAGCTTTTACTGTTGTTTGTCCCATTATTTTCGTGACGGTTACGGCGTTTAATTCAACGTAAAACAATGCAGCACGTACGTGTGTGGTATGGGTATGATTAACGTGTTGTCGAGGATTTTCACAGAGTGGCAGCCAAGACAGGCAACGTGCCCGAGAGGATGGCTACCGTGGAGTCGGAGCGATGGAAGCAGTTTGTGAGCAGGTGCTAGGTTCGAATATTACACTGCAGAACTGTGACAGATTGTGATGGTTTGGCGAGGCATTCACACATCGGTGGCTTTATAAGAACTGATGAAGATCACGTGTGTGGATGTCAAATTATGAGTCGCAAGAAAATACACCGATATCAGCTGAGCCTTTGTAGGCATTGCAGAAAAGCACAGGTGGATTCATGCATCGGCAAGTGTATTCGGCATAGGAACGCTGAAATTCATGCTGCACTGGTGTGTTTTTTTTCTTCATGCTAGTGCTGATCTGGCAAGGCATTTTCAAGTGTCCTTGTTTGTTGCCCTGCTGACATCCGCACAGAGGGATGCAGAGAATTCTCCCTGTGCACACGGGGGCAGTGCTTAGTGTGGAGCGATGAACACGAATGAATTTAGTTACTCCACAGCAGTACCAAAATAGACTCGGGCTGGCAAGCCCTCACAATCTGCTGTGCCGTGGGCAGTAGCACGCTGACCACTATACCGAGTGGGTATTCACGGCTGTGCCATGCAGTCCTCCAATGTGTTTCCGGGTTGCACCGCGCATTGTTTCGGCGCGATGTCCGATGTTTCGCTCCAGGTGCTGGCAACTTTTTGCATCGGAAGGCAGAAGGTGGAGTGATGCGGCAAGCATCATGCCAAACACGAGGAGCAACCCGAAAACACATGCAGCGCTACGCTGACCGCTATGTCCTCCAAATACCCAACTGGATGTCCTCTGTGTACCATTACAACCCTATACCGGCTTAAGGTGATCGGTAGGTGAGCAAAGCAATTCCAAATCAGGTGGGGGGTTGGGGTGGATGCGGGTAGCTACCACCGCCATCTTCTTGTGTCTGATCCAGTAATAGCAGTGCTGTGGGAGGTGTTTCCCCTGGGTCCCTACATATTGGTGCGTGACGATTCAAGCAAGCACGCTCCCACAGTTCTATAGATTGTCAGGATTTGGGGGCCGTAATTTGATTCACGAATCAATTATTATTTTTGCCTTGGGCATACAGCCTCCTTTGCACTGTCTCATCTGTGCTCTCCATCTTGTATGTTTTGCCAGATTTCTTCCGACCTTTATAATAAGAGGATTTATTTCATGAAATTGGCACATTTTAAAAATAATAAATTCTTACACGCATGGTTTTATCCGTGTATTATGAGTTGCAAGAATCCATTTTAAATGGAAAAAATAGTTACTTGCCTATCTATAGAGCTTTTAAATTTGTTCGGGCTTTCCTCCCTGATCATATAAGTACTTTCACAAGGGAACAGTTGTAATATCTCATCCTGTATGTATGTTGAACTTCTTTCGCACCATACGAAGCCAACCGTGCTAATCGGAGGTGCGAGGGGGGGCAAGGACAATAAACTAAACAGAAAAAGCAGTTTGTGCCCAATCGTTTGTCCAATCCTGCGAGGGTTTGGACTAAAGAATATGAGAGTACACTGTATTTTTCATAGGAAACCAACAACTCATCTTATTCAAATTAATCTTCCTCTGTAATAATTTACGGAAAATGAGTTGGTAAACAAACAAATATTGCTCCGTGATGGCCATGACAGGCATTATCTCCTGTAATGAATGCATTTCACAGCAGCATCCTCACTGTAAATATCCGCAATTCAATAGAATCCGTCACGCGGAGCTTAATTCGGCATTAAACCCATTCTCGACATCATAACTGTATTTCAGTGACAAAATATGAAGGACGCACACATCTTTGCGCATCCTATTGATTTCCCAAATAACCCCTATTGAATGTAGCAAGACTTATTCCAATAAAAACGTTAAATGGAAAACCAGTAACACCACTACTTCTGAGGCTTCTTTAATAATAATATCCACACGAGGCATTCCGTATCACCCGAGTTTGTCCTGTGACCTTCCAGCGAGACATCCCATCTCGCCTGACAGTGCATCTAGCCTGTTACAAATGCCGTGGTGACATCGCCACCACTTAGCGGCGAATGGCGGCTGTCGATGCCGTTGAAAAATTGTTAATTCTCAGATGCCACGGTGGTGGGATGTTAACGACCTCGCCTGGTATACAGGAGGACGTAGGTTCGATCCCGACCCTGACGCATGTTCATTTGGAGTTTGCATGCTCTCCCCGTGATCGCGTCGATTTATCTCCGGGTCCTCCGGTTTTTCCCTCCACATTTAGAAACATGTATTTGGAGTATTTGGCTGCTATAAACTTCCACATCATAAGCCACTTCGTCGAGCTATCAATTACGGCCAGGTCACCTCTGAAAGAGAGCTAATAGCTCCGTGGGCTTTAACTGGTAAAAAAAAAAATTGTTAAGCTTTAGTTGAGTGATAACTGCGATCCCCAGCCGAGCGGGAACAAAGATGATGGGATGAGGGGGGGGGGGCGGCACCTCGGAGGCGGTACTGCTCCCCGTTGGCGGCGTTGACGGTGAAGGTGTGTGAGTCCTCGTCGCTCGGCGAGATGACGGCGCCCGCCAGCTGCAGGGCACCCCGTGGCTTCTGCCCCGAGCTGGGCTCGCTCACAAAGTACTCGAGCATGCCCGTCTCCGTGTTCAGCACAAAGTATCTGCGCGTAACGCACGGGGGGCACAGGGAGGCACAAGGTGGAGTAGTAGGCAAGCCAAGTGGGTCCTGTGAAGGATTGGGCGGCCACTAGGTCGTAGACGCACGTGCGAGGTACATTATCGATGACATCCGAGTCTAGTTTTGTGTCTCTTTACCAATTCCATTGTGATGGTGCTACTTGAGCCATGGCACAACACAGATATACCACTTGGCAACTCTCGCAGGCAATAGTGCAGTGCAGCATCACTCGAGAAATACATCTGAGATCTCTCAAATTGGGTTGACCTACGCCCTGCTATAAAGGACTTACTTACATGCGATCATAACAATTGGCATAACAGTCCTCAAGAGCCAGATATCCACCAGATTACAGCAATTGAAAACCATATTAAAGGTAATGGTTTTCTGTGTGCAGTAATATGTGACCAGGCAGAGACCATCCGCTCGCGAGACTAGAAGACCTTGCTTTAATCTCTCGTGGCTAGAGCCCAGACACAAACACAGGGACTCTGTCAGAAGTGCCGGCTCAGGGCCCTGACACGGCGTTAGTCCCGTGAGCCCCCCAGCCACTTCTTGTCCTTATAATGCGTGCGTTAAGACCCTGGCCACCAGTAATGCAGTACAAATTCGGTCACGTTTTAGATTTTAACAAAATATTTTGCAGTTGATTTGTATTTCGGCGCTGTCCTCGTAAGATACAAATTCATGCATTGGCCCTCAATGTTGCCGATACGACATTAGACTGACATTTAACGTGGAATTAATTTACAGGGCACTATATTTCAAGTTTGATTGGTTTAGTGTACATTTTTAGGTACAGCTGATATACTATTATATCATTGGAAATACACGATTAAATCTTGAGATCAAAATATAAACAGCACAAGATAATTGTGGATAATGCAGCAAGATAATGCCAGGTTTAAAAAACAAGACACGTTAGGAAAAAACACGATATGAATATTTGTTTACTCATCTGTTATGGCAGCTATCCAGGGGCAGCTATAAAAAGCTCTGGGTCCACCTCCATGTTACATCAAAGCTCACCCTCATTCTATGCAGCCGAAGAAAATATGTTGGTGGAAAATCAATTGCAGTAAAATGCTCGGGTGAGTGCTCGGCAGGCCAGATACAAGCGGCGAGCGGGTCAAGAAAAATAAAAACCAGCAATAAATTTGCATTAAACATTTGCAGCAAGTGAAAGTGAGCCATGTAGTGTCCATCGCAATAAATATTCTCTGCATGGCAATTTCGGTGAACAGTGGCTATGTTATGGAAGTGTAAAACAAGGATGAACGGCCTGTCACAGCCTTCGTGGAGTGAGCATGTTTCACAGAAATACATGTTCATTTGGATGCAAGCCATGAGGAGGCAGCATCGCTGAAACGCCGAACGAATGAAATTGTGTTATGGCAAATGGTTTGGAGATAAAGACACCATGTCTGAAGACATCATGTCTTCTTCTCCACGGAATGCTGGGGTGGTGAGGGTTGAAAAAATGGGATGTTATCGGGCATGTCTCAGGAGACTGACCGATATTTGTCGCTTTGACAATATATAGCGGTTTCAGAGTAGCTCGGCACTATGTCAGCTGGGTAAGGTCAATGGATGGGCAGTCCATCTGTCACTCAACAGTCTGACAAACCTTCATGGCGAAATGCCTCTTTGAAGGATGGTTGTAAATAACGCCTCTAATGACTGCAAGCAGATTAAACAAATTCCAAAATAATATGGTCATCACTTTCTTCTTCGGTACAACCTGATTTTAAAGTGTTATTTTAAAGACGGTCCTGCTTCGACATGTTTGGACAAATCCTACTTAGATAAAACCCAAGCGTCCAATACCCTTTCATTAATGCACAAAAAGCATCATCGAGTCTCAACACTATGTTTCAGGTGGGTGCTGCATCGAGAATTTTGGGCCATTCCATCATTGAGTGAATAGCATGCAGAAGGAAATTAGACGACTGGAGAAATCCCACGAACATCATGCTCTGTACATATAGCTTCAAGAGTCCATTGTTTAATTACCATCACCAGGCCACTCTGAAGCCCAGAGGGTTGGGAGTCTCACACACACAAAAATCTTTGCATGACGCACCAACCACGCCATGTACGCACTTAATTACAGTCATGTCCTACCACTCCCAGCTCTCACAAGGATTCATGACTTTATGGCAAGAGCAACACAATGTGTCTTAAACGCTTCGTAGACAAACCATCCAGTCACACAAACAAGTGGCGGCCTGCATAGTGCGAGCACCTTCATGGCAGCAGCCACAGCACATGATGGGGCTATGATGCACGCCCGGGCGACCTGCAAAGGTGGCACACCATCCGCTATAAATTTGCCCGTTCAAGCAATCGCTGCATCAGGGGTGTTTATCTCTTGCCCTTGACAAGAGCCACCGCCTCTCGCCTCGGGGCTCTGCATTAGTCCCTGCTGTGCCGGGACAGACCGTGCAGTCAGCGGTACCTGCACAAATAGCCCGCCCACCCACATAATCAGCCCCATTTCCTTGGAAAGGGCTATAGACAACAATGCCCGCACACCACGCACAAAAGCACTACAGCGGACTAAGTGCACTTCCACACAATTTGTGCTGCGTCAAAAGATCGCGTGCCTTGTGCAGCTTTGAGTGCTGCTTGGTGGCGATGCGGCACCACCAGTTTCATCTTTTGTGAGTAAGCGTGCGGCATGGTTTAAGATTCTTACGCCCATGATCAGTGCATCGAATTGTGAGTGTGAGAATCGCTTCTTTACAATGTTTGCAAATTATTTTCAAACCATATGCTGATGCAGAGAATTGAACTGTACAAATGAGCCAGACAAAAACTAGAATACAAATGAGACCATGAAAAGGAGACTAAACATAATCATCTGTCGAATGGAATCATGACCCTGACTCGTGAGAATTCCAAGAATCTCTCAGGATAGCAATCGTCATATCGCCTATGCTTAATGTTCTAACGGTTCTGAGTTGTTCAAAATCATCCAGATAGTAGGTGCCCAAGTTCTGGTTATACCAGGCTAAACCTTACAGGAGGCAGAGGCAGTTTGCAGCATGAATCAGAATCATGACCTTTCAGAATTTTATCCTGGAGAAATCCAATGAGCTATTACGCTCTTTTTCACAGATGTCCAGTAGGGGCACGTAAGAAAGTCACGACAATAAATACAAAAAACTATAAGAGTACAAAGTATAGGAAAAGTAAGCACATCACTAAAATAAATACGTGAAATAGATAAAGTATACAAGTTCAAACAGCATTAGCATGCCAATTCCCAATCTTTTGAATTCCAGCAAGAGCCTCGCAACACTCCAGATTCCACTTCATTCACACTCGTAGGAAAACCGAGCCAGGTTAGATATTCCATTCTCCCAGCCCGGTGTAATGTGTCCACCGGGAGGGGACCCTATCCATTATTAATTCAAGCAGAGGGGACGTGCATCTGACCGTGAGCTCTCTGACAAACAGGCGCTCGCAACACTTTACACCGCAGGCACGTGTGTGCCAAAGGAATGGAAAAATCTTCTTGTTACACTGATTAGTTTTAGAAAACGCCGATCGAAAAAGAGAACAAAATCATCAGCATTTGTTGAAACAGCACACATTGAACAATCACAGGCTTTCATGAAATATAACCGAAAAAAAAAAGTTCAGTCAGTGAGCAGGGCATGCCTCAAACATAACAATATCCAAAAACAAATGCGAAATATTTTAAATGTGCAGCGGTCTTTTTGCACAGAACACTGGGGACCAGGTAGGGATCATTATTTGACCGCACAAACACTGATGCGATAACACTGAGCTTCGAATGCAATGCGTTTCAGTGCCTTGCTATGCAGTCTTGATGACAGCGCGTGGGTGCCTTAAGGACGAAGGACATAAAACCGTCTGCCTGCGTGACACTTTGAGCTGCGAATGGATCACTTGCTTAAAACAGCAGGGCAAGTCTCCAGCTGCAGGTCTCCGTATGAACATAAACTGTGATTAATTCTTGCATGCGCTATTTCCGCGGCGACACCTACTCACCAAGCCGTGCTCACTGACTGTCTCTGATGAACAGGAAGGAGTGGGGAGAATCAGGCACCTACCGATACTGCCATCCCTGGACAAGGTTGGTGTATTTCATCAGGGCACCCTGCACACTCTCCAGTTGGTTAGCATCGCTACAGCGCAGAGGTGGAGATCAAGATAGGGGAGGAAGGGAGAGAAAGGAGGATGGGAACACAACAGGAGATAATTTGAATGACATCATTGCCGCATCAGGATTTTGATTGCAGAAAAAATCAACACAACAAAGGCAAATGTGCACAAAGCATTCACAAAGCATTTTTTTTACAGAGGCAAACATAAATCACAAAGCAAAAAAATGTTGACAGAGGTAGATATGCAAGGAGGCCGATTGTCTGTCTATTTAGTTACTTATATTCTCCACAATGACCTTGATAATTTTGGATTATATATTATATACTTTTGCTTCAAACCATCCATAACAGAGGGTCCTTGCCTATGAAAAGAAAATATCTCGATCACCAGCATTGGTTCCGGCAGGCCTGATGAGACACTGAATGACAAAATTAGTCCAGAGTTATATCCACTCTCCAGAAGACCATGTGGTTAATGCGCTATTTCTGGTATATTTTAGTGGAGAGGCAGGTATGTGAAGGAGGCATATTGTCTGCTTATTTATTTAGGCAGAGGTGATCACTTCAGCAAAGAGATCCACACATATGGCGAATTAAGCTGTCTTTGGGTGATGGGGGACCATGGCTGGTGGCTGTAAACAGCAGTCAATCAACCACAAAGCAGACGCACATAAACACTCAATGATCCAAACCCATTAAAGTGATCGTAAACAAAGGCCAATACATCTCCAATGCAGCTGCGATGACACAAGTGCTCTTGCCGAGAGTGAGTGATGGTGAAGCATTCTTACTCGGCACAAAGAATCAAAACTGCATGGACTGGTAACAGGAAACGTGAAACTGTAAACCCACGATCAGGTTTGTGCAATGTTGAACCGCTTCATTTGTACATGATTAGGCATAGATTGGTAACCATGCAAAGCCATGGTAGGTCACAAGGATTGGAGTTTGACGAGTTTTTAACACTGGGTGAGAAGTCAGTGATCTGGGCACTTGTGTTGGGCTGGTGGAAGTTCCTAATTCCCATGCAAAGGGTGAATATCTTCATTAACTAATCACTTTCGTGATTAAAAATCAACATTTAATTGCAAAATTAAACAGTTTTCGCAGGATAATGATTTGCATGTTTTATTGATCAGCCGTAAATCAGATACCTAACTGGGTATTTGGTTAAAATGGAATTCTAAGCTAAACAGGAATGCATTCATGTATTTTGTCAAGAAACTGGCAGTATCTCTCTCCGCTTCCCTCTGTCCATCTCACTTTCTTTCTCGATTGCAATCTGTCTCCCTGTCTGTATCCGTCTTTCAGACCCCTTTGTATCTCTGTATGTCTCTTCTTGTCTCCCTCCATCTCTGTCTGTCTCATCTCTCTTCGTCCGTCTTTATTTCTTCCTCTTCTTGCTCATCCGTCTTGCTCTCGGTCTCTTTCTCGTATATATTTGTCTCGTTCTCTGTCTCTATCTCTCCCATACCACTGTCCACAGCCCCCATCCTCCGTGCTCACATTGCAATGCTCCGTCTCCACCTCAAGCTGGGGTGGTCGTGTGACTATATTGGCCCACATTCCTCTAAATATTGTCTGTAGCCATTTAGCACATTTACTGCTGGACGAAGACCTCTCCACGCATTTAGGTCGTTTGACTTTACTTCACCACAATATTAAAGGGTGTTTATAATTCTTACAATTAAGGGTGGCAAATATTAACACACAGGTGCTATTTCTCCGAAATGGAAAAGTGAAGCAAATATTGGGTGCAACCCTAAAATTTAGTTTTTAATTATGTCAATTAATGTATTATTGCTGGCACCAATCGGCTGATCCATACACGAGCATAGGTCCAAGTGACAAGAGCTGGGCCACTCACTCGGTCACGGCACAAACGCTCTACGAGAAGAGCTACGTGACGGCTGTCACGCCAGACGTCTCGAGACGTGGGGGCTTGGCAGGCATTACGTAACTCACGTACCGTATTTCACTTACAAAACTGAAGAGGCAAGGCATAGTAATAAGTAACCGCCACAGGAATTATTAAGCCAGGCGTTCTGACACTGATGAATCCGTGGACGAGTGTCAGGTGCTATTCCCAAATGAACTTCTGTATCTGACCTCAACGCTGCCCCTAAACCTTCTACAAAAGGCCTGCAGCAACTAGATCATGGTCCTATGCACAGCCCTTTGTAAATCCACTTCTGTATTAAGGCCTCCTCATGCCGTGGAACCTAACCCAGGCCTTAATCCTACAGACTCTCGCCATAACACATTCTCTATTATCAATACAATGATGTATGCATGTGTTTGACCGGGTGTGGTACTCATTATATACAGTATACGTTATACATTTACATTGTTTGTATATGCGCCATTACGTGTTTGCTGTGTCAATCAACACCCTGGACACCCTTGCAGACGTGATTTTACACCTCAAGGGATGTCCACGTGAAATGTGTTAACACATAATTTAAAATAGGCCTAAGCCGTGCCCTCGTTCATGGCCTTAACCTGGGGCCAGTAAACACGATTGGAAGTGGTGTCCCCCTTTACTTGAAAGCGTTTTCAATGAATTTGTTTCATACACAATAACCCTAGCCCTGACCCGGGCATTATCACTAGGACCCTGACCTACTTATACAGATTATAAATCTTATTATAATTTAACGAGTCGTCGAATCTGAGTGAAATTATGACCTCGGCCGTGTCTTGTTTACTCGAGGCGACGTGACATTCATAGGTGAGGCTACTGAAGAGAGGGATGTGTGGAAGAATAGACGGAGGAAGAGGTGCACACAGATCACTGCACGTACAACGGAGGACCAGCCAGAAGAACAGATGGACAGAGGAACACCATCATAGCGTAACACATACTAACAGAGCCACAAGCAGAGGAACATACATATATATAAACAACACAGGGAAATATCCGGGCATGTTTCCCTTCATTGCGCATCACCCTCCCCTGCCACCATCATCACCATCCCCTCACCATCATTCCATGACCACCATGCCACGGATGTACTCGTCTGCCATGCCACCAAGCATCAACACAGCACCACTGCGGTACTCAACCTGCCCCGACATCACCATACCCTCATCATTATCAACATCTCACCACCATCACCACAGTCAGCATTCCACCACAGTCAGCATTCCATCACCACCACCACCGTCACCACCATCATCACCACTGCGGTACTCACCTACCCCGACATCACCATATCCTCATCATTATCAACATCCCATCACCACAGTCAGCATTCCATCACCACAGTCAGCATTCCATCACCACCACCGTCACCACCGCCACCATCAACAACACGGATGTACTCGCCTGCTCTGCCATCCCTTCACCACGTTCGTGTATTTGGAGAGGCCGCCTTCCAGGGGCTCGGGGCATGAGGAGGAGGAGGACGGGGCGGCTTGAGGGAGCCGCGTGCCCCGCTCAGGGGACGCTCTCCCCGCGGGGCCCACGCCTTGCCACATGCCCTACGAGACGGGGACGACGACAAACTAGTTCGGGCAACGTCGGAGAACGATCGGAGGGACCCCGGGACGACGCCGGGAGGGCAACGCGACCCGGGCCTCCGCGGCCCGTGCAGCAGAACTCGGCGCCCGACTAGAAACCATAGCGCGCTCGAGCGGGCGCGCGCGTGGAACTCGCGCCTCCACCAATGGGAACCGCGCATCCGGTTCACGCGCACGCGCGCGTGACCCCTCCCACCACCACGACTACCAATCAGAGACGGATCTCGAGACGTGACGTCACGCGCGGGCTCTGTCTGCGCGGCTGGAGGGGAGGGGGCGGTGTGCCGCGGGCTTGTGTTTTCTTATTTCTGCCGACTCTGGAGAGCGGTGGCGCTAGTGGTTGGCGCTGGAACTTGACCGGTGAACAGCAGCAGCTGGCGGTGGCCGACCGAGATCGATTCACGGCTCGCGGTCAAAACCGGTGACGAATATCTGTACCGGCCCCCACGAAGTTGGCTCGTATCTTAACTGAGCACCTGGTGCGGTGTGTAAATATCACCGCTGGGAAGACAAAGGCGGCCGGGCGTGGTTCTGGCCACCCCCTACCCCCCTTCCTCTTGTAGGATATTGGCATTGAGAGGGGCTTCTCAACACTTGCAACAACATTAGCAACAACAGCCTGCGCAGACAATACAGAGATAATGTTTCTTTAATATAATACTGTAATATGGGTTTACCCCTTTTTTCTGGCAACAAAACTGAAACCTTTTTACAAGGAATCATATCTGCATTAACCACAATACTTGTGGTCAAAATGCAAAAAAAACACACTCTGATAATATATGCATTGTCCTTGAAACTGATTGGTCCACACCAGAGACAGCTTTCTTTTGAGCCTCGTCTCAATTGGTGCTAGACCAGAGGACGCCAAAAGGCATACAGCTCAAAGACAATGCACTATCATAGTAATGAGGGCTCGGGGTGAGCATCTACATCATTAGACCTCCTTTACCAGTACCAAAATATTGACCACAAGTATTGTGGTTAATGCAGACATGATTCCTGGTAAAAAGGTTTCAGTTTTGTTGCCACAAAAAAGGGGGGAAACCCTGTTATTATATTTTGGTACTGGCAAAGGAGGTCTAATGAAGAATGTTTTTTTGTTCATGTGTGCCTCTTGATTTTTCCAATGAAAATTTAGTGCAGACTTAACAATCGGTGTAATTTCTTTAAATCATGGAATTCCAAGTTATTACCTAGCCCATGGCGCCTAGCAGTTGCACGGTTAATGCAATAACAGAGATCCCACGTGTAACCTTAACAGACTGTTTGGGCAAGTGCTGTTAGCGAGCACCTATGAAGGCCGGCACGGCACACGAAGGGGTGGGTGGCCAACACCACGCCCGGCCGCCTTTGTCTCCCCAGTGGTGATGTTTACACACCAGGTATCCATTTGAGGTTGAGTCGACCTAGGGGCGCCCCAGGGCCGGTTAAGATAATCGCCACTGGTGTTGACCTGGGCGGGAGTCGAACTCAGGGATCCGTAAATGCAATACACTTTATTACAAACACGTCTCAAATGTTTGTTCTGTTATGATAGGGGTTATATGTAATTTACTTGAGTGGAAAAACACGGACGCCCAGACGAACCCACATCATTCGAGACCCAAAACATCGTAGCTCCTCCTGGCTTTGACATTCCTACCCGGGAAGACACCGGTGGAACCATCAACAACATCAGAACATCATCAATAGGCCAATGCGCACATCTCCTTCATGAATGGAAAATGAAAGACAAGCCAAGGTGCGATTGTGGCCATGTCACCCAAACTTTAGACCACAGAGTAAACCACTGTGCTCTGCGCTCCTTCAATGGAGGAGGAATGCCAGACGACACGAACTCATGAAGCCCTCGTCGTAGCTAGCAGACCTCTACATGGCGTTTAGCTCATGAACACATTGCTGCTGCCATCATACCCAATAGAAAAACATTTAAACACAGAACCCTCCTGAAATTGAGTCTCGAGACCTGGTGTTGCTTTACGAGATACATTCAATTGTGCATTACACCGTAGTATTAATCATTGAGCAATGTTCAAACTTTCGTTGAGTTCGATATTCATGTGATATCCCCACTGTAATGTAATGTGAAGATCATCTAACAGCTGATGTTGATGTAAAGCAACAACTATCATGTTACACTGAGACGGTTGAGCCAGATAATCGAGTCAGGAATAACAAAGTGCGTCGCCGTGATATTTGGGAATTGCAAACCCATATGGTTTAACCCGTATTCTTGTACAGGGAAATTGAGTAATCATTGGAAAGATGTTATTAACCATGCAAAAAAGATTTAACTACACATATTTAGACCATCTTATTTGACAGGTACTATTCTTTACTTACCGTACAGTTTACAGACAGCCAGTTTTGTTTGATCATATTTAGCTTTTTTTTCACACGCTGGTTGCCTGCCTTGAGTTTTACCCACCCAGCAGCATAGCAAGGGGCTGCTTGGTCCTGACTTGCTTATCCGCTTCTGCCATCTACATGACAAAGGCTCAGTCCCAACAAGCAGCAGCAGCCGTACTAACCATCTCACAACAACTCCTCTCCCGCGGCCCATCCTGGCTCCCCCCCCCTTAACCAGTATATATAAGGTCGGGTCTCTTGGGACTTCTCTTCACTTGATACAGCAATCGTGCTGTGACGGTTCCACCTGAAGACAGAAGCTTGTGTTGCCTCCGAAACGTCGTGATTTATTATTTTATTTCTATTATTATTATTATTTATTTTTTACCTACGTGACTTTACCGATAAAAACCTAAGAGTATGAATCATTGCAGTCACGAAAGCTTCAAATCTAGAATTCATTCAACTTCATTCTGTCTCACCAACATCATTGGCCTCGGTCACTCTCCTTCAAACACGAGCTTGTGTTTTCACGCCATAAGCCAACGGAGGCCGAAGGGGAGTACAAGCGTCGTGGTGCACGGCCACCGCTACTTTGCTCCACCCTCATCCCCCTCGTGGACTCTGTCAACGACCCACGACTCAGCGGCAGGGTGGAACCCCCGGTGCCTCCCCTGTGTCTCCTACGTCTCGATTCATTGGAAGAAGACTAAGAGCAGCAGCAGCAGGAGGAGGACGAACTGTAAGTGTGGCAACAGCAGGAGGAGCTAGAGGAGGCGCGGCGGGCAGGGAGGTGCGGCCACGTGGGCGGACTCAACGGAACCCAGCAGAGCCCCGCGATCGCCCTTGGTTCTTCTCACTTGTGTGTGTCCTCCTCACGCCATGGCCGCTCCTCTCCGCGTCTCCATCGTCGGCTCGGGAAACTGGTGAGCTGTTCCCCTTCTCTTCCCCATTTCGTGTTGTTGTACCCCCCGGAGACGCATCAGACGGGGGCTGCCCGAGGTTCAATCACGGCGCCCGCCGCGATGGAGGTTGTTGTTGTTGATGATGATGTTGTTGTTGATGTTATTGTTGATGTTGTTGATGTTGAGGATGCCTCGTCGCCCCGGGGGGGTCTCGAGTTACACCTCCACGTGTCCGCTCGCAGCTGTGAGCGAGCTCCTCTGCACTAGGGCTGCGCACGAAACGTCTACCCCACCACCACCACCAATCTCGCACGTGGTGGGGGGGGGGGGGCTGCCAGAGCCGAGATGATTTGACTGCAAGGAGGTCGTGGGGTTTGTTTGATTTTTAATAAGGTATCTCTCCCTCCGTGAAGGTGTAGCCGTGGCCACCTCGTGTTCAAGAAGCTGATGCTGCGGTTTGAGGAACGGTCCTGTTTGCTCTACTTTGTTAGTTCCAGTGGAGCCCCGAGTTTGAGTTTATTGTGCTACGAGTTGTTTGGTGGTGACACATCGAGCTAAAGAACCCTTCATCACGAGCCGTGACGAGTGTGTTCAAGTCTTTTGTTATTGATGAAGACTCTCCCTGAGGCGTCTTCATCTCTTGACAGTCGCCTGCGATGTCCCATTGTAAACTCGCGTCTGGCCCAAGCTGATCTCAGTCACTCAGTCTCCACGATGGACGTCCTGCCAAGGTGCTGTTCGGACTGTTATGGTCACTCGGTGTATGGTTTATGTACGAGTCGTCTGTGTTTTCCTTGCACTTGAATAGCCGTGGCCCAACCTGAACCTCGGTCAATTAATAATTCCCTAGTATAATCGAGTACATTAAAAAATAATTCGCTACGGTTGTAGGGGTTTAGATGCCATGTCGAAAAAAATTACAGTTTAGTTAAGCAGATATCTCGCCAAGAGGATACAACTTCTTCAACTGATGGTAACATCATCAAAGTCATCCACGATTGGCCTGGAGATGGAATTACGACCGCGAGAACAGCGTCTCCTTCATGGCATCTCGCCCGACCTGTAATTCAGCACTGCAATTCCAGTACGGCCACAGTCCCCCCCAACCTTCATATTTGAGACTCGCTTGCGATGCCTCTTCCTCTTGCCCAGTGGACCCACAACTTCCTTCCACACTTCACTGGGGGCAGTTAAGCCTTTCAAGGGCGTAATTATAATATTCAGATATGCTGAAAATGTCCACGCCAATATATTGCTATAAAATTGATTCATGTTTATATGATTGTGGTTATGGTTGTACTTTATTAATCCCTAATCTCTGCCATTACATACAATGAAACAAGAAAAGGTAAAAAAACAGAACAATGTAATACAATACACTATTAGACATTGTAAAAAATAAATAAAAAGTCCATCCTATGTGTTAGTTAACTTTTTTAATATTTTAGGCAGGAAATGGCAGGAAATTCGTTTTCAAATTTAGATATTTTTTCTAGGGGGGGACCCTCAGACCCCCTGGAAGATTTGGTCCCCCCCCAATGTTGACTCCATGGCTACGGCCTTGAAACCTTTTGACAACAAAGCATTGCTCGCGTTCATTTCTGGAAGAGTTGTACGCTACTTTACAACATTATAAATGGGCGTGTGTCCTCTGTGATGCATCCGCCAGGCTACATGTGCACGCGTTAGCCACTTAGAACAGGTTGCAGGAGTGGGTGTGTTATTATAGGCACCTTATAAAAGTGTAATCCTTACCTCGGAATATTCTCTGAATTGCACCTATTGCATTACTCACGATAATTACCGTGCGGTTTGCTGTGGCTAAACCACACTTAATCCTGCCTTTGTGAGTGATGGATATGCTGTGAGTCCGACGCATGTCTTAATCTGCCTCAATAAGCCTCGGGAAATTACTAAACGCCGAAGGAGTCTTAAAGGCGCCTTAATCTGTCTATATGAACTTCTGGAAATGGCAATGTACTCTAAACATCCCCAAGGCACCTAACTTAATCTGGCTCTATGAGCCTCAGCCAATAGCATTGAACAATCGAGAAACTTAAAGGTGCCTAAAGCGGGCTGCGTTACTGCGCGGTGTGTACAGGTGAGTGTGCGCCGACTGCTCTGTGTCTGTACACATTACTCATTCAATGTCTAGAACGTTCACGTGCAGGGGTCGGTAAACCTGCGGCTACGGAGCCGCATGCAGCTCTTTAAGGACTGCAGTGCGGCTCTTGAAATCAAATAAAAAGTTTCTCCTTGTTATTTTGTTTTCCGATCCCTGACCATGGGAGTCCAGTTCACCATGGAAGTCCAGTTCACCATGGGAGTCCAGTTCACCATGGAAGTCCAGTTCACCATGGGAGTTCAGTTCACCATGGAAGTCCAGTTCACCATGGAAGTCCAGTTCACCATGGAAGTCCAGTTCACCATGGGAGTCCAGTTCACCATGGAAGTCCAGTTCACCATGGGAGTTCAGTTCACCATGGAAGTCCAGTTCACCATGGAAGTCCAGTTCACCATGGAAGTCCAGTTCACCATGGGAGTTCAGTTCACCATGGAAGCCCAGTTCACCATGGACGTCCAGTTCACCATGGAAGTCCAGTTCACCATGGAAGTCCAGTTCACCATGGAAGTCCAGTTCACCATGGGAGTTCAGTTCACCATGGAAGCCCAGTTCACCATGGACGTCCAGTTCACCATGGAAGTCCAGTTCACCATGGAAGTCCAGTTCACCATGGGAGTCCAGTTCACCATGGGAGTCCAGTTCACCATGGAAGTCCAGTTCACCATGGGAGTTCAGTTTACCATGGGAGTTCAGTTTACCATGGAAGTCCAGTTTACCATGGGCAGGGGTCAGCAACCTGCAGATCCAGAGCCGCATGCTCATTAAGGAGTGTTTTGTGACATTATTTATTAAGAACCACCATCTCGTATTCATCACAGTGCATTGTGGCTCTTGAAATATTGAGGTTATTTACCGAATTCTAAAAAATGGCTCTTCATGTTAATTTGATTGCTTACCCCTGTTAATGCGGAACAACTAATATGGATGTTCTTTACTATCATTGCACAGGAAAGCCTCACTGTGTCGTAAGATTTTCAGGAGGGCGGATGGTGAGGGGGGAACATCTTTATTGAGATGTTTTGCCAGTTGCGTTAAGTACCTCCACACCTCCGATTAGCACGGTTGGCTACGTACGGTGCGAAAGAAGTTCACTATACATACCTGGTATGTGGGAGGAAACCAGAGTACTAGTAAAAGTGTTATCAGGGAGATGCCACTCAAAGATGCAAGACATAGATTCAAGAATCATTTGTTTTCCTGCCATCTCCTGACCACCACGTAGCCCACTGCTAAAACACCTGCTCTTGCCAGGGAGTCTCCTATCCCAAGCGTTGACGAGGTTCAACTCTCACACTTTCCACATGAGATCTGACATGCTGAGGTGTAAGGTACAAGTAAGGAGGCAGCGTGCGTGAACTGTGCCGATTAAGTGCTTTCCCTGCAGATTTCGTATACAGTGCGGACAGATATCTGCAAAACACACACGTACTTTTAGAAAGGGTGTGGTTGTACCCGCTGAGCTCTGAGTCTTGTGCAATGCGTGGTTTTTGCGGTGGGAGTGTAACCAGTTACACTACCTTACCTTGTTTACGGGGCTCCTGACAAGGGACCTGGAGGATGTTGGGGTGAGAAAATAATAATAAAATTAGACTGCAAATGAGAAGCAATACAAACGAGAGACGGTGGAGGGTGGGGGGCCAAATGGGACAACATGAATCTATGGTGAGTCGTGACCATCGATTGATAGAATCGAGATTCCCACTGCTGCATTGTCATCCCCTGGCCACCTTGCAGCCCGAGCCTTACGATACCTCTGGTATTCACAGGCAGTTTCCCATCTTACGATACCCCTGGTATTCACAGGCAGTTTCCCATCTATGCCATAACCAGGCACAACTCTTCGGTCAGTGTGATTTTATCCTTGTTGATGATATGTTAAACTCGTGTTCATTTGTTGTGTTTTGGCGCAGGGGTTCCGCCATCTCCAAAATCATCGGCCGCAATGTGCAGCAGCTCAGCAGGTTTGATAAGACGGTGAGGATGTGGGTGTTCGAGGAGGAGGTGCAGGGACGAAAGCTGACGGAGATCATAAACACTGACCACGAGAATGTCAAGTATCTGCCGGGACACAAGCTGCCTGAAAATGTGGTGAGTGGTGGGCGGGTCGAGCGGGACACAACCACTCGACATGCTGCCGTTGGCCTTGGCTGCTTGGTCAACCTTGCGTCGTAGTGCTGCTGAATACAAATTAACAAAAGGAAATTGGTGCAATGGTGGGCAGTTCCAAGAATGTTGCATGTATATTTCGAGACACTTGAACAATGTGTGTTTGACCATCAGTATGCTCGTGACACGGCTTTCTACTCGGTATGGTATGTGAATCAATTATGACTTCATCGGATGTTAACAGTCCACCCGCATTTCTTGAAAGGGGAGAAATCGTGGACGTACTCGGATGAACTGACTTTTTAAACCACGCGAGATGTCAGTTTTGTGGATGTGTCAAACCATTTACTCATTCCATGCACAAGCTGTATATTTTATAAAATTAAATGTGAGCATGCTTCAATTGTGGAACTGCACCTAAAATACCACAAATTTAACATAATAGCACAATAACTAATCTTTCATTTGATGCTTTTCCAAATGTTTTGATTGTTGGCAGCACTATATGAAGGATTTAAATGCTGGATGCCAAGTATACAGTGATTGAGTTACATCCATTCTGACATGATACATCTATTGAATCACACATGTACAAATCAACTACTTAATATTTGTACAAATTATTTGCAAATTAATTGCAATTATTTGATACGCTTATGTTACATTGAGGCGAATGGAACGAACAACACTGCACAAACGAACCAGAAAAATCGTGACGGTTTATCAAATCGCCGTGGGGTATGAAACCTCCCTCGCACGTGCTCCCAGGATGCCGCTTCTTGCTGTGGGCACCCTTCACCGTCGTGTTGTTTGCCACATTGCGCCAGGTGGCCGTGCCGGACATTGCCCAGGCGGTGGAGGGCGCCAACCTGCTGGTGTTCGTGGTGCCCCATCAGTTCATCCGCGGCCTCTGTGCGAAAATCAAGGGGCACGCAGCGACTGGGGCCCTAGGCATCTCCCTCATTAAGGTGCCGCGTCGCACGGCTTGCGGATGGGTGCAGTTACCATGAATTATTTTTCAGCGTTCCGGTAAATCTGCCGAGCTTTCGTGCCTGGCTTTGGCCGCACGAGGTCGCGGTGTCTGACGGTGCGTGTTGCGCCGCTTGCAGGGCGTGGACGAGGGTCCTGACGGACTGAAGCTCATCTCCGACATCATCCGTGAGCAGCTCGACATCCCCGTTAGCGTGCTCATGGGCGCCAACATTGCCAACGAAGTGGCCGACGAGAAGTTCTGCGAGACCACAATCGGTGAGGGGAGGATGTTGCTACACGCAATCCACCGCAGGTTTCGCAACCTAGGATGATGGAGCCCAGGGTTGCGTGGAACAAGCAGTGGTGACGAGACAAAAATGCCCAATACATATAGCGTCTCACTTCTAGCATCATACAAATAGCAGCAGGGCGAGCATTGCATCAAAATTGCCATGCATGCTTTTACACATTCGGTTGAAATGATGTACGTAATTCGGATATATATATATATTTTTTTAACGCGCAAAAATGCCTAGAATTGGGCGGCTTATTTTGAGCGCCACTTGAGATGCTGCCGGACGGGGGAGGAGCTGACGGGGGGCGGTCTGTGCCGTGCGAGCTTAGGCAGCAAGGACCGCGAGGCGGGCATCCTCTTCAAGGAGCTGCTGCAGACGCCAAACTTCCGCATCACCGTGGTGGAGGAGGCGGACACGGTGGAGATCTGCGGGGCCCTCAAGGTGACGAGACTTGGGAGAAACACTTTGCGCCGAGGACTTCCAGGCTCATTGTCTTCCTCTGCCTATGACTTACTGACTATTAAATTATACTTGCCTGTCGTGTCTGCACAGCATTTTGGGATGCGGTTGTATTTAGACGCTATATCGATCCAATTAAAATATAATTTTGTATAAATCGCACAACCCTGCATCTCGGCATCACACAAATTTCTAAAGATGCGTACGCACCATTGTAAACTATGCCTTGTGACCTAGCCACCGCCGGTGCTCGGAACCCCGGTTAACTCCGCGCGTCCTCCCCCACGGGGCACCGGCAGAACATCGTGGCGGTGGGCGCCGGATTCTGCGACGGGCTCGACTGCGGCGACAACACCAAGGCGGCCGTGATCCGCCTGGGCCTCATGGAGATGATCGCGTTCGCGCGCATCTTCTGCCGCGGAGCCGTGAGCTCGGCCACCTTCCTGGAGAGCTGCGGCGTCGCCGACCTCATCACCACGTGCTACGGGGGCCGCAACCGCCGTGTCTCCGAGGCCTTCGTGCGCACACGCAAGGTCGTGCGATGGAGCCGCTCCCTACGCGACGTTCGGGACGTTGGCAGAGGAGATGGCTTTTTCTTAAACGCTAATGCGTATTGATGTTCGGCATCTTGGATCGTGGCCTTGCAAACGATATTTTACACTTTCCAACCGAGGTTGGAAGCATTGATGCGTTAGCTCTCTCAGGCTGTCCATCTGTCTGTCCCAAGGAGGGGGGAGGGGAGTTACAATAATCCTTGTAAAGATGCTCCAATATACACAACGTGAGTATAAAGCTGCGTTGCTGTTAGGGATTTACCATGATAAATACAGCCTCAGGGTGTCCCAAAGCTTGGCGGTTAAAACCAGGGTTTGAAGTTTAATCCTTGCCGATCAAGGTGACGACCCCACGCACGTCGCCCAACGTGCGATGTAATCTCGTTGCGTGGTTTGGAAGGAACATTTTAATACTGCTAATGAAATGCTTCCGAGGCCAAACGTGTGTTGGAAATCTCTACAGAATACGTACATGCATATAGATGCGTGATTTTTTATGTCGCAGTACAACCCAAAAGCACATTGGAGAGAGCTGTGCAGCATATCCTTGAAAATCTACGCAGTTGCACATGCAAAGGGCGTACACACACACCGTGTCAGGTTTTTCTAGCTGGTCAATATTGTCTTGCTTAACCTAAAACTAAAAATAAAATAAACTTTTTAATTTTACCAGATAAGGCACACTGAGCTACATAGCTCTTTTCAGAAGCAAATGATAGCTCAACGAAGTGGTTTATCACGTGAAAATGTATAGCAGAAAAAAATCTAAACGAATGTTTCTAAATGTGGAGGGAAAACCTGGAGGACCTGGAGAAAAATCCACGAGACCACGGGGAGAACACGCAAACTCCAAATATACTGCCGTCAGGGTTGGGATCAAACCCATAATCAGGTCGTTAACATCTCACCACCTTCATGTCTATCTTGCTCCAACCTGCTTTTGTCATTAAGACGCCGTTCTTTAATTAAAGGGATTTACAGGCTTTTGTAGGATTATTGGGTTGGCTCACAAACTCTGTCGAGCCGAGGTATGTGCAGCATTGTCAGCCTCGGGCAGCCGCCCACCTCATTGAACCACCCTGCCGATCGGCCACCACAGGAGAGGAATGTGTGCAAGCCAGCACTCCAGGTGTCTGCTGTAAAGGCAGATTCAATCGAGCCAGTGCTTCAAACTCCAGCGCTCCCAACCCTCAAATTAATTTACGATGCTGCTTTGGCAGTGGTACGCAGAGCACAATTACGTGCTATCAAGGAAGGCCATTGGCCAAAATGTCGCCGACTATTAATTAGTCTTTTACGGCGGTGTTATTGGCGAATCTCCAGAGTGCAGCTCGCATACCGACTGTCAGATGCACGCAGCGTTTAACAGCTTATTTTGCACCGTTGACAAAAGCAATGGGGCTCTAATGAATAATAACAAATGTAACTGTGCCCTTTATTTACTCCGTAAACCTTGCCGTGTCTCCAGCATCTTTTTCAGTAGGGTCCTGCATTATGAGATGTTCGTCCATTTACACAAATGAGTGGTTTGGCTTTTAGGTACTGGCCACACCCACCCGCTCGTGTGCCACAGTGCCGGCCATCGCAGCTTCTCGCTAACAGCACTCGCCCCCACAGTCTGCTAAAGGCTAAACGGTGGCGGGGATCTTTGTCATTTGGCAGAGCATCGAGGAGCTGGAGAAGGAGATGCTGAACGGCCAGAAGCTGCAGGGACCCCAGACAGCCGCAGAGGTTCACCGCATCCTCCAGAACCGCGACATGGTGTCCAAGTGAGTTGACGCGCGGCCCCCACACCCAGAAGCAGGGCCTACCGTGCACGGCCTCATTAGAGGCCATGGTCAATCCACTGTGGGATGAAGGCCTCCCCAAGCCACTGGCATCCACCACGGTGATGCGATGTAATGATCCACATCGCACCTGCATGAGAGCCGATTTCATTGCTCCCATCTCCATGGTAGATATTTTATATAAACTTTTTTTTTTACTTTACAAGGTAAGGCCCACTGAGCTATACGGGTTATTTTTACGAAGTGACCTGGCCACAAAAAGCTCAACAAAATGGTTTATCACGTGGAAATTTATAGCAGCCAAATAATCTAAACGCACACTTGTAAATGTGGTGGGAAAAACCAGATGACCCGGAGAAAACTCCACATAACCGCAGAGAGAACATACAAACTCCAAATATACAGGCGTCAGGGTCTGAATCGAACCCACGACCTGTATGCCAGGGAGATAATTAACATCTTCGTTAACATCTCGCCACCAGCTGTTGCCCCATCATTCTCGCCTACCGGTTATCATCCCTTCTAGAGATGCATCTGGCCAAAGACCATTGACTTTTTTTTAAAATAGTCAGGATGCTGTCATTGACCTGTGTTTGTTCTGTTATCCATGAGTTTCCCTTTCTATCAATGTAATTACAGCCGTGCTTCGTTCCATGCCTATTTACGCACCCGTTCTGTTACATGCTCCTCCGCAATGTCCATGTTTCTGATCCACATCCTACGTATGCCGCTTCACAAGATGTAGACGACTGTCAGTTTAATAGCCCAAATATTAAATTGTCTGCAACCGAACTGTATTGTTTCGCAACGAGAGTTTTTTATGGTAATAGTAGATTTGTGGTACATTTAATATTCCATTAAACATCTTCCTGCTGCTTGTATAATAGTCGGTGTGAAGGGATCGCCCAGATGCATTGCCGTTCACAAAGAAGATAATATAATTAAACTGCGTGGGCTCCTGCCTCGTTAAATACAAAACTGAACCGTCCAGATGGAGACCCAGATTGCTGCACGAGTAAGTGAATGAGCGAGTCACCGATCAAGTCTGTGAGAGATGGAGGGAGCGAGTGTTTGAGCAGGCGAGTAAGTGGGCACCTAAGTGTGCGAGCGGGAGAGCAAGCACGTGAGGGAGCATGTTTCTCACACCTGCTGCCCTCGTCCCTCAGGTTTCCACTCTTCACAGCCATCTATGAGATCTGCTACTCGGGCAAACCTGTAAGCGGCCTCATGACGTGCCTACAGAGCCACCCGGAACACATCTAGGCTGCTTTGCAGGCTCGGATGCCCCACACGCCCGTGATGTCGGTGACCAAGGAAATCCACATGGCGACCAAAGTTAAGGAAGCGCAACGACTCTTTTTCGTTTTTGTACGTTTGCTGTAATGTTCGATTTCTAAGATCCAATGTTTTATATGCTGCACTGGTGCGCACAATTAACGTGTTTGGTTTGCAAGTCTAACTATGTTCTCTGAAATTATTTTCTTACGCACTGTGTTTCTGACGAGTAATCCCGGGAAGCGGCGCCGAAGATGGGATGTCAGATTTACTGCCGCGGGAAATAAATATGCGAGGCTGTGAAATAGGCTCGTGTGTTGTTGGCAGCTCTAGAGACTCCCCTCCGCCTAGGCCATCAGGAGCGGCTCCCTTCGCTATCGTGAAGGTCGTCTGTTCTCCGTGGCTGTGTTTGACTGCTGTTCATTACAACCGTCCCCCATAATCATTCCATCAAGCCCAGCTTTGGTGAGGTCATTTTAGAGGCACTTTCAAAAACATTGAGCAATATGCGTCAGGGGAGATTTTCGAAAACCAATTCTTAGCCATAATCTGCAATAAAGGCAGTGTGTTCCGGGTCACGACCAGTACATGCGTGTCCCAATGAAAGCTGCTGTGGCCATGTGAGTACGGGGCGGCGGGAGGAACGGGACATTTTTGTGGCGGGGGAGTTGGTTAAGAACCGCCCTTGCTACTGAATGTTATGGTAAGTGGCAGTCTGACATTGACTTGTGTCTTCACCATAAACTTAATCAGGACTGTTTACTTGAAATAAATATGACAACAATAACAAACACGTGCTGTTTCCTTCGATATTTTTTTCTCTTGATTTATTTTTTTGGTAAATATATTTTTGTACAAAAATGACATAGTGCTTTTAGTGCTTGCTTTACACACGGCTTCTAACCGTCGCGCATCGGGTCGGGATATTATCAACATTCCGCAGTACCATCAAGGTATCTCATCGTTGACCAACTTTACAAATACAGTACCGAATGCTCTACCTTATAGCAGATGAAGCTTCCTCTTCGTTCGCGTAAACAGGTCCTCGCGCTTAAAGGTTCGTGGCATGTGGGCGTATACACAGTGGGATGGCCGATGGTGAGAACAAAATATTTTATATCTAAAAAAAACTCAACAGTTTTGAAACTTCAGGACACAGTCCAGGAAGACAGCTACACTCGGCTTCTAACAATTCATCCACCGAGAGCAATTATTAGACGAAACATGCATCGATTCCTGTATCTAGGAATCCATCATTTACCATTAATGCGAAGTGCACTTTTGAGGCTGAAAACAAACACGACGGACCAAATGAGACGACGTACCAGACGAGCAAAATGAACAAGACGACAAAAATCGATTTTCCATTCAAATCATAACCCTGGAAAAAACGCAATAACCCAGAAACGTTCAAATTGTCGATGGAAGAGGCTTCTGCTGAGTGTCGGGGGATTAAGCGACTTATTACGTTCATTGCGTGTCCATGTGTGGTAGAGGACACGATAAACCCCAACTTTGATTGGCGACTGTTGGCAATGAAGCCTCGACAGATGAGGGTTATCAAGTTTTTTTTTTCATGGACACCCCTCAATTCATTGCATTGCCGGGGATGAGCGATGAATCCGTTACGTGCCTGGTAGCCCGCGAGCGACCCACTGGACGAGTTTACCAATCCATTGACGTGGAGTCACAAGGGGTGACGTGGGTCATTGATGCGCTGTGCGGGAGTGTGCGCGGGGCCCGGCGCGGCACGAGTGTCGGAAGCCGCCCTCCCCACGCAGTGGCGGTCGCGAGTTCAGTGGGGGGCGGGGGGGGGCTTCTTCACTGGCTCCCACGGTACGACACGTTGGGGAAGGTCGTCACCGCCCGCTTGAACAGTGGATTGTGTCCCTGTGGCGGCACCGACAAGAATGGAATCGTAGATTTTTAACACTCCGTGCGCGTGTCGTCTCAAGCCCGCAGTCACAAGGTCGGCTCCGGGTTTGGAACTGGGTCTCGGGCCATGTGTGGTTATCGGGTCAGGGTCTAGGTATGAATCTTTTTAATGCTTTTTCACTTGTATAACCGAGCCGCTTAGGCCGAGCCAGCCCGGTGTGGTTCAAGAGGCGCCAGGTTGTTTTTCCACTGCGGCGGCGGAGCTATACCCTTGCCGTGGCACGCAGTTGCGACACCATGTTAATTTTCCATAATAGAGGTTTTTGGGTTAGATCGCGTAAATATATAAATGTGTCGTTAAAACCCGCCACCACCCGACACAGCCAACTAGTAAGGGTTGTCACGTAAACAGAACGTGCCAATTCGTCACTGGTACAGCACCACCGGTGAGACTTCTCCTGGCTGTCGCCTGATGAAGCTGGTTGTAATTACTGGCGAAACATCGTACTCAGATTGTAAATGTTGTGGCTTGGCTCTCCAACACACAATCGGTGTGCTGTACTAGTGACGAATTGCCACGTTCTGTTTACGTGACAACCCTTACTAGTTGGCTGTGTCGGGTGGTGACGGGTTTTAACGACACATTTATATATTAACGCGATCTAACCCAAAAACCTCGATTATGGGTGATACTGGTCGCGAAAGCCTACGTGTTAAACATGTTAATTTTCTCCGTAGTGGTACCGACTGACGTAGCTGGCAATAAATACGTAATTTGCCCCACCCCTGGCCTGCTTGGCCCCGAGCAAGACTCAAATGTTCTGTCAGGCCAGTGTATAACAGTCTGGTTCTGGCTCGGCATGACAGCCAGTGGAAAAATGTACCCATACCGTGAAGGCCCCACACTGGCTCAGTGCAAATGTGCCAGTGGAATGTTGAATTTGTCTTGATCTAGTTTGGGTCTAGGTCTGTGTGTTGGCTCTCTGAGTGGGTGAGGACTCACCGCCCCCCACTTGGCACGCGCCCGCTCCTCCTGGAAGCGAGCGAACTCGTGGCGGTCGTGCAAAGTGACGAGCAGCTTCCAGCTGAGCAGCGCGACCACCCCCAGCAGCAGCACCCCGCCTGCCACCGCCAGCAACACCGACAGCACCGCCGGACCCTCCGCACACTCTGGTTGCACCACCACGCGTGCACACACACGGGCGTTATCGCACCACCGCCACCACATACCCGCTGCACGGTCATCGCCACATTGGCCAACATCAACACATCAATGCCTCTCAAACTGCTGCACACTGTCATCAGCACATCACCGCCACGTGAACGTGTGCCGCAGCATGCCATCACCATCGCCACCATGAATGCATCATCATCATCACCGTGACCACGCCACTGCCGTGACAATACTGTCACCAACATACCAAATAATGCCATAACCACAATCGGCAATAAAATATCACAATATTCACATCACCACATCTGTCATCAATACACCATCACTGCATCGTCACCACAACACTACTGCCAATACAACATGGCCAAAAGCACACCATACAACCGCCATTACCAGACCATCAACTATCGTATATCCATCGCAACACCACCATCGCCACAACCTCCACGCACAACGCGACGCCAGTGCCAGCGCGAACACCGTCGCCCACCCGGACCCTTGACGCCCCCCGACCCCTTTGGGGCGGCACCCTCACCTGGCCGAGCAAGCACCCTGAGCACGGCGCGGCCGCTGGCGAGGTCCTCGCTGTGGCTGAAGCGCACCGTGCACTCGTTCTCCAGCTTGAAGCTGCACAGCAGCAGGGCCCTCTCCGCCGGGTCTGCGTCGCATGACACGCGCGCGCCCGCAACACAGCCAACGCCGTCTCAACCCCTCTCGCCGAGCGGTGCGATGCATCTGTCGTGAGCAGGGCTTCGTTTTGAACTCGATATCTCGCGCAATGCTGCTGCTAGGCCGGTTTGGAATAGAGATCGTAAGGGACCTACCAGTGGAGTACAAGGTATGCTTAATCCATAATCCCGTGTTATTGAGCCTATGTTCATATGATCCTATAATCAGATTTAGGGTAAAATAAGGCTAGTTGGATGTGGCGTGCCAAAATAATTCCCACAACAGCCATCAGTACCGTAGAGGATATTCTAAACCCGAAGGGCACCAGCAGAGAAAGGGTGTGGGTATGTAGATATGTTGAACTTTTTTGGCACCGTACGTTCCCAACCATGCTCATCGGAAAATTTGACCAAGGGTTTTGACAGAAGGGCTTTAGTTGTTGGTGCGAGATGAGAGTGGAGAGGTAGGCAGAGACCAATGTGTCGTGTGTCCAGTGTGTGTGTGTGGTGTGTGTGGTGTGTATGGTGTGTGCAATGTGTGTGGTGGTGCGGGTTTAGCTAATGAAGCCACATGACCAAAGATGCCCTGAAAGTAAACGGTGAGTTGATCCGGGAATGCTTTTGGAGTTTGTAGGTTAGATTCGAGTGTTGGGGTGATGTGGTCATATTCATGGGCCCTGGTGAGGAGTCTGGCGGCTTGCATAGTCAACTGTGTGAGACTCTGAGAAGAGATTTAGGAAATCCCCAGCAGGGGGGAGAGATTTGCAGTCGGCGAGGCGAGAACGACGAAGGAAATGGGTGAGGGAGGAGCAGCAGTACCCAGAGCTTGCACCGTCACCATCTCGTCCGCACACCTCCAGCTGCAGTTTCCCTCCCAGCCCGCCACTCCAGCCGAGGCCAGGAAGCACTCCACACACTCCCTGACAGAGGACCGGGTGGGTGGGTTGGTGGGTTATGGGAGATGTCAGTTTGCCCAGGTGTCGAACCAGGTGAGGGTTCACCTCCCTCCCAGCGCTGCGAGTGAAACGACGCCAGTGTCATCAACGCCTTGGCACCATAACCACACGAGCCAGCGAGACGCCAGCTCTGGCCACGACTCTCACCACGCTCGCCCTACCGCGAACCATAACCACGCTACCCAACGTCATTCGTCCCGACCTCTAAGCCGAATCTTAAGATAATTAACCAAAAGCTTTCGTGACTGTAGGAAGTCATACTCTTTGGGTCTTATACTCTTTGGTTTTTTCGGTAAAGTCACGTAGGTAAAAATAAATAAATAACAAAAGTAAAGAATAAAAAATAATATAATTTATTTATTTTTACCTACGTGACTTTATCGAAAAAACCAAAGAGTATGAATCATTGCAGTCACGAAAGCTTCAAATCTAGAACTCTTTGGGTCTGTCGGTAAAGTCACGGATAAATAGAATTTTTAAAAAAAATATCTACGTGACTCTACCGAAAGACCCAAAGAGTATAATTAACCAACTAGTAAAAGCAGACCCTTATGGCCAGCCATGCCTTTAATCAAATCCCCATCGCTAAGCCTACGGGTGACAGTCACCCCGATCCCCCCTCCCTCCGCGTGTGATCGCTCCCCTTCAAGCCGGGCCGTCGACGTCGTTCCCAGCGCCGCGACGTCATCCCGGCAGAGGGCGAGCGACCCATCTCCACGTTGCGTTAGCTAAAGGGCGTATTTGGTGCTGTGGCATCATTGGCTGAACCCGCACTGCCACACACACCGCACACAGACAGCACGTACATACACACCACGTACATACACACCACACATACACACCACGTACATACACACCACGTACATACACACCACGTACATACACACCACGTACATACTACACGCACACGTTGGACACAGTACACACCACAAACCACAAATTCTACACACCTTAGACACACCACACCACAAATCCTACATACACAGTACACACACCACACACACCCTAAACACACCACACACACACCACGTACATACACACATACACACCACACACATACAACACACTGGACGCATTACACACTACACACAGTACAGACAGTACACACAGTACACACACACCACACAGTACACACACACTGGACACACTACATACACCACATACTCTACACACACACACTACACACACCCTACACACCACACAAACCACAGACCCTACACACACACACCACGTGCATACACACACCACACACACTGGACACACCACACACAGTACACACACCACATACCTTACACACACACACTACACACACTACACACACCATACACACACACAATATACACACTACACACACCACATACCCTACACACACACACCACAGCACACACACCACACACACACACTGGACACACTACACACAGTACACACACCACATACCCTACACACACGACACACACCCTACACACACACAGTACACACCCTACACACACCACACACGACAGCACACACAACAACACGCGCGCGCGTGCACTCTCACCCTGCGTCCATCAACGGGCGCTCAATGGCAGCGGAGAGAGACGCTGGTCCTGTCGGCGAGTGGCGATGGCAGTGACCGCAATTATCCGCCACTCGCCGACTAAAGAGCGGGCGAGCGGTGGCGGCCGCTGTCAAAGGGAAATTACAGAGAAGACGCGGCCCTTGTCCCTCCAAAGCGTACACTTATTTACACAAACACACGCAGCACACACGCAGCACACACGCACAAAGACTCAAATCCGTAATTATTATATAAATTATAATATATATTGGGGGGGACACATCCCCCCCAATATTCTAATATGCTCAAAATGTCCCCCCCCCCCCCAATATATTGCTATTAAATTTGTTTTGCTATGCTATGTAAATAAAAACAACAATTTGCTAAACCTTGGCCACAATATCTGGACTTGTCTTCATATACATCAATGCATAGATTTATGTTTATATGATTGTGGTTATGGTTGTACTTTATTCATCCCTCATCTCTGCCATTACATACCATGAAACAAGAAAAGGTAAAAAAGTAAAAACAGAGCAATGTAATTCAATACGCTATTCGACATTATTGTAAAAAAAAATCCATCCTGTGTTAGTGAATTTTTTTATATTTTAGGCAAGAAATAATTTTTTTAATTTAGATATTTTTCTGGGTTGGGACCCCCAGACACCCTGGAAGATTTGGTCCCCCCCAATGTTGACTCCATGGCTACGGCCTTGCAAAGACTGCATCTGCCCATCGCAGCAGCCACCACGGGACAACCATCGCCACCGCAGACGCCGACTGGCGAGCGAGTGCCGGCAACACTCAGCCTGAGCCCCCAGCACGGAGGGAGGCGACCAGGACCCCGGGTCCCCATCCCAGGCTCTCTGACCTCACCCAGCGCTCGTCTCGAGAACAGAGAGAGAGGGGGGGGGGCGCTCTGAAGCCGTGGGGGGGCATTTAATGGGAGCCAGCTGTGGGCTCCCCATCTTGTACCCCCGCCACCCCAAACTTGCTGCGTCTGCAGCCACACGGGGAGGGCCGCAACCATGGGGCGAGACCCCCAGGGTGCGTGTCTCCGCCCTCCCTGCTGCGTGCCCCCGTAGCGGGCGTCGGCAGCGGTCGCTCACTCCGCTACGAATCCCGCAACGCTCACAACAACGAGCGGAGCGCCGGGCGGGATATAAACGCAGCAAGTTGGCACAGCGGGGAGCCGCAGGTGATGCGACTGCCAAGTCATCCCAGTTAGTCAACCCATAACACCTGGCTCTGTCAGCCCAGCCTTCGACACTTTACGCGTTCTCAGTGCACCTAGCCTGGCACAACCCCAGTGATGTGGTAGCTTTATATTACCTTCAAATACAAAGATTCCCCGTGTAGCCTTAACAGACTGTTGGGGAAAGTGCTCTGCGCGAACACCTATGAAGGCTGGCAAGGCACACGAGGGGGTGGGTGGTCAGCACCACGCTCGACCGCCTTTGTCTCCCAAATCCTGATGTTTACGCAATGCACCGGGTACTCATTTGAGGCTGAGTCGACCCAGGGGGGAGGCCCAGGACCGGTTCAGGCAATTGTCACCGGTGGTGGCCGTGAGCGTTAATCGAAACCGGGTCGCAGTGCGCTAACCACTACACTACCGCCCCCCACAATATCCTACCTCCAACCCCTCCACACCATTACCCCCCCCACCTCCCCACCGCTTGCCTCCACCCCACTCACTTCTTGCGGGCGCAGGCGTCGGGGCAGGTGGGGCAGCGTTGGCACGTGGAGCCCGACGCGCCGGGCTCCGTGCACACGCAGCGGCCGCAATCGCAGCGCCCCCGGCCGCTGCACTCGAGCCCCTCGGCCGAGACGCACGCGTCCGTCACCAGGGAGCAGTTGCAGCTTTCGCCGGCCCAGTCCGCGTCGCACGCGCACTCGCCGCACACGCACGGCCCGTGGCCTGGACACGCACACAACGCGCGCAGGTACACGGCGTGACGCACGCGGGTTCAGAGACAAAGACCGCCACCTCCCCCCCCGGCCACCCCGTATGACCTTAAGACTCTTGGGGCAAGCGCTGCTAGCAAGTAGCACCTATGAAGCAACGCTGGATGAAGCTAGTGCGGGGCCTGTAGCATATGTTATACAAGGGCCATAAATAAATAAAAAACACGTAAATATTAAAAGACATTTTTTGCTTGCATAGTAAAGTAATTGTATTTTTTCATTCGCTATACAGCCAGATGATACGACAAATCGCTAACCTTCAACACCCAGTCGTTCATAAAAGTTGAAGGCGGTATAGTACTATAGTAAGTGCAGCATCACTGAACCGGAATTGATAGCTTGAAAGCGTTTAGCGCGGGGCCCTTGAAAGTGCGGGGCCCGTAGCTTCACGTGTAGCTACTTGTGTAGCTACTGGGACAATCCGGCACTGGTTGAAACGCCGGCAAGCCGCACGAGGCGGTGGGTGGCCAGCACCACGCCGGCCCGCCTTTGACTCCCAAGCGGCTTTGTTGGAACATCGCACCCGGTACTCATTTGAGGCTGCGTCGACCTAAGGGAGGCCCAGCGTTGTTAGCGAGCACCTGTGGGAGCCGATACGGCGGTGCAAGGGAGTGATGGTGGTACGGCCGGTACTATGCCCGGCCGTGTGTGTCTTCCTAGTGCCGTGAATGAAACCCAGGTTCGTGGCAAACCGCGGCACGTGAACATTCATGCATGCACACTCACGTACGGTTGTACATCCACATACGTGTGCAGCATCTATACATGTACACACATTTACATTGGGACACCTACGCGTTCACATACACGCATATCGCAACTACACTTGTTTTAGTTCAGTTCTGGCTGACAGATTAAAGGCAAAAAAAACCCTCAACGCATCTGTAATCGCAAGAGTGGAGGCTGCAGTGGTTCACTGCGTAATTAAAAGCACTGCGAGTGGGGTTATAGTGAAGATAAAGTGTCACGTGTGGCTCTCAATGATTCACTCAGCAGCAGCTGCTGCGGGTGAGGGTGGCGTGAATCCCATGGCACTTCTCTCTTTTTTTTTACGATTAATGGAAACAAGAAGATGCTCGGTGTATTCGGCACTTTGCTTCGTTCATCATTTCGTAAATGTTTTTTTTACTTGGCTTTATGTAACCCCCCCTCCCTCTAGCTCACTCTCTCGCTCACTCTCTCGCTCGCTCTCTCGCTCGCTCTCTCGCTCCCCCCGTATCGCGCTCACAACATCAACAACAACGTCAACAACAACAACGTCAACAACAACATCAACAACGGTGAGCGCAGCGACGCAGAGGCGCCTTCTCAAATCAGCTCGGGCAGGGCAGGGCTGGTACTCGAATGCCGTAGCGGAGCGCTTCGACAATGTCGTGTGGGAACACAGGCAGGGGACAGGTTAAGGGGGCCGGGAGACGGGGAGGGAGATGACGGGGGGGGGGGGGGAGGAGGGAGAGCAGAGGAGGGAGAGGAAGGGAAGGGGGCGGGTGAAGTGACCTGGGGAAATTGGGGAGAGGAGGCGTTTGTAAGAGGGAGAGGAGGAGGAGGGGTGAGACGGGGAGCAGAGAAGGGGGAGGGAGAGAGATACGAAAGGAGAGAGCGAGTGTGGGAGGGAGGGAGGTGGGAGAAACGTGGGCGGTTTGGAGGGAAGAGAGAGAGGATGCAGAACAAGAAGGAGAGTGAGCAAGTGGAGAGGGGAGTGATGGTGGAGAGCAGGGGGGGGGGGGTAGAGGAGGGAAAGAGTAGGGGCAAGATGGGGGGAGAGAGTGGGGAGAGAGGCAGGATAAAGAGAGAAGTTGGGAGAATCAAAAGCAGCAGAGAAGAGAGTAACGAGGAAGGGGAGAGAGCAGAGTGTGGAGGGGGGTATGGGAATCGGGCTGATGGGGGTGGAGGGAGTAGACCTTGGGAATTCTCACAGCTCTCGGATTTCTCCCTAGTTTCGCTCATAAATTCTCCCACTCTCCGCCGGGCTGTCAGTGGCATCGCGATTCCTCGCTCGGCCCGGGCCAGAGGAGGACATCGAAGCCGCGAGGATCAGGAGCCCCGCCGCGTGTCACCGCATCACCGTGACGATGACCTGTTGTGATGACGATGGTGGCGGTAGCGATGATTAACACATTCCTGCGGAGGGAGCTGGTAGGAACGTTGGGTTGCTCGGTCAATGGCCAGGGTCAACGGCAGCGTGGTGTATTCCGCAAATATGCCCGACTGTGAGGGCGGGCACAAGCCGGCGTGAGTAGGTTAAACGTCGAGTCTTATAAGGGCACCACGGGGTGACCAGCCCCTCCCCACCCAGCCCTCCCACCCCCACCCAGCCTCTCCCCACCCAGCCCCCCCCCACCCAACCCCTCCCCACCCTCCCCACCCAGCCCCTCCCCACCCTCCCCTCCAATTTTTTGATGCACGACGGACGGACACAATAATCCCCTGTGAGCTGGTGGAACCAGGTGGTTCCTACCAGTATAACCATGACAGCGATGACGATGCCCACGATGTCGCAGTGCGGAAGCTGCAGCGTGCTGCCACTGCTACTGATGACGCTGCTGATGATGCTGTGACTGCTGCTGATGATGATTCAGTTGCGACTGGTGATGGTACTGATGATGCTGCTGCTGTTGTGATTACTGCTGCTCCCACTGCCTATCCGGTTGCTCCAGCTGACGACGATTCCGATTTCCATCGACGGTGACCGCTGTGGCAACAGTCACGGCCACATTCACGGAAGTTTCCAACCCTAATCCGTAAACGAAAGGTCACACGGTGGCGGATCGGGACCGGTGAAATTCCACGTGACCCCTCGTCCCTCCACGTCATCCACATGCCCTCACACACCACGTGTTGTGGAGCTGCTGCTGCTGCTGTTTCTCAAATTGTTGGAGGCCAGATGTCCCAATTGGACGACCGGCTATATCAGCGCCACCAGAAGCCGTGGTCCAGCCACTGGATGTTTAACGTACTCCGCACGTGGAAATCATTTGTCTGGGGAGTCCTATCACATCGTGGACCATCTGGACGCCAAGCTCTTCGAACCTGGTGGATAACATCTGGAAGCTCCGGTCCCTCACACAACACAACCGGTTCTCGGTTCCGCAGTACAATCATTGCATTGAGGACAGTATTGTGCGTGGTTCAAAGCGGGATTCATCGATCAGAGGCCCGCCGCACATCTCACACCACTTCAATTTTGGGTTTTTTTTCTGACCAGGTAAGGCTCACTGAGCTAAAACGCTCTTTTTAAGAAGAAACGTGTCCACACATTATAGCTCAACGAAGTGGCTTATGTGGACATTTTAAAATTCACGAAACCACGGGGAGAACATGCAAACTCCAACTATACAGATGTCAGGGTCGGGATCGAACCCACGACCTCATGCATACCAGACGAGGAAGTTAACACATCACCACCGTGGCGCCCCAAAATGTACATCTGATTGTTCACACAGAACTGTAAGGAAGTTGTGATGCCCAGTGTGTCCGCGACGAGGCCACATTCATCAGATGTGTGGACCATCGCGAACTGGGTCTGCGTCTGTCTCACTTCGACATTGATCGCCACTGTTGTGTTACCTCGTAGTTGTGGCATTTGAATAACTAAGTCCACTGATGTGTGTGTGTGGGGGGGGGCATTCGTGATCCACGTGAAACGTATTTAACCAGCCGGGTTCTATCCCCCGCGTAACTCTCAATGCGCGGATTTATTTGTTATAAATCGGTGAGCGAGCGTCGCGTTCCGCCAACGTTCCTTGGCGAGGCGCGTGCCCGCGCACTCACCCGAGCACAGCAGCCCCTTGTGCCGGATGCATGAGAAGTCGTCGCACTCGCACCAACTCCCGTGCACCCTGCCCAGCTCGCTCGGCCGGCACACGCACTGCCCGCACACGCAGTCCCCGCGCCCGCTGCACGGCGTCGCGCCGGGCTCCCTGCGGCACCCGGCCGCCCTGCCGGCCCGGCCCGCGGACTCGGGCTGCTCCGGCGGGGACACGAAAGTGTCTCCTCGTCCCTCGGGGTCCGTAGCGTCGTCCTCCTGAGCGCCGAGGGTCGGTTCGGTCCGGGGGTGAACGGGCGCGCAAGCGGGTTCATGGATGTGCGGCGCGGGTTGTGCGGGTGCGTGCATGGCTCAGGCTCGGAGCGCGAATATTGATCATTATAAAAAATAAATAAGAGTACGCACACGTTTACGGCCCTTAGTCCACTGCTGGATGAGGGCGTTCCGATGCCATTGGGGTCGGTACAGGTTGGGGAAGGTGGGGAGAGCGCCCATGTGAGTGCATCCCTCTTGTTGTACTGCCCCCTCTGCTGCGTCTCTCTCTCTCTCCACCTGCCGCTCCCACCCCCCATGCTACTCCAGATCTCATCCTCTCCTGCTCCTCTCCCCCACCCCACTGTCTTCTTCCCTTCCGCACCCTCCCGCTGCCTCCTGCTCTCTTCATCCCTGCCTCGCTACCTCCACCCCTCCCCATCTCTCTCCTTCTCGCCTACCCACTTCTACCCCTCCCACACTCCCTGCCTCCATCTCCCTCCGTCCTTCTCTCCGTCCTCCCCCCGCTCCCTCGCCTCTCTCTCTCCTCCTTCCTCAACTTCATCTCTCCCCCACCCCCCAAACATCCCCGTCCACCCCTCACCTCCTCGTCCGCGTCGCTGCACTCGCAGCGTGGCCCGAGCCTGCCCGGCGCGCAGCTGCACACTCCGCACTCGAGGCTCCCGTTGCCCGAGCACGCCGAGCTGCGCGGCTCGGCGTGGCGCGCGCACGCGCACGCGCACAGCTCCCCGGCGCCGCGCACGTGCACGCGCAGCGCGCCCTCGAAGCCCACGGGCTTCACGGTGAAGGTTCGATGCCCGCGCACGCAGCCGCGCGCCTCCACGCGCACCTCGAAGCTCACCTGCGGCGGGGGGGGGGGGACACAGATAAAGACCCCCCGTATAGCCTCTTCACAGACTGTTGGGGCAAGTGCTGTTAGCGAGCACCTGTGCAAGAGAGGGGTTAAGGTGGCCAGCACCATGCCCGGCCGCCTTTGTCTCCCCAGTGCTTATATTTACACACCGCAACCAGGTTCACATTACACGCTGAGTAGACTTATGGGAGGCTCAGGACCGGTTCAAATATTCGCCACTGTGATTGGTCACGTGCAGAAATTGAACTAGGGTCGCCAATTTCATAGCGCAGTGCGCTAACCACTACATTACCGCTCACATGCCATTCACATAGATCATCAAACTTACACCCAGATCACACGTAGATACGCAACATCACAGGGGATCATGTACATACGAGTCAAACATCACACGTTAATTTGGTTACATATACCCAATTACGCAATCGCACAGCTAACGGGCACGGAAAGAGTAAAGATCACTCACACACAGCGTCACACACATAGAGATCACGCTCACACACAGCGTCACACACATAGATCACACACACAGATCACACACACAGATCACACACACAGCGTCACACACACACAGATCACACACACAGCGTCACACACATAGATCACACACACAGATCACACACACAGCGTCACACACATAGATCACACACACAGATCACACACACAGCGTCACACACATAGATCACACACACACAGATCACACACACAGCGTCACACACATAGATCACACACACAGATCACACACACAGATCACACACACAGCGTCACACACACAGAGATCACACAAATGACCCTGCACTCATGGATGATAGACACTCTAGCACAGGGGTCCTCAAACCTTTTAAACAGTGGGCCACTGCACTGTCCCTCAGACCGTTGGAGGGCCGGACTATAGTTAAAAACAAATCTATGAACAAATTCCTATGCACACTGCATATATCTTATTTTGAAGTGAAGAAACAAAACGGGAACAAATACAATATTTAAAATGAAGAAAAAGTAAAGTTAAATCAACAAACTTGCCAGTATTTCAATGGGAACTATGGGCCTGATTTTGGCTAATGAGATGGTCAATGTCCGGTTCCATATTTGTCACTGCTAATCGTAACAAGTGATGCAAGTGTGCATCCGTTAGTCTAGATCTGGTTGGAGATTTCAAATGTTTAATTCTGGAAAAAGTCTGTTCACAGACATAAGTGCTGCCAAAGATGGTTGCCATTTTGAGTGCATGGTTCCTGAGATGAGGATATGTCTCAGAGGGGAGAGATGCATAGAACTTTTGAAGGCTGCTTGATTTGAATGCGTCTTTCAGAGAATCACAATTCTGCAGTTCAGCCAGTTCCATTTGGTAAATTGTATCCACATTTTCAATGTCAATAGAAAATGGGTTACGGAAAAGCTGTATGTCCTGTTCATGGAAATGAAGCTCTTTAAATCTAAATTGGAACTCCTTTTGCAATTTTTCCAGTGAATCCAGACATGTTTTGTTTGGGAATGCAACCAATGGTTTTTCCGCTAATAGATTTTGAGTTGTGGGGAGATGGCAGAAGTTTTCCTCCTTCACTTGTTTGATGAGGCCTAATTTTACTTCAAATGCTTTGACATGTGATTGCATATCACAGATGAGCTTCCCCTTTCCTTGAAGTTGCACATTGAAACTGTTGAGTAGCTCTGTTACATCTGTCAGAAAGGCAAGGTGCCATTTCCATTCTGCATCATTGAGCTCTGGTACTTTTTTGTTTTTTGAAAGCAGAAAAGCTGTAATCTGTGGAAGTAAGTCATAGAAACGTTTCAAAACTCTCCCTCGACTCAGCCAACGGACTTCTGTGTGCTACAGAACATCTTCATAGTCAACATTTAGCTCAGACAGAAATTCCTGAAATTGTATGTGGTTTAGTGCATGAGCTCTAATGAAGTTAACACAAGATATCACAATTTTCATAACAGAGTCCCACTTCAGTAATTTACTACACAGCGCTTGTTGGTGGATGAGGCAGTGTATGGCTATTGGATGATAATGGTTATGTTTGTCCATCTCTTGGTTAATGCGAACAATTACTCCTTTCTTAGACCCCACCATGCTAGGAGCATCATCAGTTGTCACGCTGGCTAGTTTAGCCCAGTTCAGCTCCAAACCATTCACAGTTTGGCAAACCTTTTCATAGATATCCTCTCCTGTAGTTGTTCCTTTGATGCTTTGCAGTGCAGCAAGCTCTTCTGTGACTTTGAAATAGTCATTCGTCCCACGAATAAAAATTAGAAGTTGTGCAGAATCACGAACATCATTGCTTTCGTCGAGTGCCAAGGAAAAATAGGAAAGTTTTTTTGTGGAGTTTTGCAAATGCAAATTGTCTCCCATTTCTTCAATCCTCCGTGTAATTGTAGGTCCTGAAAGACTCACTGTACTAAATAAATCGGCCTTCTCTGGACACATCTCTTTGGCAACAGAAAGAAGGCATTATTTAACAAATTCTCCCTCCACGAATGGTCTGCCAGTGCACGCTATTAGCTTGGCAACTTAAAAAACTTGCTCGCAGTGATGAAATATTTAGCTGCTTCTGCTTCACAAAAGTATTTTGCTGAGTTGTTAATGTATTTTTCAGTTTTAATATTTTATCTTTTCTCACTTCTCTGACCAAACAATCATATTTATCTTTATGTTGAGTTTCATAGTGTCGACGTAAATTGTATTCTTTGAACACAGACACTATATTCTGGCATATCAGACACACAGCTCTTTCCTTGTACTGCATGAAAAAGTAATCATAAGTCCACTGTTATTTGAATATCCTACACTCCAAGTCAATTTTTCTCTTTCTTGACATCATTGTTTCCTAGGGAGTCAAAATTGCTATTAGTAAAATACCAATATATATACAGCGCTACAAAAACAATATACCAGCAATAACTTTGCCCAAACAGAGACATACAGACTGCACTGCCCATCAATGCAGTCTGATTGGGGGAACTCCGCTTTTACCCCAGGCTCACACTGGTGCGGGTGCCATTAAAAAGTTAATTACACCTGCAGTTTTGTTCACAGATCGCAGTGCGGTGGGCACAATGAGTGCCCACCGCCGCAGCTCAATCAGTGCCCACCGCCGCAGCCCAATGAGTGCTCACCAGCGCAGCCCAATTAGTGCTCACAAGCGCAGCCCAATTAGTGACCATGGGCCGGATAAATGTCCTCAGCGGGCCGCATGTGGCCCGCGGGCCGTAGTTTGAGGACCCCTGCTCTAGCACATCTCACATGCACGCAAAGTTCATTTACACAGATCACACACACACAGAACACACAGAGATCACACACAGATCACACACATAGATCACACAGACAGGTCACAAACACACACAGATCACAAAAACACACAGATCACACACACAGGTCACAAACACACACAGATCACAAAAACACACAGATCACACACACAGAGATCACACACACACGCAGATCACACACATACAGATCAAACAGATCATCCAGGAATCACTGGGCACGGCTAAATTCCCACACTACGCCCACCATTAAACCCTACACCATCGCCTCTCCATCGCACAACCAAAATCCATCCACGCAGCGACCCCACCAGGACCCAACGCAGAGCCGAGGGCCGAGCAAGTGAAATCCCCCTCGCCGCTGCACCCCCCCACCCCCATCGCCTCCCCACCTCCTCTCCCGCCCCCCCCTCGTACCGTGTCCCCCACACGGAGGTCCGCGCATCGCCTCTGGCCCGGAAGCGCGGTCCCGTTCTGGCACGTGGCCGTGAAGGAGACGCTGACGTCCTCGGGCTGGTCCCAAACCTCCAGCTCCACCACCGAGCGGATGCTCTGAGAGCCCCGGCCGCGCGCGGGGATTCACGGGACCGGGATCAGCGTAGAGGGGGGGGGGGTCACGGGACGGGGGTCCATGTAGGGGTGACGGGACATAGGAGGGTAGGATGGGGTGGACGAACGGCCTTTGTTAGCAATACAGGTTTAATAAACAGCAGAATTAATCCATCGCGAGGGGCAAAGGTTCTCGAGACCAACGAATAATACGCCCAGAAAGACAAAATATGAACGGCAAAACATCAGCACAGCAAACGGCTAGGAGTGGCTCAAATCCCAAGGTAGAGTCACCGGGTGAAGGGCCACCGACACAGCCGCCTCACCTGGCCCACGTCTGAGCTCGAATCTTGCAACTTACACGCGGGCTATGTCCCGGGCTGACCCACGCGAGTGAATCTCTGACACCCAGGGGCATGGGCCCTGGCACAATTCACGAGAGTTGGGGAGAGGTGGAGTGGGGGGGGCTTTCCAAATGCATCCGCCTCGTAGCTCCATTGTGCAGTCGCACCGCCTGCGCACTCAGTCGCCACGCCGCTGGTGACGATGTCCAGACTCGGGTGCCGAGACACGAGGGAGGGGAGTGAACGTATGGGGCACGTGGCGCACGCGCGGCGACACGGGGTCGGTCGCGTGACTGCTCGGGCAGATTGTTTATCGTGGCCTCTGTGCCAATGGGCCTGATGTGTATTGTTTATCTGATGGTGAGGTTGCCAGTAGAAGTAGCGGGGTAGGGTCGGCAGGAGGGGCGGGTGGCTTGGGAATGGAAGTAGGTCTCACGGTGAAATGTCTCCCGTTCCGTCGGCGCCGAGGAGTTTTGGGGGAGGGACATTCCTCTGATTCCTGCCGGTCCCACTGGCCCGCAGCCAATACCGTCACCGCGTGCGAGCGCGTGTGAGTGAGAGTGAGTGTGTGAGAGTGTGTGTGAGAGTGTGTGTGAGAGTGTGTGTGAGTGTGTCAGAGTGTGTGTGAGTGGGTGTAAGTGTGTGAGAGTGTGTGCGTGTGTGTGAGAGTGTGTGTGTGAGAGTGTGTGAGAGTGAGTGAGTGAGTGTGTGTGAGAGTGTGTGAGAGTGAGTGAGTGTGTGAGAGTGAGTGTGTGAGAGTGTGTGAGAGTGCGTGAGAGTGTGTGTGTGAGAGTGAGTGTGTGAGAGTGTGTGAGGAAGTGCGTGTGTGAGTGTGTGGGAGTGTGTCAGAGTGTGAGTGAGTGTGTGAGTGAGTGTGTGTGAGAGTGAGTGTGTGAGAGTGTGTGAGAGTGTGCGTGTGTAAGAGGCCGTGGTATAGCGGTTATCACGCTGCGCTACGAACCTGGCGACCCGAGTTCGATTCACGCTCACGGTCAACATCAGTGACGATTATCTGCTTCGGTCCTGGGCCTCCCCTAGATCGACTGCCTCAAATGAGTAAACATCACCACTGGGGAGACAAAGGCGGCCGGGAGTGGTGCTGGCCACCCACCCCCTCGTGTGTCACGCTAGTCTTCATCCGTGCTCGCTAACAGCACTTGCCCCAACAGTCTGTTAAGGTTACACGGGGCAGCTTTGTCTTTGTGTGTGCGTGAGTGGAGTGTGCGTTCAATCGGCGTGGTCTGGGAATAACAACCCCAACCCCCTATCTCCCCGTGTCACACAGTGCGCTGTGTCGTGAGCAACGCCACTGCCATCCCCACAACCACCGCAGTTGCAGGTGGGGGAGAGGGGGGAGGGGCCGTGGGTTGGGGGGGCTGTGAACAGGCAGAACGGGCTGCTAAACCCCGCCACCTAAATCTCACTGGCCACGGGCCCACAAAAAGGGAATCAAAATAAGCATTGCCGGAGGCTCCCCAGGGGCACGCGTCTAAGACGTCCCCCGGCCAAATACGTTTTGGCAGAGCCAAGGCAAAGCAACTCAGCCACCTTTGGGAGTCCTCCAGAAACACCGCGCAATTACTCGGGCTGACCACGTGGAACGTCTAAAGCCTCGGCTAACTGGGTTGTTGTTGATGTAACTGTTGCTGTGCATGTGCGTGCGAATGTGTGTGCGAGCGTGCGTGTGTGAATGGGTGCGTGCACGCGCTTAAGATGGAGCGGCGGTGCAGCGATTAGCGCACTGCGCTATGAACGCATCGACCCGAGTTCGATTCCCGCTCACGGCTAACATCAGTGGTGAGCTACATGTGAACTGGTCCTGGTACCTAATCTCCCCCGGACCCCCCCCCCCCATCTCCTTCACCAACAAGCACTGATCAGAGCGGCGAACAAACCCCCCCCCCCCCAGCGGTGGATTGAGACAAGAGGGGCACGCACGTTATAGGCGGACACGATGAGCTGGATGATGTTACTCGAGTCGTTGGCCAGAATCCCAGCCGTGGTGCCGGGCAGCAGGTGCGCGTAGCTCTGTAAAGCCAGGGGTCAAGGTCAATGGAAGAGGTGAGGGTCAGACGATGAGCGCTCAATGCTGGACATCGCGATGGGCCAACGCTCTGAGCACGGGAGGTGCTGCGGCAGACGCGCCGCAGGGTAGGGTAGCATTCGTGGACGACAGCTGGAGAAAGAGGCAAGGTGACATTCAAATAGACAGACGGACAAATTGGGCAATAGACAGAGAAGTAGACACATTGCAAAAGGGATAAGTAGAGACATTGACAATAGACACATCGACAGATGCAGCCTTAAAGAGAAATAGGCACAGGAAGACACAACAACAACCCCATAGACAAATTGGCAAACAATAGTCGACAAAGGGGCAGTATATAAAGCAAGACACCGAGACAGACACGCATACAGACAGATGCACCAACAGATGCATACATACGTGTACCAAGGCCGTAGCCATGGAGTCAACATTGGGGGGGACCAAATCTTCCAGGGTGTCTGAGGGTCCCAACCCCGAAAAAGATCTAAATTTGATAACTCATTTCCTGCCTAAAATATTTAAAAAGTCACTAACACAAGGGATGGATTTTTTTTTTTACAATGTCTAATAGTGTATTGTATTACATTGCTCTGTTTTTACTTTTTTTACCTTTTCTTGTTTCATTGTATGTAATGGCAGAGATTAGGGATTAATAAAGTACAACCATAACCACAATCATATACACAGAAATCTATTTTATAGCAATATATTGGGGGTGGGGGGCATTGAGCATATTTGAATATTATAATTACGCCCTTGAAAGGCTTAACTGCCCCCAGTGAAGGTGGAAGGAAGTTGTGGGTCCACTGGGCAAGAGGAAGAGGCATCGCAAGCGAGTCTCAAATATGAAGGTGGGGGGACTGTGGCCGTACTGGAATTGCAGTGCTGATATTATGGCCAAGGGTTAGCAAATTGTTATTTTTATTAACACAGCATAGCAATGATTTATTTTGCGATATTTTGGGAGGGACATTTTGAGCATATTTGAATATTTAATTAATTACGACCTTGATACGTACACAGACGGACAAATGCACAGACAGACGCACACGTAGAGGCATATGTCGACAATGGACACAGAGGCAGCGAATGGACAGAGCAGGCTGATGGATGGACGCGCGCACCCTGTACAAGGCGTAGTGCTGTCTGGTGACCGCGAAGATGAGGTTCACGTTGTTCTCGGACAGTTTCTCCCCAAGCAGGGCGAGCGACGGGTAGTCCTGGACAGAGAGACAAAGACGGCCTTTTAATTACAACTGGGAAGAGGCGTCGTAACATCGCCATCCTTCACTGCGGGAAACTTGGCGGGACCGTCCTGTAAAGAAGAGTCCTCGGGACTCGGCGAGGCTGGGGATGATGATGACGATACGATCCGCTCACGGGTATCTGGGGCGCCGCGGTGGCGAGATGTTGACTACCTCGCCTGGTATGCAGGACGTCGCGGGTTCGATCCCGACTCTGACGCCTGCTGTATATTTGGAGTTCGCGTGTCTCTCTCCCCGTGTGTCGTGTGGATTCTTCTGCGGATCCTCCGGATTTTTCCTTCCGCATTTGGAACCAACGTGCGTTTTGAGTATTTGCCTGCTATAAATGGCCACGTGATAAGCCAGGTTCGTTGAGCTATCGTTTGTGGCCAGGGCGCTTCTGAAAAAGAGCTTTACAGCTCAGTGGGCCTTACCTGGCAAAATATAAAGAAGTAAACAGTTAAATAAAATAGTAATCAGGTGGATCGCTGTGAGCTGTGGGAAGAATAAGGAGTCACAGAGAGAGAGAGAGGGGGAGATTGGTTTCCGTGAATGATTGTACTTTCCGAGACGCGGTCCCTACGGTGTCTGCCCAGTGAGCGCTGCCAATGGACGCGAGGTTTCCTCTGTGTCGAGGCTGTGTCTGTGTGTGCGCCCTTAACAGGCGTGAAAAATGTAAATATAAGAGGCAACGTTTCGGGCAACGGCCCCTTTCTATGGCATAACAAAATGGGGTAACAAAATATGTCTGTGCGGTAGCCATTCGTAAACGTCACAGGACTGATGATAATGATGCCATAAGTTATGATGATGATGAATAATAATAACAAAGATGGCACAGGTGATAATGGCAACCGTGATGATCATGACGCTGATGATCGTAACCAATGGTCACGGCGATGACGGCCATAATGGCAGTGCTGATGATGTACAACGACCGCCACGCTGCCCGCGTGCGCGCGAGCGCTCACCATGACGCTGCTGCGCGCGTAGCTGTTGTTGGGGTCCAGGTGGCATCGGCCGTCATGAGGAGTGGCAAGTCCCGCGAGGCGCCCGTCCAGCGCCAGGTGCGAGCCCGCGTCCGTGGCGAACACCACCAGGTGCGTGGCGCCGCCCCTCCAGCCGATCTGCTCCTGCGTGGGGGAGGACGCGAGTCGCCCGGTGAGGAGCAGCAGCAGCAGCAGGAGCAGCAGCAGCAGGAGCAGCAGCAGCAGGAGCAGCAGCAGCAGGAGCAGCAGCAGCAGGAGCAGCAGCAGCAGGAGCAGCAGCAGCAGCAGGAGCAGAAGCAGCAGGAGCAGCAGCAGCAGGAGCAGCAGCAGCAGGAGCAGCAGCAGCAGGAGCAGCAGGAGTAGGAGCAGCACCACGCCGCCTCTCACCCCGAACTCGCGCCGACGACGCCTCGCGAGGCTCAGGGTGAGTGTACCCGCGCACGGGCTCTGTGTACTGCGCTGGGGCTTTGAAGCAGGAGGTTTAGAGGGGGTGTTTAACACGTGGTCAACGTGGTGGCGGTTACTGGTTGTGTGCTCGCTAACAGCACTTGCCCCAACAGTCGGTTAAGGCTATACGGGGGATCTTTGTCTTTGGTTGATGTTAGTAATAGTTCTGATGATAATGAAGGTGGTGGTGGTGATTCCATTGTTGGTCATGGCCGTCATGATGATGATGGGTGTAATGTTGGTGGTGTTAATGGTGATAACGATGATGATGGTAATGGTGGTGGCGATGGTTAACTCTTGCCACACGATCACGACTTAATTCCTCACTCGTTGACTTCTCACCCACCACCCATCAATTCGTACATTCCTCACGCCCCCCCCACCAGCACCGCCTGCGTACCCCGCACACGGACGCCTGCAGGATGGCGTCGAAGCCCCCCTCGGGGGCGTCGTTGTTGCGCGACACGTTCTGCCTCTGCACCTCGGCGATGAAGCTGGCGGCGCGCTCGGTGAGCGCCAGCACGTGGCGGAAGCCGAAGGGAGTCCCGCACACGGGGAAGCGCTTGAACCTGGAAGGGGCCGATGAGAACAGTCGAGGAGGTTATCGTGGCGATTTTTAACGACGACGACCACCACCGCCACGGCGATCACCACCGCGACCACCACCACAACCACCGCGACCACAGCCACCACGACCACAACCACGACCACAACCACGACCGCGACCACCACGACCATCAACACAACTACCATGACGACCACTACCACGACCACGGCCACCACCACCACCACGACCACCACGACCACCACCACAACTACCGCGACCACAGCCACCACCACCACGACCACAACCACCACCACGACCACCACCACGACCACCACGACCATCAACACAACTACCATGACGACCACTACCACAACCACTACGACGACCACCAACCACGACCACCACCACCAAAGACAAAGCTCCCCCATATAACCCTGTGACTGACTGTTGGGGCAAATGCTGTTAGCGAGCACCTATGAAGGCCGGCACTGTGGCACACGAGGGGTGGGTGGCCAGCAACACCACGCCCGGCCGCCTTTGTCTCCCTCGTGGCGATGTTTACACACCGCACCAGGCATTCATTTAAAGCAGTCGACCTCGGGGAGGCCCAGGACCGGTTCAGATAATCGTCACTGGAGCAGAGGTGTGATTGCACGTGATTAAAAATTGCTCAAATTGAGTCATCCAATTAGTGTATCCATTGATTGATCGATCCGTAAAATTGCATTATATCGATCGATTAACCAAGCAGCCTTACAAAGTTGGAGTCAATTGAGGCAACTGCGGGTCTTTTACACGTGGCACGCGCACGTGTGTTTTTGGCGCAGATAATAAACAACACACGGACGAACACGAATGTACCATGTGGCCACGAGTGTCACCCACAGTGCGCCCCATCTCTCATGTGCATGTTGAACTTCTTTCACACCGTCGTACGTCGCCAACCGTGCTCATCTTTAGATCTCAGAAGCTAAAAGCAGGAATTTCCTTTAGCCTGCATAACGAATGTTCGGATGGGCTGCTGCGAAAATGCTACGTTGTCAGCAGAAAGCATTGCAGCAAAATCCATTGTTGTACGGTACTACGTATGCTCTGACGCAGTGGTTCTTAACCTTTACTGCAGCCCTGCACCCCCTTTGGATCTCAATCGTAATAAACAAAACAATTGTAATAAATGCATAGGGCTTGATGAAACAAAGTAGTTGTTACTTACGTGTCCGTGCTTAATTTGTGATTCGATAATTTGGTTAAATTTTTTATCTGGCCATGTCCCGCTACCCCCAGAGGGGGCATCTCGCACCCCCAGGTGACAACCCCCTCTGCTAACTTGCCGCCTTCAGCCAATTAATGATGAGTTGCGTCTATAATTACACACGCGCGAGATAACCAGAGCACGTGGAGAAACCCCACGCCTTGCGCGAGGGGAGCAACACTTTGTCCCCGTACAGACGGAAACAGATGGAGATTCGTCCACACTCGCTGTCCTGCCTTCTCCTGGCGAGCCAGGGTAGGGAGTTTCGCAACATCCGTGCGATCCATAGTGCTGGATTACAGGCCGCGTGCATAGTCACCACCGTCGGGTGATGATGATAATACAAGCAAACATCGTTCAACACATCGATACCGGTTATGATGATGACGATGTTTTGAGAGCAAATAAATTGTAACGGAGCCGTCTCCATCAATCGGTGTATCGAGCGAGAACTCACAACCAACGAATCACTCACTCCATCCATCCCAACTCTTGTTTGTAAAAAGCAAGAGTCCCTATTGTGCTGATGTGTTGTGGTGCATTACTCATCATTATGCTGCGTTTGGTTATCGGATTATAAGTGAAGATGCATCTTTAAAACAACAATAAGCCGCATCCCACAAAGACAATGGCAAAAGATCCCCCTCTAAATATATATATACGCATTCGAACTGTTGGGGGCAAGGGCTATTAATGATGAGCAAAACTCTGACAGCCATCAGGGTCACACGAGGTGGTGATGTGGGCCAGTGTCTCACCCCGGGTCGTATTTTTATTCTCCCCAGTGCTGTTCTACAACACCGCACCAGGTATGGATTTTAAAGCGGAATGGACCCAAGTGAGACCCTCCACGATAGGTTAAAATATCACTGGCCGCTCATGTCTCGCCGTGGACGGGAATGGAACTGAACAACAATAGCCATGACGTGAAGGCGACGTCACCACAGAGCCTGTGCCAGGCTAGGTGCACATTAAGGCCGCGTGAAGTGTTGAAGGCTCTGCTGGCAGGAAGTCACGGGACAGACGCAGGTGCCATGGGTTGACTGACTGAGACGCCTGGCAGAGCCACCACCTTTGCTTGCCGCTGTGCCAACTCGCTGCGTTTTAACGGCCCGCCGCTCCGCTCGCTGTTGTGAGCTCCTCCGCCCTCCATTGCCGCACACACATATGTGTGTGAATTTGAGCTTCTGTGCGGAGAACCACGCTTCGAGGCGAACAGACAGACAGGCAGGCTAGCAGGCAGATGTTCAGGGCCGCACCTGAGACACGGGTTGCGCAGGTAAGCCGGTGCCGTGTTCGTGAATGGCGACACGGGTTTGTCCACGAACGAGCCGAAGCCCAGACGCAGCTTGCTCGTGAGACGGGCCATGGCGGCCTCGAGCTGTGCGCCGAGCACGCGGATATTGTCCAGGTCGTCCTTCATGGACAGCGACAGGTCCATCAGGTAGTAGAGGTCGAGGGGGTAGTCCTCCACCTGGCGCACCTGCACGCGCACGGTCGCCGGGTCCCCTGCGAGCGAGCGAGCGCGCGCGGACAAGGAGGGCACAATGAGCGTTGGGTCAAGGGGGCACACAGGAGGTGCGGTCACTTACCGTGTGAATGGACTGCGACGTAATTGTCCGTGGATGAGGACCCGCACAACGGCGTGAGGGTTTAGAACACAGTGGGGGGGGGGGGGGGGGATAAGGGGCTGATGGTTGGCAGCAGGGATATTTGTTTTTGTCAGAGTGGTACCATGGCAGTGTGTGAGGGACGCTGCATTGTGGAACACTGCTCAACGAAGAGGAATGTGAGCGACCATCCGTGCAACCTGAACTTGTTCCCCTACCCCAAACCTTAGGGCGTCCCTCTTAATAACAGCGGGGGGCGCGGGTGATGGAGCGCCCACTGGCACGCTCCTCCCGCGAGTCGCGCTCTCGCTTGCGATCGGCGGCGTCGCTTATTTATTCGCGGAGCCGCGTGGAAGAGCGGCCCCCCCTCCCCCACAGGACCCGACAAATCACCTGGCCGGAGGGAGAGCGACACCTCCTGCGGGGAAATCTGCACCACTCCAGAGGGCGTCTCTCTCGTCTCTCGCGTCTCTCGCGTCTCCCCCGTCCCGGGCTTGTCGCTGAGCGGCAGAGCCTGGACGAGCTGCACCTGACTCCTCGGGGCCTCCACCATGTCGGCTGGGCAGCCCGAGCGGAGGAGGCGCTCCTGGAGATCGCAGCGGGAGCGGCCGCCCGGAAAATCCTGGGTGCCAGTGGTGGTGGGGGGGGGGGGCAGGGGGATGGGAGAGGCGCGCGAGGAGTAGAGCGTTCGGGTTTGAATGCGTTGAGTGAGCCATGTGTATGAAGATTCACACAAGACACGATTTCGAGACGACAGCAAGAGGCGCGATTGTAACCGTAGGAGCGGTCCCCACCTACCCATCCACTCGAGAGAGAGAGGGGGGAGAGAGAGAGCTTCTCTGATGATGTGGCGGCCTACAGAGCGGCCCATTGTTCCGCCTCCTCCGGAGTAATCGCGCGCATTACGCGCCAGTAATTCTGGGCCTCTCCGTGAAATCGGGAGAGGCATCGCGACACAAAGGGTGGCTGTGACGCGCGCTCACGGATTCGTGACCGCGACAACTGCGGGTGAGGCGGCGGGTGGGTGGGGGTCTATAGGAGAGGGAAGAGGCGATTACATCGGATGCCAAAACAATGGTCGCGTGAGTAGGAATCGGTTAATTGAGTAAAATTGATTGTTACGCTCAACCTTCACGCCCTGATACTCGGGGTTCCAAATGCAATGTTGAATGTTTATGGTCATGAGGGTAGACTCAGCTGTGTTAGTGCCCAGTTCAGCTCTCTATCTCTTCTGGAACACCACTTGAACTCAAGAAATATCCTGAAGCGAAAGATGAGTGCTGGACACAATCACGTAACTTTAATATAAATTGTCATATGGTTGTTATTGTTTCACTTACATCACACTGGGATTTTTGCACACAGCGTTGTAATACGGTGTTTTTTTTCTGGAAGATGTGCTGGTTTATTCCAGGATGTTTTTGTTGCGCGTCGTTGCTTTAAGATGTTCTCTGTTCATATTTAGTTTGTTGCGGTTGTACCCGACTCAAGAGCCGCATGGCTCGCAGGGTTATACCTAATCAATGAAACTTGAAAACTTGAAAAACTTGCCAATGTGATCTATGATGTTGTTCCTTACCTGTGTATCGACAGATTCATCTTGATGTGCAATTTCTAGGGGCTGTGTTCTGTCTTGGTGTGGTCTGGGACTGTTTTTGTTCTTGTTTTGCTGCCTTAGGCTTGCATTTAGTGTTGAAAAATCCACGGGATTTGATGCACTTATGCAATTTATACTAATATTGTATACTGTGCCGTACCTATTTCGATTTAAAGCTTTCGTGACTGCAGGGATTCATATTCTTGGTTCTTTCGGTAAAGTCACAAAAAAGGGAAATAATCCAATAATAAATATAAAATAATAAAATTAAATTCTCACGACGTTTCGGCCACAACACAAGCAGCCGTCACCAGGTGAAGAACAGAGCTGTCGGAAAGACAGCGTCCCAATGAACACTGCTTTACATATCAAACTCCTTTGTCAAGGCGCTCTGCTCCTCCCATCCAGCTTAAAAATACGCTGCCAAGCTTAGCAGTGTTCATTGGGACGCTGTCTTTCCGACAGACCTGTTCTTCACCTGAGGACGGCTGCTTGTGTTGTGGCCGAAACATCGTGAGAATTTAATTTTATTATGTTTTATTTTAATTATTTTATTATTTCCCTTCTACGTGAATTTACCGAAAGAACCAACAATATGTGCCGTATCTATTTACGTTTAGAGACTTGTTTTAGCGTGTCTCTGTGTCGCACTGCTATAGTGCGTTTGTACTTTTTGTTGTTGTAACTCGCTGACCCGCCCCGACTGAACATCTGTCAAACAAAGAGCTTCATAGCTCATCGGATTCCTCCTCCAGCAGTCCCATTCCGCACCAATAACGGAGAAAGAACGAAGCGGCGATCGGTGAATCGAAATTGTCACTTTGGAATCGTGACAACGAACGAAGATGCCGAGTGGTCACGCGGCTGTCAGATACGTCGTTCACACCACGTGGCCCCGTGCGAGCCCGGTCCGGCGGGGTGGGGTGGGGGGGGGGCGAGATTGACACGCGGGGCTCGAGGTGGGATGTTGGCGTGTCAAGGGGACGTGATGGGTGTTAGGCGTGGGGGGCAGTGGGGGTCAGTGGGGGTGTAGGGTGTAGGGTGTGTTGCGAAGTGGGTGTGATGTATGTGGAGGGGGTCTGTAGATTCGTGGTGTTGGGGGGGGATGAAGGGGATGTGAACTACGATGTTTTTGTTTGTTACAAACGATGTTTTTTTTATTTTACCAGGTAAGGCCCACCTGAGCTATGCAGATCTTTTTGAGAAGCGACCCTGGCCCAAAAAAAAAAAGAATGCTCAACGAAGTGGCTTATCACATGGACAATTATACTGGTAGAAACCTCCTGGTTACACCAGCCCACAGGGGATTATTGTGTCCGTCCGTCCGTCGTGCAGGGAGGGGCTGGGTGGGGGGGGGGGCTGGGTGGGGAGGGTCAGGAGGGGCTGGGTGTTGAGGGTGGGGAGGGGTTGGGTGGGGAGGTAGGGTGGAGAGTGGGATGGGAGGGGCTGGTCACCCCGTGGTGCCCTTATAAAACTCAACGTTTAACCTACTCACGCCGGCTTGTGCCCGCCCTCACAGTCGGCCATATTTGCGGAATACACCACGCCGCCGTTGACCCTGGTCATTGACCGAGCAACCCAACGTTCCTACCAGCTCCCTCCGCAGGAATGTGTTAGCAGCCAAATACTCTCAACACACATTGAGAGTCTAAATGTGGAGGGAATAAACCCGGAGGGTCCCGGAGAGAAGTCCACGCAACCACGAGGGGAGAGAGAGAGAGACACGCCAACTCCAAATATACAGCGGGCGTCGGGGATCGAACCCACGACCTCCGCTATACCAGGCGAGGTAGTTAACATTTCGCCACCGTGGTAGCCCTGGTGTGTGCGTGGTGGTGGAGGGGGGCTGTATGGGATGTGATGTGTGTAGGTGGTGGGGGGGAGGGGTAGCGTAGTGTGTTGAGTTAGGGGGATTGGCACCTTCTGGGAGCACCAGGCGCAGGATGGGTGCAGGAGGATGCATTCAGAGCAGCGCAGAGCTCCGCTCCCCGCGCAGACCCCCCCCGCGCCTGCTCCCTCGCCAGCTGCAGCCACCACAAAGACAAAGATCCCCCGTATAGCCTGTTGGGGCAAGCGCTGTAAGCGAGCACCTACGCAGGTCGCCACTGGGGAGACAAAGGCCGCCTTTGTCTCCCCAATGGCGATGTTTACACACCGCACCAGGTACTCATTTGAGGCCGAGTCGACCTAGGGGAGGCCCAGCAACGGTTTAGATAATCCTCACTCGTGCTGACCGTGAGCGGGAATCGAACTCAGGTCGCCTGGTGCGTGGTGCAGTGCGCTAACCACCGCACTACCGCTCCCCACACGTTCGCACATTCACACAAGCCCTACTCAACTACTCCAGCACAGACACAAGCAAGTACACAAAGACAAATATCCCCCGTACAGCCTTAGCAGACTGATGTGGCAAGTGCTATTAGCGAGCACCTATGAAGGCCGGCACAGCACACGAGGAGGTGAGTGGTCAGCACCACGCCCGGCCGCCGTTGTCTCCCCAGTGGCGATGTTTACACATCACACCAGGTACTCATTTGAGGCTGAATCGACCTAGGGGAGGCCCTGGACGGGTTCAGATAATCGCCACTGGTGTTTGTAGCGCAACGCGCTAATCGTTACGATACCGCTTCCCATACACAAGCACACACACAGCATCACACACACACACACAGCTACACACACACAGCATCACACACACACAGCTTCACACACACACAGCCTCACACACACACAGCCTCACACACACAGCTAACACACACACATAGCTACACACACACAGCTTCACACACACAGCATCATACCCACACACAGCTCCACACACACACAGCTTCATACACACACAGCTACACACATACACAGCTTCACACACACAGCATCACACACACAGCATCACACACACACACAGCTTCACACACACAGCTACACACACACACAGCTTCACACACACAGCTTCACACACACACATAGCTACACACACACAGCTTCACAGACACACACAGCTCCACACACACACAGCTTCATACACACAGCTACACACATACACAGCTTCACACACACACAGCATCACACACACAGCTTCACACACACACAGCGTCACACACACAGCTACACACACACAGCTTCACACACACACAGCTACACACACACAGCTACACACATACACACAGCTTCACATATACACAGCCTCACACACACACAGCTTCACATACAGAAGCCCCACACACACAGGCACACACACACAGATTCACACACACGCACAGCTTCACTCACACACAGCTTCACACACACACACAGCTACACACACACACAGCACACACACACAGCTACACACACACAGCTACACACACACAGCTTCACACACATACAGCTTCACACACACACACAGCTACACACACACAGCTTCACACACAACATCACACACAGCATCACACACACACAGCCTCACACACACACACAGCTTCACACACACAGCTACACACACACAAAGCATCACGCACACACACAGCTTCACACACACACACAGCTACACACAGCTACACACACACAGCTACACACACACAGCTTCACACACACACAGCTACACACACACATAGCTACACACACACACAGCTTCACACACACACACACACAGCTTCACACACACAGCTTCACACACACAGCTTCACACACACACAGCTACACACACACACAGATACACACACAGCTACACACACACACACACAGCTACACACACACACAGCTTCACACACACAGCTTCACACACACACACAGCATCACACACATACAAACAGCTACACACACACAGCATCACACACACACAGCTGCACACACACAGCTTCACACACACACAGCTACACACACACACAGCACACACACACAGCTACACACACACAGCTACACACACAGCTACACACACACAGCTTCACACACATACAGCTTCACACACACACACAGCTACACACACACAGCTTCACACACAAAGCATCACACACAGCATCACACACACACAGCCTCACACACACACACAGCTTCACACACACAGCTACACACACACACAGCATCACGCACACACACAGCTTCACACACACACAGCTACACACAGCTACACACACACAGCTACACACACACAGCTTCACACACACACAGCTACACACACACATAGCTACACACACAGCTTCACACACACACACAGCTTCACACACACAGCTTCACACACACAGCTTCACACACACACAGCTACACACACACAGATACACACACAGCTACACACACACACAGCTACACACACACACAGCTTCACACACACAGCTTCACACACACACAGCATCACACACATACAAACAGCTACACACACAGCATCACACACACACAGCTGCACACACACAGCTTCACACACACAGCTACACACACACACACAACTTCACACACACAGCTACACACACACAGCTACACACACACAGCTTCACACACACAGCTACACACACACAGCTACACACACACACTAGCAACAACGAACAACAACAAACACTCACGCAGTTAGTATTGTCACGTTGCCCAACAGAGTCCTACTGGATGTGAATGGAATTCGTCGAATGTAACATTCGCCCCCCCCACTGGCACCGACTTCTAAGCAGAGGGGAGACGATGGGAGCCGAGTGCGAAGCCATCTGCGACTCGGCGCAGCGCCACCAAAGCTCGGGCACGAGAGAAGTTCGCTTCGTGTTCTCGTGCGGGGCTTGCAGAGACGACGACGACGACTACCGCGGAGATGGAACGATGAAATCCGTCGGTGTGCATGAGCCAGTTGAATTGTTAAACGACGAATCCGTCGGTGTGCAGGAGCCAGTCGGATTGTTACATCGTTGGATCGTGAAAGATGATGATGGCGGCGTCTTGGAGAGGTTTTCATCCAGCAGTGGTTAGATCATGACTGCTGATGGTGCTGCTGTCGATGAATTAGCTTCGTGGCACAAACCAGGGCTGGAGAGGGGACGGGATATTCAAGGCGCAATCTCCGCGTGTCTAACTTGAGAGCGATTGTCTTGGACAGGGTGGTGGTGGTGGTGCTTGTCTGCACGTAGAGTCTGGATGATTCCCGGCCCCTAATCGTTGCCACGTGCGTAAACACGGGCCCTGCCGGGCTCTCCGCTCACGCGCGCGCCGAGTGGCTCCCATCTCGGCACACGGCGCGGACATTCCTCCCGGAGACTTTGCCGCGACCACTTCACGAGTCGCGCCGGGACCAGCAATTTGCGCGGCGGGCAGAACGTGAGCGGGAACGCCTCCTCCTCATCCCTCCTCCATCATCCTCCTCCTACTTGCTGTGCACTCCGGCAACTCAACGGAGCCGAGTTGGGATAAACACTCTCATCCGGTCATCGCCAAGAGGCGAACTCGAACATCCGCAAGAGATTTGTGGTGGAACGCGCCGAGGTGGTGGCGGCTCTGGGCTGAGCGACACTCCATACCTCCCTCCCCCTTCTCTGTATCTGGAACCCATGGGAGATGCGGGTAACTTCTGCACAAGTGGGGAATGAAGAGTCACAGCCTCGTCGTGACTGCTGTGAAGCGCAATCCATCACTCGCATCACCATTGTGTTGTACAGTATGGGTTTCTGTGTGAGGCTATGGGTCTCTATGTGAGTCTATGGGTCTCTGTGTGAGTAAGTTTGTCACTGTGTGAGTTTCTGTGTGAGTCTATGGATCTCTGTGTGAGTCAGTGGGGTCACTGTGTGAGTCTATGGGTCTCTATGTGAGTCTATGGGTCTCTGTGTAAGGAGTATATGGATCTCTATGTGAGTCTACAGGTATCTGCGTGAGTAAGTTTGTCATTGTATGAGTCTATGGGTCTCTATGCGAGTCTATGGGTCTCTGTGAGTCTATGGGCCTCTTGTGTGAGTCAGTGGGGTCATTGTGAGGAGTCTATGGGTCTCTGTGTGAGTCTACGCACAGAGTTATAAACACGCTCCGCTGTTTCGCCAATACCGCACGAACAAAGCCGAAGAAAGAACCCTCACCCCCGACTCGAACTCCAACCGCTAACCCTCCCCTCGACTCGAACCCGACCCCCCCACACTCACCGCTCAGCGCCCTGGCGACCAGCTGGAGGTGAAGGATCACGAATGTCAGGCTGGGGGGGGACATGGCAGGGCTGCCCCCCGCGCTGCCTCCCTCGGTTCCTCTTTCCCTTCGTCCTTCCCTCCTTCCTTCCTCTCTCCCCTTCCTTGAGCTCGGCTCGGCGCCGTGTGAGAGAATCAACGAGAAGAGAGAGAGAGGAGCGAGGCGGGCGCACGTAAGGGGGTGAAAACAGCGGGGCACGTCTTGTGCGCAATCCTTACCAGGTGGCTCCACAACTTCACGAAAGAAAAGGGGAAAGAGAGAGGAGTTGGAGCAGGAGGAGGAGGAAGAGGGGGTGGGGAGGAGTGGGGATGGAGGATGGAAGGAAGAGGAAGGAGGAGGGAGGAGGAGGAGGGGTAAGCGGCGTCAGCGCGGCCTCGGGGTCCGGTGTCGGTGCAGCAGCAGCGGCAGCAGAAGTTGCAGCAGCAGCGGCAGCAGCTGTAGCAGCAGCAGCAGGCGCGCGCATCTGGCGTCCGCAGCGGCGATGCACGTGGCGATGTGCGGCGCAGATTCCTCCCACCCACTCCACTCCCCACGCCGACAACAACAGCCCCAATAACAACTGCCGCTACTTCACACTCGAGACTCGCTAAAGTTACGACCAGTAAAAAATATAAACCGGTAACCGTTTGCATAAGAGAGTATCTGGTTAGGCGGATCGTTGGCCACGGACGTGTCGTCGCTCGGACGAATCGCTCGGCTGCCTCGGTGCGTTTCGCCTCCGCTTAGCACGGGTGGCTACGTACGGTGCGAAAGAAGTTGAGCACGCACACGTAGAGGCGCAGCCCTGCAAGTGCCTGCTCGCTTGCGCCACCGATGGCGGAAGGTGCCTCCACGGGAGAGGGCGCTCTGGAGGGTGTTTGGCCTACTCTTCCACGCTTGGCAGCCGCTCGGCTCACTGTGGCGGCGTGCGCGTTTATATCGCTGGGTGCACAGAGGCAGGAGGGGGGCGGGGGAGCGGGGGAATGTGGGGGACGAGGGGGTGGGGGTTAAGGATATTGACATCATGGCAGCTAACCAACAACATTGCAATCATACAGTCGTGACATAAGCAACGGCAGTGAATTGCACCTTTCTTGCAACAGTGGATATCCAAATGGATAATGATATATATTATAAATACATTCCGAACGCAATGGATACAAAGGACAAGTTACGTTTTTATAATTCATTCTCTTTGCTACTTTGGAGGCAAATTGAGCGGCTTCTCTGGCCAGTGCTCTGGCACCGATCTCGCTCGCCACCCCGGGCAGGGGGACCCCGGGTAGGGGGACCCCGGGCAGGGGGACCCCGGGTAGGAGGACGCCGGGTAGGAGGACGCCGCTGCGGCTGCTGCGGAATCGTCATCCAGTGGCAGGAGGCGCGAGCGCCGGACCGCGCTGATGAATCTCAACCCCCCCCCCCTACCCCCACCCCCCCAACCCCCCCAACCCCTCCCTCACCCCCCCAATAACGACGGCGCGCGGGTATAAACGAACCCCGCCACCTCGCAGTCGATGACCCCCCCTCCCCCCGCGACCCCCCCTTCCCCCACCCACGTGATTGGCAAGTTGGGATATTCTCGGCACACGGATCACAAAGCCCCCCCCCCCCCAACTCCACCCTGGATACGGAAGGCAAATGCGTCACGAGTGATGATATCATTTTAATTATTAAACGCGCGGGGCGTGCATGGCGTGATGACAGCTCCGAGAGTAATAATACGCGCACGCGGCTTCCTTGTTATGTTCACATGGCGTTTGGGGCAGCTGAGCGGAGTAGTCTGCTAGTTCCACCAGAGTACACGTGGTTGTACTGGGGTAGCTGAGTGGGGTAGTCTGCTAGTTCCACCAGAGTACACGTGGTTGTATTGGGGCAGCTGAGCGGAGTAGTCTGCTAGTTCCACCAGAGTACACGTGGTTGTACTTGGGTAGCTGAGTGGGGTAGCCTACTAGTTCCACCAGAGTGCACGTGGTTGTATTGGGGCAGCTGAGCGGAGTAGTCTGCTAGTTCCACCACAGTGCACGTGGTTGTACTGGGGTAGCTGAGTGGGGTAGTCTGCTAGTTCCACCAGAGTACACGTGGTTGTATTGGGGCAGCTGAGCGGAGTAGTCTGCTAGTTCCACCAGAGTACACGTGGTTGTACTGGGGTAGCTGAGTGGGGTAGTCTGCTAGTTCCACCAGAGTACACGTGGTTGTATTGGGGCAGCTGAGCGGAGTAGTCTGCTAGTTCCACCAGAGTACACGTGGTTGTACTGGGGTAGCTGAGTGGGGTAGTCTACTAGTTCCACCAGAGTGCACGTGGTTGTATTGGGGCAGCTGAGCGGAGTAGTCTGCTAGTTCCACCACAGTGCACGTGGTTGTACTGGGGTAGCTGAGTGGGGTAGTCTGCTAGTTCCACCAGAGTACACGTGGTTGTATTGGGGTAGCTGAGTGGGGTAGTCTGCTAGTTCCACCACAGTGCACGTGGTTGTATTGGGGCAGCTGAGCGGAGTAGTCTGCTAGTTCCACCAGAGTGCACGTGGTTGTATGGATTGGGCAGTCGTGAGTGATGTGCGCCCGATGGTTTGGACCTCACCATCGCATGCGCAGCTCGGTGGAGGAGTGCCTGACTGCTCCGTTTATCGAGGAAAAATCCCCCACACACCACCACCACCACCCTCCTCCTCCTGCTGCACGTGGTGGTGCTGTGGTTGTTGTGGTTGCGACGCGGTTGTTGAGAGCGACCCGCACCGTCGTCGACGCAGCAGAGAGAGGCCAGCGCTGCTCCATCGTCTGGTCTTCAGGCACCGCACGTGGTTCACTCCGCACGTGCTCGAGGCAGAAACAAAACACCTCCTCCCCCTGCTGCCGTAGACACAAGGCAAACGAGAGCCATCGATGTGTCTACCCTGCTGATGATTCTAAACAGGGACGAAGCCGTCCACACAGCCTGTTCTCCTGCTGCTGCTGCTATTTGAAGCAACATTGGCCCATGGGCTTCCACTCTCCAGGGAGTAACGGTCTCAAATGAAACAAAACTGTGTGCAGTTCTGCATCGCGTCTCCAGGGGGCGCTCCCGCCACAGGAACGCGGAGTGGCGCGGCGAGAGGCGGAATGGTGAACGGAATGACGGCGCCAGGGAGCGGGATGCGGGGATCGGGGAACGCGCCCAAGTTGGAGACGTCACGACGGCCGCCGATGGGCCGAGGCAGAACGCGTGCCAAGTTCAATTTACGTGCGGACAGGTCACCAGAAGGGCATGATGGTGGGTGGTGCAGACTCATCACGGAGTGGCAGCCCATGGGGGGAGAACACACAAAGACAAAGTTCCCCCGCATAGGCTTAACATATTGTAGGGGCAAGTGCTGTTAGTGAGCACCTATGAAGGCCGGAACGGTACACGAGGGGGTGGGTGGCCAGCACCACGCTCGACCGCCTTTGTCTCCCCTGTGGCGATGTTTACACACGGCACCAGGTACTCATTTGAGGCTGAGTCGACCTAGGTGAGGCCCGGGACCGGTTCAGATAATCGTCACTGGTGTTGGCTGTGAGCGGGAATCGAACCCGGGTGTTCTCCCCCCGACCCTCCCTGGTGTGAGGCACGAGTCTCAACCACTGCGTCAGCCTGCCGCCCTGTGTGGTTGTTGTTGTTGCTGCTGTTGTTGTTGTGTTTGGTTGTGCCGACAGCTCGGCCACCGACAGCCGCAGCGGGGATTGCGTTTCTGATGTTCTGATGAAACGGAACTCTGAGAACAGCTGATCACGGCCCAAGTCGGATCGCAGTGGGGAGATGCAGGAGAAAGAGGCCGTGGACACAGCACAGCGATAGCGCGACCACACTACCCTAGCCAACCTGCACTACCCTAGTCAACCTGCACTACCACACTACCCTAGCCAACCTGCACTACCACACTACCCTAGCCAACCTGCACCACCACACCACCCTAGCCAACCTGCACCACCACACCACCCTAGCCAACCTGCACCACCACACCACCCTAGCCAACCTGCACTACCACACTACCCTAGCCAACCTGCACTACCACACTACCCTAGCCAACCTGCACTACCACACCACCCTAGCCAACCTGCACTACCACACTATCCTAGCCAACCTGCACCACCACACTACCCTAGCCAACCTGCACCACCACACCACCCTAGCCAACCTGCACTACCACACTACCCTAGCCAACCTGCACTACCACACTACCCTAGCCAACCAGCACTACCACACCACCCTAGCCAACCTGCACTACCACACCACCCTAGCCAACCTGCACCACCACACTACCGTAGCCAACCTGCACCAACACACCACCCTAGCCAACCTGCACCACCACACCACCCTAGCCAACCTGCACCACCACACTACCCTAGCCAACCTGCACTACCACACCACCCTAGCCAACCAGCACCACCACACCACCCTAGCCAACCTGCACTACCACACCACCCTAGCCAACCAGCACTACCACACTACCCTAGCCAACCTGCACCACCACACTACCCTAGCCAACCTGCACTACCACACTACCCTAGCCAACCAGCACTACCACACCACCCTAGCCAACCTGCACTACCACACTACCCTAGCCAACCAGCACCACCACACCACCCTAGCCAACCTGCACTACCACACTACCCTAGCCAACCAGCACTACCACACCACCCTAGCCAACCTGCACTACCACACCACCCTAGCCAACCTGCACTACCACACTACCCTAGCCAACCTGCACTACCACACTACCCTAGCCAACCTGCACTACCACACCACCCTAGCCAACCTGCACTACCACACCACCCTAGCCAACCTGCACTACCACACTATCGTAGCCAACCTGCATTACCACACTACCCTAGCCAACCTGCACTACCACACTATTCTAGCCAACCTGCACTACCACACTACCCTAGCCAACCAGCACTACCACACCACCCTAGCCAACCTGCACTACCACACTACCCTAGCCAACCAGCACCACCACACCACCCTAGCCAACCTGCACTACCACACCACCCTAGCCAACCAGCACTACCACACTACCCTAGCCAACCTGCACCACCACACTACCCTAGCCAACCTGCACTACCACACTACCCTAGCCAACCAGCACTACCACACTACCCTAGCCAACCAGCACTACCACACCACCCTAGCCAACCTGCACTACCACACCACCCTAGCCAACCTGCACCACCACACTACCCTAGCCAACCTGCACTACCACACTACCCTAGCCAACCTGCACTACCACACCACCCTAGCCAACCTGCACTACCACACCACCCTAGCCAACCTGCACTACCACACCACCCTAGCCAACCTACACCACCACACTACCCTAGCCAACCTGC